GCAGCTGCACTCGACTGATATGCAGCAAGATATATGTGAGCTTTCATTGCAACATTTACATTTAGAACAGTTACAATTTTACTTAGTCTGATAGAAAATTAAATAATTGAAGTATATTTCTTTGAGTTTATTCAATTTGAACATTACTTTTACAATACAGATACCTTCGTTTTGAAACATTAGCAGCAAACGGACAGTTTTCAACTTTGAATGTTTCATTTTTGTTCATAAAAAGTGTATTCTACAAAAGTCAAAGTCATTTCAAGGTCAAATGTCAATATTTAGGTAGTTGGCTTTTTAAGACACCTGACCCTCCACAACCAATGATTAGGTGACCTGAAGTCAAGGTCTGAATAGATGAAGGTAATTTTAAGGTCAATATCTAGCAAGTTGACATGAGAACAATTGTGACCTTTGGCGACCAAAGACAAGGTGATTTCAAGGTAATTTCAAGGTCAAAGGTCAATGTCTAGGTCATAGATAGTTGGCTTCTGTAGGTCTTCAGTAACATTTGATCACCAAAGATAAAGTGACCTACGGTCAATGTCACTGTTTATGGCTCAAGGTCATCTCAAGGTCAGAGGTCAATATCTGAATATTTTGCATTTTGGGGATGCTGCTTCATGTGAGGACCCATTGATATGTGTTCTGAGGTCGAGGTCATTCATACAAGGTCAAAATCTCTGTATTTGGCGTTTTGAGGCCCTGTGGGCTGCTATGACCCTTGGCAACTCATGCTAAGGTGACATGAGGTCAAAGTCAATATCTATTGTTCAAAATTATAATAAGGTCAAAGGTCAATATCTAGGTAGTTGGCTCGTTTGAGGCTACACCGACATTTGATCACCAATGATAAAGTGACCTGAGATCAGTGACATTGTTATAGGTCAGGGTCAAATATCAATATCTAAATATTTGGCGTTTTGGGGCGGCTGCTGCACTTGACTCCATTGAAACGTGACCTAGGGTCAAGGTCAATTTAAGGTCAAATTTCAATATCTTAGTGTTTGGCGTTTTAAGGCCACAGGGGCTGCTGTCGTGATGTGGCCCTTGGCGACTCATGATAAGGTGACATTAGGCAGTCATCATTTAATGGTTCAATTCAATATTGTCTCAAGGTCAATATCTAGGTATTGGTGTTTCAAGGCACTCGGGGGATGCTGTGACGCTTGATGACACATTACAATGGTGACACATTTCAATTGACATTTCAAAAGTAATAGTCGATCATTTCCGTTTTATCATATCAATTTTAATAAAATTTGCCAATTTGAAGCAATATAACAGAAGAGAGGTTATCCAAATATGAGGTCATATTAATGACTGCACTCAGTCAAGCTGACGAAGTTTTTCATGAAAGAGTTACTTTCTGTTGTGCTTCTAAATTGAATAAGTATAAGCAGGTGCGTTTTCAAAAATGCAAATTCAAAGCAAATTTCGCAAAATTTAGTTATTGATATGTAGAGATAGTCCATTAGGGTATGGTTATTCTCTTAAAAACAATTATGGTACAAATTTGGTACTTCTGACTATATAATGCTTTTTTATTCAAAAGTCAATTATATTATTTTGACTATCAAATGATTTTCATATATCCAAATAACCATTATATTAGTTTTTGGCAAAGTAAATAATAGTAGAGATCACACAAGGATCAACTGTATTGAAGATTGGTCATACTGGTATATGCCCTGCCGCTCTAGTGGTCAAGAGCAATGAATTGTGATTTTTCAGTTGAAACAGGGAAACAAACACATAATCATTATTTTGTTTAACATTTAACCAATAATTTTCTGTTAAACGTAGTAATTTTTCAAAACATCACTAAATATGAAAAAGGTGTAAATAAAGTGGATCCTTGTGTGAGCACCATTATTATTTACTTTGACAAAAATGAATATAATGGTAAGTGTAATATATAGAAAACATTGAATAGGTAAAATAGGAATATAATTAATAACAACCGTGACTGTTGCATTAAAATGGCATTTTAAGGTCAGAAATGTATAATTCTTCAATATTATTGTTTTTAATAAAAATGACCACACCCAAATGGACTATCATACATATCAATATCAAATCTGCCTCCTATTTCATATACTCGCTGCTATTATTTGAAAAAAAAAGATTTTTGTCAAACTCATCTTTTTGCTGGTTGCACCTTGGGACAAGCCATTTAGCCCTTTCGTGTCACTTTTTTGAGTGCAGACAAGTAAAAATGAATAGTCAATGAACCAATCTATAATGACTATGGGTCAAATCATAGTAACCTACCTCAACATCAGTTAATGGGATTTTCTGGAGTTTTGGCGCACACTATAGGGCTCCCAAAGAGTGGATAGGGAGGTTGTGTTTGTCACTTTTAAATTTTACATTTCAAAATTGTCATTTTACATGTCATAATTTGTTGGTTTCATTCGTTTAGCCAATCAAAACATTGTAAAACAATAAATTGTCTGTTACGTACAATCAATTTTGTTCAGTTTTGATTAGTTGTCAGAATAAAGTTACGTTCATCTGAATCCATGTATCAAAACAAAAATCCTATTTTTACTTCAAAATACTTCAGTGAGATGAAGGCTCGGAATTGTCACATGCAATAACTTATTGTCGTATTATTATTTTATCTTCTCGATAGTAGCATTTAGTCGCACATTTGATGCCAGGTCACCTTGTCGCGTACCTCTTGGGGAACCCCACATTTATGTGTGTACTCATGGCAAGGAGGATTGGAAGCCAGGGTTCCAACTCGATATTCTTTAATCTCCACGCATGCGTCATTTGCTATTCGTGTCTGTATAATTTGTACGACTGCATGGAGAATGACCCGATACTCTCCAACAAAGCTATCGCTAGGTGATTGTTTTGCAGAATATCGGTGTTGCATTCTGGGAGCCAATCCTCCTTGTACTCATGGAAGTAAATTCCCCGGTGTAGCCGAGAGCCACAAACAAAAGGTTCGAAATGACCAATTTCTCTCATATATACTCTAAATATTTTATTATTTAGCACCTACAAAGTATTGCTAATAACCATATGTTATTTCAATAAGGAAACTTATCTGGCTACATGTAAATTCAATATCAACACACTAGCTGTTCTCTCAACACGTCCTGGCTTACCTTGTGGTGACAAACCCTGGATTTTCGCTATTTATAGTTTATCAACACCTGGACGCATGCGCATTTTATAGTTTATCGGGCACTTTAAGACAACTGTTATCTTTCTCACAGATACACAAATCGTAATATTTGTGTATGTACAGACTTTATTTCATTGTTACATACAATGTACATTTTATCACCTAATGGCTAAAATGCTAGCATTAGAGAGATTTCTCAACTCACTTATAGTGTGTTTATTATTCCCATATAACATAGTACTTAGCAAAAATTTCAAAAAGGCCTTAATAAAGTTTTAATATCCTGTTTAAGAATCCATATTCTTACTAGTCATTGTCTTACAAGTCAATGCACCCTTGCAAGGGAAGATTCCGACCATAAAGGAGAACCTAATTAAATCTCTTGGCAAGTGGTTTGATGAGAACTAGTCTGACAAGAACAGTGTAGTCATCACAGTCAAGCTTGACGGCTGGCTTTCAACCATCACCTCTTCAACCATCACCATGACTTTACTACCTGGCAAGTTGAAAGCCTGGTGCTTCCAAGATGGAATTATACCGAGACTGAACTGGCCCTTCGCTATTGTATGACTTTTCACTGACCATTATCGAGAAGATGGAGAGAACCATCAGCAAGTACCACAGAGAATGGATGGGTGTGTCAATATCGTTTAGTAACATCAACCTCTACTGCACATCCTCTCCCGCAGCGCTATCAGTGTCCTTACTAGTGGAGGAGAACAAAGTCACCAAAGTATGCACCGCAGTGCTACTAAAGCACTCTAAGGACCCCATCGCAAGAAGGACTAACATCCCTTCTCGCCTGGGAAGAAAGTGGAGCCCTCACAATTCTCTGTGAGATGCTGGAACAAGGTTGCATCACAGCGATATAGTGGGTACCATTGCTGAAGGCAGAAAGGGACTTGGAAGTTGTGGCAGAGTTCCATGGTCCAAAGCTGATAGCGAGACAAGAAGAATTATGGCCCAGGATGAGGTCAGAAAGGCAAAGAAAGAAAGAAGATGCCTCAAGACTACCATTGTCTTTGTCGGTAGCCAAGGTGCATGGATGAACTGGGGCTCCATCGAGAAGAATAGACAGATATCATGACACCTGATGATACAATCTCCAGAAATTCCAGTATTCATTCACAAATACGAGGTGTGATCCAAAAGTTTTGGATGCCCTGCTCTAATTTTGTTGATTTTTGACACAATTACTTAAATCTTTCCAAGAATAAAGACCAACAACCTAATTACTTTGTGTATCAATTTCATGGAGAAATTATTTTATGTATTTTTTCTAGGTAGTTTTTAATATAGTTAATAATTGTTTTCCATATTAAAAAATATCTAACATGAAATTTTCATGTAATTATATTTAAAAATATCAAAGTTAGAGCGAGCATCCAAGACTTGTAGAATCAATAAAAAGGCAGGTACATTATTGCAAGCTTTTTTAGACAGCTCTTAAGTTCTGAAAATTGGCTATTAATTGCAGAAAATTGGTGATGATGGATGGATTAATGACAGTTTAAGAGATAATCCGTTCGACTTTACTTCCATTCTATTGCCCCTTATCAAAAATAACATATTGGCCAAACAAGTGCATTTGTGTTTGTGGTCAAATAATTATTAGAACTGAAGTAGTATAAGAGCTGTCTAAAAAAGCTTGCAATAACATACCTGCCCCTTTGATAAAATAAAAATCTCACCCAAAGGTCAAGTGTAAATGTTTAATTTCGCAATCATATTTACTTTACTTAAGTTCTGTTGTGTAAATATTTAAATTGGTAATCATATTTGCTTACGTTAGTGGACAGCATTAAAATTAAACCTACCATACAATCTGCATTGCATACAGCCTTGTGAAAGAATAAAAATGGCAAAACCGATGCAGCTCTGGGATTGTTTCAAAGATGAATTTAAAGCAGAGGAAAAGTTCAAAATTGTTAATGGGATGAGCTTTAGTCCGGAGATAACACATACTGAATCTGTAAAGAGTATGAACGCATATGACAAGATGCGAGATGATGATGTCATAGTATCTTCCTATCCAAGGTCTGGTTAGTGAAATTTAAATAATTTGAATACTGACTCTCCATGATGCTAAAAATAAATCTGCTCGATATAATGGTATCTAAAAATCTTGCAGTTAATTTCAATATTATTCCAGTACAGTCATGATCAAATGTTGCAAATATTTTAGACAATCATATCTTTGGCCAATTTTCAAAATTTTAACATACACAGGCAATTTATATTGGGCTCCTTACAAGCTTGAATAAGGCTCGAAATTACGAGTCAGTACAGGCAAAAAAGAGCACATTCCTCTTTCGGTTCCATACAGACTCGTTTTCAAGCTCCATATTAGCATGTACGAGGCTCCTAATTTTAAAATTCAATGCCTGTATGAGCATGTACAAGGCTCATAGTTTTAAATTTGAGGCCCCTACGAGCATGTATGAGGCTCGTAATTTAACTATTTTTCCAACATGAAAATATATATACTTTTGATCACCTACTATTAGATATTAACTTACCTACTACACCACAACGGAACACGCTGACAATGGTAAAGTCAGATACCCCTGTCACAAATATACATAACTGTCACTTCAGCTCTTTAATCACGGGTCATTATAAGAATGAACAAATAGAAGAAAGGTTATGCTGTTTCTGTGAACACAATTACGTGGAAGATGAAATACATTTTGTCTTTCATTGCCATTTTTATAATGAAATTAGAGAGAGATATTTTATTGACAACAATTTTAAACGTATTGACACAAATGTAGAAAACCTTCTGAAAAAAATGACGAGAAAAGGATTGGTATCAATATGGTGAAATGAACTGAAAACAATCTTTTTCTTAAACAAGTCATCAAAAAATTCTGAAAATTATTTCAGAATTATTTTAATGATTGTCTCTTGAATGTTTAATTTAATTAGAAAAAAATATGTATACCTCTCTGTGTACTGTTTTAGAAAACACATCAACAACTTGTCAGGTCTCTCAATATTGTACAAAGAATTGTTTCTTGTAAATGAAAAAAAGGTTTTCTTTAATTCTTGTATATTTTTGAGGTTTTTGTTTTAATTTTTTTATTTATTACTTTTTGTTAATGAACCAAACTTTCCTTCGTTACGTAAATGGAATGGGTTAGAAGTGCAGATCTTAATCGTTTTTTGAAGTTCCCGGCCTTGTTATCACAAGCCAGTACGAGGCATTGTAATGGTCTATGTAATTTTACCATCGTATTCTTCATATGCGACATGTTGGATTTATGATGAGAAAATACTCATGGTCAAAGATATGACCATCTAAAGCCATTTGCAATACCATACCTGGTCCTTTAAATCACTATATGATAGAGTATGCCTGAGAATCATATATTACCCCTTGGAAAATATTGAATGATTTACAGGAACTCATTGGAGCATAGCATTGGTAGACCTAGTGATGCATGGTGGGGATATAGAATCTGTCAAAGATAGACATATACATGAGAGAAGCATTTGGATATTCCAATGCCAAGTAAGTATTCTAAGGAACAAAATAATAAATCTTTTATAACTTATGAAGGGCTACATTAAATACAATGTAAATTATGAACAGAAACAAAATCTAAAAAATATACAATACAATTAGTTATTTAAAAAGTATCAATTGTTCCTCCCTAGTGCTTGCTGGAAAGGTTGAGATGAGTATAGAAAATATAGAGAAACAAGAAAACCCCATGGTTGCTGCGGAGAGTGCACCATCGCCTCGTCTCCTCTCAACACATCTTACTTATGACTTTATGCCAGAATCAGTGAAACAAGGAAAATGCAAGGTTTGTATGTCTTACCTTAGGAGAATATTGAATGGACCTCATGGGATTTGTGGGGGTCAAACTAAAAAGACTGGCCTGAATTCACAGTTCAATTCTTCTAACAGACTCTGGTAGACTTTTCATATTCATAACTCTTGAATACTTGTTCCTAAAGGACTTCAAATGACCAAATGGGAGTCTGGAGGACTCAATACGACTCAAAGAATATTATACAAATATTTAGTTCTGTTGAAGAGAATACGTGCGCATCGTTCAAAAGTGATATTCCACGAAGCCTGGAGGGCTAGGAATGTCATCTTGTGAAAGTGACACAGGTAATCACCAAAAATAGAATTAAATATTTGTTTTATGATTCACTGATATATTCCTCACTCACATTAATGGAATAACAAACTACATGTATTTATGTCTTATTATTTATAACAATGTGCTCCTGGGCATATATATAAAATTAAAATTATACTGGACTAAATCAGACTGGTGTATATCATTAGATATTCAAAGGAAGTCCTGTGACTTCCCAATGGAAGTCATGTGACTTCCGTTGAATATTGCTTGTTACTTTTTAGTCACATGTGCGACATGGACTAATGAGAGAGTGAGGAATATGACAATGATATAATACATGTAAATTACAAGTTATCCCACATTTGAGGCCAAATCTGTATGATAACATATAAAAATATATTTATAATACAGAATGTTCCACAGATATTACTTTCTCTACTTCCACAAATATGATGTGTATTGTTACGTTGTGATTTCATGACATCACATGATGAATGAATGAATGTTGTTTATGCAACGCTCACTCATCCAGATATTGATATCAATTCGCGCATGAAAATTATATCACTTTAGACTACTTAGATCATAGGATATTCTTATACACATCCAAAAGATGATCATGGGGCTTCATCCATTCTTGAAGAACGCAAGGGGGCTTAAAAGTCAGACACAAACAATAAGTAAAGGGTCAGGCTTATGTTGTTCTTTTCTCTTCTACTAGGTTGTGGTTATCCTCAGAAATCCCAAGTCGGTAGTTACAAGTCTTCATGTTTTGAATGATGTACCAGAGTATTACAAGGTGGTGCCTACTATTGACCAAACTATTGATGCAATGTTAACAGATGCTCAAGATCAATGTAAGTTGCTAATAATAGATATAAGGGTTATGTACTGGGAGGTTTTGGATACAGGGTTTATCCCTCGGGAGATACACATATTTACCGCAGGATAAACCCTGTATCCAAAACCGACCATACATAACAGATGTATTTCATACCTACTGAGGTTCTAGGTACATCATACCTTATAAACTTCCAAAATTCCAAAACATATTTAAGGTACGTGTTTTCTTGGTCTTAAAGTTTGCGAGTTTTTCAAAAAATTTGAAAAAAAAATTTTGAAAAAAATTTGAAAAAAATGTGAAAAAAAATTTCTTAAAAATTTTAAAAATTAGTAATACGGGTGGGGGGCAAAATAATATAAATGTCTTAAAGGCCTGGTTTTTCTGAAAAATATTGCTTATATATTGTATTTTGAGCTATCATATAAATCATAAATAAAGATATTATATGCTAAATAGAAAAAGTATAAAGAATCTGTATGGAACACATGTTCGATCCAAGTTCATAAACTTCAATGGGTTTGGATTTATGCCCAAGGATCATAAATACCATTTCACTTCTCTCAAGAACTGATGCTTTAAGACCTGGTTGAATATTTCCAGTGATATATGGAAGTTGGTTCAATCATGTTAGTAAATGGTGGCTGAACAAGGACAAACTGAAGGGAAACATTCACTTCATCTTCTATGAGGATATGAAAAAGGTAATTATTGTGTTTGATAATTTGCTCAGTTATTCGTTTGTTTAGTTTCCCTTGCTTAAGGGGGCAATTCCTACGCACTGAGACTACCTGTAGACTCAGTCAGTGACTGTTGAAAATTCATATTTTCAGGAGTTTTTTATCATGTTACAAGAAATATTGTCAAATATATTCAAAAGAATGCAAATTTCAGAACATGGGAGAAGTAATCAAAGGCCTTGCAAAATTCCTGAATAAAAGCATACCTGATGACCACATAGATAAAATGGCAGAACATCTTCAATTTGAGCAAATGTTGAAAAATCCCAAAACTGGTAAAGCATTTGAAAACATTAAAGTAACTGATGAAACCATGGACTTGATGGAAACAGATGCATACAAAGCTTCACATATGAGGAAAGGTCAGTAATACATATACCACTGCATTAAAAGACTCAGTCATGATATTTATCATAGCCACAAAAAAGTACAGTTTTACGTATAATGAATCCATAGGACCAGGCAAGAATTTGTGACCCTTGGGCCTGCTTCTGCCCACCAACTTAACTAAATAAAATATAATGTCATTTTAATAAAGTCTAAATCTTCTATAGCTTCTTTAATACATACATTGTATCTCACATACCTATCTACAGATGTACATGTATACAGCAGTAAATAAAAAAACATACTTTTGCAGGTGTCATAGATGACTGGAAAACAAAAATGACAGCGGCTCAAAGTAAAAGAATTGATGCATTTTATGGGCCAAGGTTGGAAAAAATTGGGCTGAAATTCCAATATGAGTGAAGAACTTGTTTGATGTGTCAGGAATGGATACAATTTGTTTAATGTATATAATTCTGAAAGACATATGTGTGAAACCAGCCCTTTCATTTGAGTGCATTTGAGGCAAATCTGCCAGCAGTCTTCCTTGTTTATATTGATTTCATATTGTTGAGAATTGCAGAAATATAATACATCATTATAGTCATATGATTATATTACTACATCTGGTTGTTTGTTTGGTTGTTTGTTTGTTTGTTTGTTTAACCAATATTTAATATTTAACTAATTCATCTACGTAACTTATTTTTGGAGGATTTGGGGAACTGATATTACGTTCTCCTACATGAGTTCATTTAATAAAAGAGAAGTTTTGCAAAATGTTATTCTTACCTCATGCCTCAAATACATAAAGCATTTAACAAGGTCTAGAAAAAGCAAGGAACTTACCTTGAAGAAAAGTTTCAGCAAGCCCATGTTACTTTTTTTCATATAGGCATGAAGTAGATGTACATGTATGTTTGTCACTGTTTCTGTATTATTAATTATGTAACCTAAAAAACATGAATGCATGTTGTAATGTTGTACTGTGAGGGGAATGGGTAAATACCAGATACGTAAATGAGAGTAGTGGCTATCAGCTGTCAACGAAAATATCAAAAACTTGTATTAAAACTTACACAACATGCCCATGAACTAATCAAATCAGTCCTACATTCTCATACCAAGAAACAACATCCCTGAAAATAATCGCCTTTTAAGGGTCCACCCCAATAAGCGCCCAGCGCCCTTTCAGGTGTTGTTTCCTAAAATTAACACTCGATACTAGCGCATCTCGTGTAAATTTTGGAAAGCAACATCTTCAAGGAATGGTCATTCCACAATGCACTGAGTCCAGAGTTTAATCCTTAAATCTACTTTTCATCTCAAAATTGGGTCAAAATACCTTCTGACAGCAAAAGGCTAACACTACATTAGCATACCCTTGGCTATCAGTATACCAAATTTTGAAGAATATTTTGAATTTTGAATTCAAGTAGCTTAGGAGGTCCTCTAGCTGTAGACTTTCTTTTATTTTTTGGTAACCTGTCTGTATTTTGTATCTTTGCACTTCATATAAAATTTGCTTCTGCTCCATTGATAAAACATGGGGATATCATCATATCGATTTTTTAAAATTTCAAAACGCCATAACTCCCATACTGGAAGACCGATCTAAATTTGGTATGCAGATTTGTATTCCTGAGAAAATTCTACACGTTTTTCAACTCACAAGTTTTGACCTACTTTCTGGATGCCTATCTCAAAATCAGTACGAATAATCACACTCTTGATTTGGCTTTTTCTGAGCTGCATGAAGAAAAAAGATCAAGGAATTATGGTAAATAACTACGAAGACAAATGGCAGAATGCTGAAATGTAAGATTTGATCTTGTTCTTGACCTTTGACCTAGATAAAAATTTGACCTAATTTCCCATCAACTAAAGGGCATCAGATGTTAACTATGTAAGCAGGTTAACTTAGATCTTCTCATTAGTGAGAAAACTTGGGGGAAGAAGAAAAATGACAAAACCAATAGACTCCAGATTTTCAATCTGGCGTCTAATAAAATTACGAACTCCAATGCAGTGACTCTGTATAAACACTGCGGCGGGCAGATGAAGAAAATCCCCAAAATATGGTGAAAATAGTTCCCCTTTTCATCGTATATGTGGTCAATTTTCACACAACTTAAAAATATGTATTCATGAATGTTCCCCAATCATTATTTTGGGGCTTGAGCAAGCTATTGGTAGCACTTTTAGTCCCAAAGAGGTGGATTTTCAAACTTGCTAGAAGAAAATATTTTCCTGAATCATAATTTTACTTAATGTCTTACCTTTTATTTTTTATTGACCCAGAGATAACTTTTTGCATCGATATCGGAAAAATCAGGATGATATTATAAGCCCCAACTTTGGCTCTTCGGAAAGGACACACACATAATTGCAATTATTAAAGGGTATATATAAGTTTCATTATATGTTCCGCATATTTTGTTTTAAAGCATGCACATATATGGTTCTAAATAACTAATAGTTTTTATCTGAATTATTATCATAGAAATGAAATAGGAAGACCAGTCTCGTCACTTGTCCTTTGATTTTGGCAAAAAAAGTTCAATCATTTTTCCAATTACGATAAAACTTAATAACGTTGAATATCCTGTTGATTTTTCCTTCTGTCTGAATCATTACAAAGTCCTTAATAATGTTTGTTTATATATGAGACAATCATGAATGTATATATGTGTACCATATGACTAAACTACACTTGTCCAAAGCTCTTCGGAAAGGACATTTTTAGTGTATTGCTAAATGCTGTTAAATAGATTGAATTTGTGGGACCAATTTTCGGTGATTGTACATTTGTTTCTATTCGTGTATTCATGTTTTCGAGATTTACCACAGATTACAACATTATCTGCAATTTTTCATAGGTAGATATATGGGCGATAATAGGGCAGAACATCATTAAAGTCATCACTTTAAGGCTATCATGAATGTACTTATAGTTTTTGTAGCTGCTGGGCCAGGGACATGTGGGCCTATGTAACAGCATTATGCACAAAAACGACTCAATTCTCCCTTTCGCGGTTCGCTCTTTGAATCAGAACGTTCGCAAATATGTACTGAAAAAGCACTCAAAAAGGACAAAATTTGATTGGTCAATATTTTCCCACTATGCATTTCGCGTAGCTATTTGCGTGACCCGAAAGTTCTAAATCAACTTAATTACGCAATTTTGTTTTTACACCCGCACGCTTAATAAAACAATGACACCATCGAAAGTATTCTTCTTTATCATTGCTTTATTAGTCAGTATACCGAGTTTAATCAATAAAAGATTATACAATGAACAAAAAAATTCGGAAACGAGTACTATAGATTTGCTTTCGGACCACTGAACAGATTGACATAGATAATAACGACGCCTCTTCTTTGGTCTACTGCTCAGTTGTTGTGGGTTTTCAACGTAACTCTATAATGTAATTTGAAGATGAATACTTTTATTCAGTTGTTGCATTGGTGTTGCAGTTTGTAGTGCGGCAAGATTGGCATGAACGTATTGAAAGTCGAAAGGAATTGTTTTTTCCAATATGGCGACTAGTCAACTGATCACGTGACCTTCTCTTCCGGAATATTTTCTCACTTTTCAATCATCGTTTTCACCATGCTTTTAATCAATGCAATGAAAAAAAAGCTGTTATATTAAGATTAATAAGAGATCAATAGTTTCTTATAATTTTTTCTGTATTCTCGTACGGGAATATGAACGAATATATCGTTTGAAAAATAGGTGTGAAAATCCCCATGTTAAACCTATGAGGGAAAACAAGGAAGTATAAATTTGTTCCTTCACGAACTGCATCATGGGAAATATTTTGACCTTATAAGGAAAGATTTTTCGCGTCTCCTCTTTTGAAGAGGGAACAACGATTTCGAGAATTGTTGGTGGTAATTGTCAGTGGATTAAACCTATTATCACAGGAAAAATAGTGATGAAGATACAATTTTATATTTGCGGCATTCTTCATTTGCAATTTTACACTTGAGTGTTTTAAAGGATTTACAGCACTGTCCAAATCAAGATTCAATGTAATATTTGTAAACATTGTGCTAGTGCCTTTATACATCGGTAGAAAAGTTAGTTATTGACATCCAATATAGCATTCCTAATCAGAGATTGGATTGCTCTTCGGAAAGGACACATTTACTTTTGTAGTTCCTGTTTAAGTCTTAGTTACTTCAGTAAAGATATTTTATGTATAAAAGTTCATCAGAAAATATGTACCAGTGTGTTTCTCTTTAAAATTGTTGGTAAATGCACTGTTTTGACAGAGTTTGTCTTTTCCGAAGAGCTCTTCGGAAAGGACTTTTTTCTTGTGTCGGAATTTTAAAATTGATTTTACAGGTATATATGACAGTTCAAAGCTACTAATTTGTTTTGAATATTCAAGAAACTAAATGCATTTTGTTTTAAAATAGTTTTTAGTGTATCATATTACTTCAGTCTTGAAACACACATGCTCTTCGGAAAAGAAATTGCGTGTCGGAAAATCAGTTACTTATTTTGAGAGCCAATATCTCAGGAACCGCTACAGCCTTTTCTATAATTTTTTTATTGACAGAATTCTAACATTCAGTACTTTTGATATCATCTTAAAAACACAGTAAGCAAACATTGGAAAATATGTTGAAAATTCTGTCTTTTTTAACATAAAATTTACAATGAAATGTTACACCAACGGTTGTGTGCTACAAGTGGTTAACAAAACTCTATTGACTATTATGGACACACTTGTTGCATATCATTTTAAAGCAAATTCCTTAATCTTTCCAATGCAGCCAAATTACTTTAACTTACTCTCTTCAAGTACATGATTTACACTACTTGAAGTATATTTGTAAATGTGGATTTTTTCTTGGGAATTCGTTACAAAGAGAATAAGGCATATTTAGATATGTATCGAGAGGATGCATAGAATTACAAAACGCGTCGTGTTTACAGCAGTTTTAGGGTAAGTACTCTATTATCGCCCGCTCCTGGATTTTGAGAAATATTTTTTTCCTGATATATTCTTCAATTCTTGTTGATTCCTCGATGTTTCTTGAACTTTGTGAAGCGGGGTGGGCGCTTATTAGAGAGTGGGCGGTAATTACAGAGAATACGGTATATCAATGCAGATAAGTACTTCTAACTTTGTTTTCATGACTTTATTTCAATGACATTCATTGTATCATGAACAATATGAATATTTCTTGCTGTCTGTTTCCATCAAATATCTTTTCTCACTGTGTCTAAAATCTCCTGTAGTAGCAATTGCCCCAACAATTGTATGTTTTCATCCACCAATACCACTTGCTTACACCTTCTACGTAACAGTAACTACAGTTCCACGGCATCCAATAATAGCCATAGCCGTATGTGTAGTAGCAGAATAGACATCTGGGAATAAATTAAAATATTATTTATTTTATTTGCAATATTGTGAAATGAATGTCATGCATTAAGGGTAGAGTCTGCCATAGAGTTCATTCAACGGTTTGTCCAGACTTGTATTTGTCATTCAAAAATTAATAGAAATTCGAATTTCTTCTCAGCCTTGTTTTTTCACTGGTAAACATCAAAATGATGGAAATTGAATGGACTTGAGTTAGCAACATTATATACATTTTATGGTGACATGAATGACATATCCAAGCTGAAATACCTTTCGGAAAACTCCAAAAAGTAACTAAAACAAGTAAGTACTCTATTAATTGACCATTTAATTTTCTTTATGTTTGACCCTAATGTTCGTTGATTCTCAACCCAGGGACCCACCCTCGGACCTACAAAAATCTGAGGGTGCTAATAAGAACATGGTTGCCAATTACGGCAAATACAGTATTTGTCTAGTATTTATGCATCTCTAAAAGCAAGATAGTCGAATTATGTGAAACTGACCTCCAATGACAACTGTACCACCCTTTGTAACAGTAAAAGCAGCGCCATCTACGAACCCAGAACTTTAAATTTATTTGCTGCAACTTGCAAGTTGCTTTGCAAAGTACTCTCCTTCATTGAAGCAAGAGTCCTGTCCAGGGTTGCTACGCTAACTTTTGCCATGAGAGGACTTGCAACTTTTGAAGCCCTTTTTTCATCATCCTTTTCAACATCTTCTGGTTGCATGTCATTTACTTCGACTTCTTCAGGTTCAATGTGTTTTGCCAAAGCAAATATGACCAAAGCAAACAGTGCTATAAAAGATCATAATTATTATAAGCTGATATATTGGTCTTAAAAAGTTAAACTATCGATCATGGTTTAATCACCCAGATTTAAAGTTGTAGTCCCACTACTTGCTGAAAATTAACATTATAAGTCTGGCAAATAAGGATTTTTTCACTTTAACCAAACTTGTCCACAGACATTGAAAAGATTCTGGCCATAATATTTTCTGTCTGGCCATACAGGTATTTATGACCAGTGATTATGAATGTTAGCCTAGCCAACATTTTAACCATGTAAAATGAATCAAAAGCAAAATTTCTTTAACTAGACCCAGTCTGGAGATTTTATTACTGTACCACATCATTTTTTCACTGCCTACTCTATCGGTTCATATGAAAAAGATGAAATAAAAAAAATTGTCCTCAAATCAAAATATCTGTAAGTGCATTATGCCTTGGTCAGAGTCTTCAGGCTTGATGTGTTATGTCAGGGGAAGGATGCCTTATACAAGCCAAGTAATATATGCTTAATTGTATAGTTCCTAGATAGCTAAATAACGCTGAGATAATAGATGTCACCCTTGTTTGTCTTTGATTTTCTTGGGCCAGACCTCCATTCACTTCAATGCTAGAAACTTGCAATAGTCACTTAATATCATGATTTATCAAAAAGTGTTGGTTGAATCTGTCTGAAACTCGAATGACATACTAGACATACTATTGGATGACCCTGTCAATGTACATATTGTGATTAAACATGAAAATGTTGGTTGTCATAAAAATAAGCCAAGGTTTTAATGAATTTTAGCATTGCACCAATGGAGATTTGGCCCAAGTTTTTTAAAATGTCATGGAAAATGATTTATGACAATACTGCGTAAATCAAATGTGTTATTGGAGAAAACTTGTCACTGAATTCAGATATGCTATCAAAAATAAACAAAAGTAAGTCATCGACTCACTAGAAGTAAAAAGTGCAAATCTCTTATAATCCCATGAAAAAACAAGAATTAGCGAGATTTCAAAGCTATTTAGAAACTCCTCTATTCAAGTACTGTACATGGTGTATTTCTATTATGCGTGTATGCGATGGATTAAAAAGTACTTACCAGCTAATTGTGCAATTCTCATGTTGTCTTTGTCAGTGGTTCCTTGTGAATCGAAGTACTTGTTTGCTGTTGTTTGCAAGAACTGCATGAAAATTTATAAAAAAATTATCATTCATCTTTCAAGAAAATGATATCTTCCTCAGACATATAGTGGATGTACGTAATAAATAAGACTGATTTCCAATCTGTATCTTAAGCCTTGCATTTTTTCTGGGTGTCAATATGAAAGTGCTACCAATAGCTTGCTCAAGCCCTTTGTCAAAATATCTCAAAATTATTGATATATGAGATGAAATCAGCGCGGAAGGAATTCTGAGTAAAAGTTGGGTTGATAATAGTTTACCGCACGTGTTGTTTATTAGTACCCACAATTCAACCAATGAAATTGTCTAAATTTTACAATCACACGACCAGAGCATGGGACTAGAACCAATCACGTCAGTTGTTTATTAGGACGTTACCATGCTTACGCCTCCCGCGAATTTGATCAAAATTAGGCTAATTCGCGTGTCCCGCGAAAAACGGGTACCCAAAAAACGAAAAATACGAATATATAACATAATTAGATTATGAGAAAACGTGTAAGATTTGTTTTGAATTTGCAAAAATGTATGTAACATGATTCAAAATTGAGCTAGAAGCTTCAAATAAAAAGCATATTTTAAGGCACTTTTCTTCCTCTATCGTTATGGCCATATTTTCATTGGTTATGGGGGGGGGGGTGCGATCGCACCATCGCACCCTCTCCTGGCTACGCCTATGACATTGTAAGACATAACAATTTACAATTCAGTGGACATTTTGTCATAAATTGGGATAACTTAAATTATGATTAATAATCAAAATCTTACACGTTGCATCATGCAAATTAACACACGTCACCTCTCTGCTAAAGCAACGATAGCTATTTCCCGGGGGGTTCACTGTGTACAAAATTTGGCAGGGGTCCTAGGCTGAACCCTCAGATATCAATATATTCCCATACCAAAATGTCAAATTTGAATGTGTTCCCATACCAACCGATATAGTGCCCAAAAGCCATCCCAAATGCTCAAATATGAAACCAATGGCATACCAAATGTCAAAATATAGGACCAATGCCATACCAATGCCATGACTGGTCCAAAGTAGAATATTTCCTGGGAAAAAAGCTATTTATTTAAACTGAAGAAGGTCCCAAGAAGAAGGCGATCTTTGAGGAAAACAAACCAAAACAACCTCATATTAGGATATGTGTAACTACTAGACCAATTCCATACCATAATTGTGAGATAACATATTTTCCATGACCATTCTCATACCAAAAAGTTGAAAAATCTGACCATTTCCATCCCTCAAAAGTTTAATGAGGTGGCATTCTCATACCACATCCTAAAATTTGGGTCCATTACCATACCAAATGTCCATAAAGGTACCCCATGTGCGCCGAGGATCCCCGTCAAGGTTTATATACAGTGAACCCCCCGGGAGCTATTTACAGATTTAGATCATAATCAAAACAATTCACGTACCAACATACGAACTATTGAAAATAGAGTAAGATTGATTTGTCTTGTTTTTCAAATCGTCTTACAATGTCATTGGCGTAGCCAGGTGGGGGTGCGATCGCACCCCCCCCCCCCCTTCATTACCAATGGAAATATGACCTAGATGATAGAGGAAGAAAAGAGCCTTTAAATGCTTTTTATTTGAAGCTTCTAGCTCAACTTTGAAGGAAGTTACATACATTTTTGTAAATTCAAAACAAATCTTACACGTTTTCTAATGATCTAATTATGTTGTGTATTCGTATATTTCGTTTTTTGTTTTTTTTCGACCGGGTACCAAGTTTGAACCCAGCATGGAGGATTTACTACCAGGTACCCGGTTTTTTTATACAAACCCTATCTAGAAAATTAACCTCATTCTCTATAATTTGATGTAGATTAATCGAACCCCTATATCATGGTCTTTCAATTGAAAGCCCATGCCTACAGTATATGAATAGGTACATTTTAATATATAACATTATGGGGGTAAGCGTTTCATAGTTGGTCACGACGCCAGAAGTGCAAAGTATTGTTCCGAGTTTTTGAATTTCGTGTTAGATTACGGTAATCACACCTGAAGCATGGTTTTTGTTTTTGATAAATTACAATAAAGTTTAATAATATTCCTATGCGTATTTTGCGAAATTTTGTTGACGTTTATTTAAGTTACAATGTAACGGTGCATTATATTTGATTAATCAGTATCTGAAAGTTTGATTTAAGTACTTCTACACGCTTTTACATTAGTCCCAATCATGCAAATCCCTTGAATGTCCCGGGACATCCTGCAAATTTAGGTGGATGTCTTGCGAAATCCCGCAAATTTAGGGCACTTTGTCTAAAAAATCTGTCCCTCTATGAAGTTTTTGGTGGTACACCTGTTAACTGTCCCGCAATTAGGGTGTTTGTCCCTCGAATGGTCCCGCGAAATCCCGCGAATTTGATAAAAAAAATCTCCTATTAGCGCGATCACGCAAATCCCTTTAATGTCCCGCAAAATCCCGCGAATTTAGTAGATGTCCCGCAAAATCCCGCGAATTTGGGCACTGGGTCTAAAAAATCTGTCCCGCGAGAAAATCTTTAGGGGTTGACAGTACTGCTTACGGTGAGATACCTGCCTGCTGCAGTGATATATCACTGCACGGGAGTTTGATAAAATTAAAATATTCTCAGTACGTGTATATAGTCCCGGGAAATAGTTTACACAGAACGAAAACTACTAAAAAAATATTCCCGTCTAATTAGTCATATAAATCTGACCCTCGTAGATCGCACTAATAAGTTTATATCCAATAGCTTGATGTTATTTGTATTGAAAATAATTACTTGACTTATTCTGGTGTAACGAAAGTATAAGTTCATGAATTTAAATCTAATAATACTTACTAAATTCACTAAAAGAGTAAAAAACTTGACCGGGTCATTTTTAAGAACTTTTTCCGAAAGAATTTGTAACAAGGGATCCTATTGGTCAATATAAATATCAGCCAATCAGAATCTCTTTCTTATCTCGATTTGGTTCGACCTAAAAAGATTCTAAAATTCGAAAACATCATTTTCCCACTAAAATACTGCGTATCACGGTAAACAGCTCATAATTTTATTAAACTATAAGCTACTTAAGATGGTGAATGTCCGGTTTCCCAAACAACTTTCAGAGGAAGAGGAGATATTGCAAAAGAAGTTTATCATATTGAAAAAAAAGGTGAGGTCAAAATTAGTCTATTTTATTTTTAGTCAAAAGAAAGTATAAAAATCCGATCCAAACTGCAAAGTAAGGTGTTTAGACTCTTCTGCTCATCATATCAGAATTAGTCAACATGACAAAAAAGCTATCACTAGGGGAGGTCCTTTGAACTCTGACGTACAGGTTTACTTCGTCACGGGGCTACTTCGACCATGGGGTTATTTTGACAATTGCGGATAATTCATATTTCCGGGGTCAGCCATCTTATATTAAGATCTCACCCGTTGGAGATTTCAATTTATTTTTAAGATTTATCAAAAATAAACATGGCATACTTCGTGAATCTGAAATATATATATAATCTATCGCTAAATGACAATGGCGATAGAAATAATTTACAAATAAAGATGGCAGGCCGATTAATCTGTGTTTGTTTACACTGTACCTCTCTTTCAGGTCTCCAACTATGTTCGAAGTGGTACTTTTAAAATCCACATTTCACAGTTCATGTTTTGTAAAAAAACATACTGATAGATAAGAGAAATGTCCATATACATACCAAGTATTGATCAATCACAAACTGGTATTGGCATTATAAACCTAAGTACAGAAAAGCTCTTCTTGAAAAAAGTTTTCTTGAGCACCTGAGAAGGGTTAATAGGACTTTACTGTTGCTGCCATCTTTATGTCGGTCCAAAACCTATGTGCTTTTCCATTTAAATCACAATGAAAAATGCTCACAAATATGTACCATCGCCGGACTATAATTTTTTTATTTAGCGTATATAATGTTAATCTGCTAAAAAATACATTAAAGATGACAAACTATAAAAAAGCACTTACATTGTTGCAGAAGAAACAGTTGCAGGCAATGAGAGCTCCTCCCAAGCCTGAGCCTGAACCACCAGCCAATACCCCTGTCAAACGAAGTAAGTCAATCCTCCAGCTAAAACCCCCATCAAACGAACTAATTCGAACTTCTCGCCAATACTTTTGTCAAATGATGTAAGTCAAACCCGAACCAATACCCTTGCCAAATAAGGGAAGTCAAACTCAATTCAAAACATGCTGCATTATGGTTCATTAACAAAAAATAATATAACTAAGCATATTGAACCAATATTATGAAACCAATCGTAACATCTGAATGTGTTTAATATTTATATTTCTCTGTACTGTAGGTGCTTCTGAAGTAAGTGAAGAAGCCAAGGAACAACTCAAGAAACTTGTCCAGTCTGGGGTGAGTACATAGTGCATTTTGTCATTACATCATGCATTTGCTGAGTGCATAGTTCATTTGGTTTGCACATAGTGCATTTTGTAAGTACAGCGTCAAATAAGTCTGTTCTCCCCCCTTAACTTTTTTAATTCAGAAATTACATAGTGTTGGTATATATCGTCTTAAAGGGAATTTAATTTGCTGATCACACACCAAATTTCAGAGTGATTGGTTAAAATCCAAATTTTTTAGAGTATTTTTAGTGATGTCCATATTTCACTTTTTTTAACAGTCTGTATGTCTCCCCCAGCAGTCCGGATGGCCTCAATTCTACGAGGATATGATCCTGTGTAAATCATTCAGAACGTTTATCTTTGGCTGTTATTTTACTATTTTGTGATGAAAGATGCCCCTGCTTCAAAAGTTCCCCTGAATGTAACACAATTTACTCTGTAACGATATTGAAAAACATCGAAATCACCAAATGTTGGCATTGTCACTGCAGTATCAACTTTTTACTTTTCATTCACTATACCTGGTAATTATACGTGTTTTGATGCATTCAAAGGTCAACTACAACCTTACAAGAAACATTGTAGTAATTTTATTAGGAGGGGTGTATGATTGATTTTTTGAGGGTGATCAACATTTTCCATAAGCTTCAAAATGATATATGGGAAAGTATGATAGATTTAAAGATAAAAAAGTTAAGGGGGGAGAACAGACTTATTTGACACCCTGTACATTGTACATTTATTCATTGGACATGTTTAATACTTGAGTAAGTAACACATTGATAATAAATTGTGATTTGGAGTATGTAGGTTTTCTTTACCTTTGATTGTTCCATATAATTTTTAACCATATAGTTTGTCAACATCTTTGAGGTATAATATGAAATTGTGATAATATGTAGATTTTTTACTTTAACTTTAGTGAAATGTAGTTGTAGGCTATTGCAGGTTTGCTCAAGTGTTATAAGCCATGTACACTTGAGGTTTTGCAATATCTCTACAAAATCTCTACATCTTATTATTCTCTTGCAGGCTATTAAGATTAAAGATAAAAAGGAGAAACAAGGATTTAAAAGACTGAAAAAGAGCAAAGTGAGTCTTTTATGAATTACCTTCTCCCGAAGAAAATTAAAAATGTAAATAAATAAATTACATTCTCATACTCAGTACCAACTTGATACAACATTTTATGTATTAATGATATATGAATGCCAAATACTATCTAGTATTCATTTACACTTTTTTTCAAATGAAAATGAAAATAAAGTTGAATGGTTGCATTATGTATTCTTTGGTTTAAATGTTTAGCCTTTTTTAGATCTTGGCTATCCTCTTTTTGCAATTTGAAGCTGCTGATCTCAAATTTTATCATGGGAATATAATGTAACTATTTTGATATTTTGATTTAGGATCCAGAGAAGGTGAATGCCTCACTGAGTTTCCAACCATTCTCTAAGGACAATGAAGAAGAGGAAAGAGAGGTAGGACATCAGGGGTGAGATGGGGGCTGTATAGGGGGAGCTAGAGTTTGGGACATAAAGGAGGGTAGGACAATAGGGCCAGAGATGGGCCATATTGGGTGTTAAAGCATTTCGGTTGGACTAAGCAGCCGCAGCCTGGTCTTTATAAAGGAGAGCTAGAGTGTAGGACATTGGGGGCTAGAAAAAAGCAGCTAGAGGTAAAACATGGTTGGAACAGAAATAAAAAGAGAAGGATACCTGATGAAAGGTTTAGAGGAAAGGAAGGATGAGGGTATATGAGCAGCAATACACAAAAAGGGTGAACATATTCAGAAGGAATTAAGATGGGGGTGTAATAGGCACTGAGATGGAGGCTAAGAAAGAACTTAGAAAGTTACTATAGACCAGTAAGCTGTAAACTTAATTTTGATCCACATTTATACAGGTTGCCAATCCCATTAGTTAGCATATACCTGTGGAGTAAAGTTATCAGTCTATGCAATTTTAGCTTGTAAATACTCTTTATTCATAGTTATTGTATTTCTTCTACTGTAGGCTGCCAGTAAGTACAACCCCAAGAGCCTCTATGACAGCTTTGTACCATCCAGGAATAGAGACCCAGCAGGTATGTTCAGTAATAGCAATCACAGACAATACGCAATGGTACTGTTTTAGTGCTCAGTACCGTTTTAGCTATGGTACTGTAAAAATGGTACCATATGGGACTATTATGGTACTGACAGTATGCTACAGTGATTTCAGAGTGCAAATTTAGGACGTGGCCATGTAATACAATAAATAATTCATTCTGTTGAGATGAATTCTTTTGCATCTTTCACAAGTGGTTTTCCACAGAACCTGATTCCAGAATATTATATTGTAAAAAATGTTCCAGGGAATCTGAACCAATGCTCATCCCCCCAAAGGTTACTTATTATAGGATAAAAAAATCAACATACTTCTACATCTTAGATGAACTTTTAACATTACTGATTATTGTTATAGAAAGGCGAGATCGGGAGAGAGACCGAGAGAGAGAACTTCCCAAAAGTGGTCATACCATATATATACATGGTCATGGAATTACAGATGAAATTCTTCAAAAAGCATTCGGGAATATTGGCAAAATCATAAATGTGACTATGGAAGATGCTAAAAAGTAAGAACTGCATTTTTTCATAAAACATAAAAACAGAAAGAAAACACTGTATATATTTTCCAATATTTTGTAGGATTAAAGTAAACTTTTTATTTTAAGTTCCTAAATATTTTTGAAATAAATGTAATAAGCTTGTAGTGTTCATATGGCTCATATATCCATTACTATTTCCCTATTTCAGTTGTGGTTTTGTCACATTTGAGAAGACATCAGATGCAGATAAGGCAATCGCTGAGGTAAATAGCCCCCATTTTATTTTACAAGAATCAAATCAATGTCATTATTTTTCTCAAAATAAATTTCTGGGTTAATTGACAATGCTGTTAAACATGTTATTTTGATTTATATCACAATGCTGTAGACACATTATTTTGATATATATTTAATGCATGCTTTAACACAGTCTATCACCAATACTTAAAACACAGGCACATTATCACAACATGATTGTCAGGTGGTTTGTAGTTTTTCTCCGCAGTTTATTCCCTTTATTGATATCTACAAACAATATTGTAGCAATACATCAGTGCTGAGATTAATTTAATAACATTTAATTGTTTGTTAAGTTTATTATTATTGATAAATGCTGAATCCAGCTCTAGCTGTGACATACTTATACACTACAATTCATTGAAACTATTCGCTCTGAAAAGAGGTTTTCAATAAGACTTTTAAAAATTGGAATATCTTCATCAGTGAACTTATTACCCATTAACTTAATGCAAAATGAGCCTTTGTTAAGTGTAACACTTCCCAAATTAAATACTTTGGGGGAGGGGTTTATTTGTTTTATTTAGTCTAAAGATACAGTAAAACTTGTAAATGCTGAGTACACCTTGCTCTAAAGAAACACTATATTAGGTTAATGTTTACTGAAGCTAGGTTCACAATACTTGAAACTCAATGTAGAGTTATCAAATACCAGCAAGAGGTATTCTAGTGTTCAATTTCTTATTTATTGGATCATGTCTTGTAGTTCACTTATGTTGGATAGCACCTTGTCGTTCATTTGTATTGTATAGATAGATACCTGTAGTTCATTTTTATTGGACAGAGACTTTTGTAGTTCACATATGTTAGGTAGAATCCTGCAATTCATTTGTGTTGAGTCCTGAAGTTCACATGCACTGGGTAGAGCTTTGACTTTTGTAGTTCACTTTGTTGGATAGTCCTGTAGTTCACTGACAATGTAGTATATTGGGTAAGGTCTTTTAATTCACTTATTGGAGAGAGTATTTTTCACTTATATTTGGTAGAGCCTTAAAGTTCACTTATGTTGGGTAAAGTTTACTTATGCTGGGTTTAAACAGTTCATATTTGTCACTTCTTTATCATATACTATATATTGGGTAGGGCCTTATAGTTCACTTATGTTGTATTAAGTTCACTTATGCCAGGTAGAGACTCATACATCAGTTTTTGTGTTGGTTTCTGGCTTGTGGGAATAAACATCTGAGGCAAAATTCTGAGCCACAGCATTCCTTCTCTGTGCCTTCTGGACTGCACATGCACTCATGTATCTGTATGATGCAGTGTGTCTTACACTTGTGGTGGTGACTCCCCGGATCCAAGTCCTTCAATTTGCTATTCACTGTCGGACATAGCTCTACAATTATACAGTATATGACATGATATTCATGATAGTGTATGATTAACAATTTCCCTTCAAAGATGATCCAAAGGCTCAAAGACAGGGGATTAATTTGAAGTGTAAAGATAGGAAATATGAATGTTTGATCATCTGATTTTTATTTTAAAATGTGATAAAAAGGTTCTAAAATTTATCTTTAAAGAATTGAAAAAATCCCCTTTCATGATATTACCTTAAAGGTGATTCTTTATGTACATGCATTATGCTTTAGGTATACAAGTTATTATGCAGATTTCACATTCTTCTTGTCCTTCATTAAGGGGCCAATAAAAATGTCAATATGTAGATATTTTTATTGCATTTTAGAGTTGAAGAATGTCGAAGAATAAAATTCAATTTAGAACTTGTTAAACTGATTAATCTGGGAGTAGATTTTTTCAACTTGATATTTTCAGAAAAGAAGGAATGGTATTGGGATATACAAGTTACCAATGCATCAGATTTACTGATATTGCCCTTTTAATATAGAAAGGGGGCATCCAGTTCATTATTTTCAGGATATCACATTGTACATGCACATGTCCATGTAGATTCTATTGAAAAATGAAAAAAATTGAAGTGAAAGTCAAAAATATTAAAACTGGTCATCCAAAATTAAATAAAATACTTACTTTCATACTTGCTGGTTTTTACTTTACAATCTTTAGTATTGAGGTGAAAACCATTCGCTCCAATGTACATCCAATATGTAAGATATATCAGCCCAATATAGATCCATGTACTTCTGTCCCTTACATGCAACATATTGGAAGATGTGTACGCCTGGCTATATCCAGTTGTCACAGTTGAAACCTGATCTCAACAATTGAAAATACTCTATGTTGAACTGGTTGTACAGGGTGTCAAAATATTCTGGCACCCCCTAAAACATATACAGGGGATTCGGCACTGTTTTCAGTTAAGAGGATACAAAATGTAATAATATGGTAACTTCATTTTAAAATACTCCATCATGATAATATAAAAACATAAATATACGCTTATTATTTGGGATGAAGAAATTATGTGATACCCTGTAATTCAGCATTTGGCTAACATTTCACAAAATAGATACTGAAAAAATATTAAAGCATTTCCTAGATTTAGTTATTTACCCTTCTTTAATGTGTAACTTGGTGTTTCGTTTATTCTTCCAAAAAGATTTCAAGAGAATAATATTATTTTAATATAGATATAAATATTGATTAATATTTCAGTTAGTTCTACTTGTTTGATTATCTGATTGATCAATATGAGTTTTGCTGATGTTATCAACATGTCAGAACATATTTTGTTTACCATGAATAGAATCTGTCAATCAATTGGTCAGCGGTCAAATGCCTGACTCATTTGTGTGAAAGATACTTTAAGGTCATTCCTAGTGCACTTTTATATCACTACCAAGATGCATTGTTGGATTTTTAAGTCAGACATAAAGAGGGATTCTAATAAATCATAATGGCCACGAAATAGTACTATAGTGTTGTGCTAATTATTTTGTGACTTGTACTTAGTAACAGTGTTTGACTCCAAAGTTGGTGTCCGTAACAAATGGTTACACTCTGTAACTGCAATCAGGTGGTGACATAATGTTAATCCTAACTCAAGAATATTGATCAACAAAGTTTTGAAAATTGAGATCTGTTAGACTAGTGATGTATTGTCATCTTTATCTCATTTTTAAACTACCTGTAGAAATACTTAGCCCTGAGAGCTAGCCTTTATTGAATAAGGAAACACATATATAAAGTAAAAAATTCACTAATATTTCTGCTTACATTTATTTTGAATTCAAACTCCTACAAAAATTCATGAAAGGTCCATTTAAGATCATTAAGATATGACCAGCAAAGCTTTAAAATCATCTGTAGTAGTCAGAGGTAAGTTTGGTTTAATTTAATGCTTATTCAGGGTAGTTGTTGACAAAGTTACATTCATATACACATTACACATACTGTGTTTTGCACATTTCAGATGAATGGCACTGTTATTTCTGGTGCACATCTGCGTGTAACTATGGCACGACGTCAACCAAACATTGAACAATTTGCCAAACCAGCACCAACAGCAGGTTCCTCAGGGGGCACCAGTCAGTGGGGAAATCTAGGTAGGGATTTTGTACTCTTGGACTTGAGGCAAAATATCATATTTCTGTGAAACTTATTTCTTGTTTATTGAAGATATACAAGTAAAATACAATGTTACCACATACTTTGTTTTCAATGTTTTTGTCTCAAGAAAAACTAGTTTTATGTCACCAACAGAAGTGGTGACATATTGTTATAGTTTTCAACTTTTATGTGGATCAGGCAGTTGGTTTCAGTGTTTGGCATCTGTAGCTAATGGCAAGTGGTGACTGCCTCGTTACCCCTTATCATAATTATGTCACCACCAAAAGTGGTGACATATTGTTATGGTCTCCGTTTTTTTGCGACGGCGGTTCGAGGTTGGCGTCCGGCGGTTGGAGGTTGGCGTCTGTAACAATTTCTTACAACTTCCTATAACTTAACAAATACTGTTTAGACTTACTTCAATTTTTTTCTAAATCACCTACATGTTCTCAGAAGTTCAAATCTGACTTTAGATTTGACATTTGACCTTCAAATCTGACTTAAGATTTGACATTTGACCTTCAATGACCTTCTCAAGGTCAAAAAAGGTCAAAAAGGTCTGTTTTCAACTTGCTTCAAATTGACTAAATTTTTTTTTCAAAATCATCTACATGTTCTCAGAAATTCAAATCTGACTTTAGATTTGACATTTGACCTTCAATGACCTTCTCAAGGTCAAAAACGGTCAAAAAGGTCTGTCTTCGACTTGCTTCAAATTGACTAAAAAAAATTTTCAAAATCATCTACGTGTTCTCAGAAATTCAAATCTGACTTTAGATTTGACTTAAGATTTGACATTTGACCTTCAATGACCTTCTCAAAGTCAAAAAAGGTCAAAAAGGTCTTTTTTCAACTTGCTTCAAATTGACTAAATTTTTTTTTCAAAATCATCTACGTGTTCTCAGAAATTCAAATCTGACTTTAGATTTGACTTAAGATTTGACCTTCAATGACCTTCTCAAAGTCAAAAAAGGTCAAAAAGGTCTTTTTTCATCTTGCTTCAAATTGACTAAATTTTTTTTTCAAAATCATCTACATGTTCTCAGAAATTCAAATATGACTTTAGATTTGACTTTAGATTTGACATTTGACCTTCAATGACCTTCTCAAGGTCAAAAAAGGTCAAAAAGGTCTTTTTTCAACTTGCTTCAAATTGACTCCTTCAATGACCTTCTCAATGTCAAAAAAGGTCAAAAAGGTCTTTTTTCATCTTGCTTCAATTGACTAAATTTTTTTTCAAAATCATCTACATGTTCTCAGAAATTCAAATATGACTTTAGATTTGACATTTGACCTTCAATGACCTTCTCAAGGTCAAAAAAGGTCAAAAAGGTCTTTTTTCAACTTGCTTCAAATTGACTCCTTCAATGACCTTCTCAATGTCAAAAAAGGTCAAAAAGGTATTTTTTCATCTTGCTTCAAATTGACTAAATTTTTTTTTCAAAATCATCTACATGTTCTCAGAAATTCAAATATGACTTTAGATTTGACTTTAGATTTGACATTTGACCTTCACTGACCTTCTCAAGGTCAAAAAAGGTCAAAAAGGTCTTTTTTCAACTTGCTTCAAATTGACTAATTTTTTTTTCAAAATCATCTACATGTTCTCAGAAATTCAAATCTGACTTTAGATTTGACCTTTAATGACCTTCTCAAGGTCAAAAAAGGTCTGTTTTCAACTTGCTTCAAATTGACCAAATTTTTTTTTCAAAATCATCTACATCTTTTCAGAAGTTCAAATTTGACTTTACAAGTTCTCAGAAATTCAAATCTGACTTAAGTTTGAACTCATAATATTGTGAGCAACTAGGTGGTGACATTTTGTCATGTTAATGCCTTGTTGAAATTTTGAAAAAGTATTCATTGATATTCAAACAAACACCTTGTATTAATCTTGTATTAATTGCCCACACATTGATATTATTGGTAGAATTAAACAATAAAAGCTTTCATTCTGTTGGGTACTTTTGATAAATTTAGCAGTGGGGGGTCACAAAGAGTCCTCTAAAGAATTCAGCATTAATTGTGACATTAGAACATTGTAAGAGCCTTAAATATATATTTTCAGCGGCTAACCACTCACAGAAAGGATCTCATAAAGACAAACGTGACTTAGTGACTTACGACAATGAGGATATATTCTGAGATCGCAGCCTGTAAAATTGTATATTATCTTTGGAGACATATACCATGAGGGTCAAAGAAGAAACTTCAATGAGAGTTTCAATGTGAAATAAAATGCCAGGCTCTTATGAAAGTTATTTTGATTGAAGAGCTGGATTTTGATTAGTTGATAAAATCTAAGATTGAAGAATTATCTGAAGCCCCAAGAGTATAGATGGTGAAGCTGTGGAAAAGGATAGGACATATACTGCATTTTGACTTTGGTGAACAATCAAAACAGATCAGCCCAGGAACATCAATGTGAAAACAGAGTTGTGGACTTTTCCTGATTTATTATGTTAATGCTGTAGTGCAATATTTGACACCTGTCTACAATTTACATTTAAGCAGAACACTAGTGTAGCATTGCGCCTTACTTTGTATCAAATCTAGCATTGCCAGCACGATCATTCTTTCTTTGCATCAAATAGAACTTGAGCTCTGAAAATGGAATATAGTATTTGTTTTTTCCTATTTTTTATCATATTCACGCCAGTGTTATCGATTGTTTTGTCTCCTCACAATAAAGCTACCTCTTAAAAAACCACAAAAGTCTACTTCCTGATGTCAAAAGTTATTCAATGGTCCATATTTTAAAGTTTTCCAAACCAGAGAATAAAGTATTTATTCTAAGATAGATGGTGCTGACCATGCCTATTCCCTAACATGAAACATGAATACAACATTTTCTAGGAATCATATAAAATTGTTACAATAATTTATTCACAATTTTTACATAAATATGACAAAATTACCCTGCATATTTTAGCCCAGTATGATACTGTGGCATGTTTAAATTACCCTTTTTCCCCTATCTTTCTCTTAGGAAAATTCATCCCTATGTGTAGTTTAGGATTCCTTAGAGTGTCAAACCCAGTTTTAGTATTTACAAATGTTTCATCTGGGGTAGAATTTGAGTGTCATGATTATAGTACAGTCTGTGTTGCAAAATCAGGGATATTTATAAATGATAGAAAATTATATTTTACCATGGGCTTTCAATTCGATTAGATAAAGCCCATGATTTTACTGAGTATGTATACAACATGATTCTATTTGACCATTTGGTAGTTTTCGGAGTATTGTACAGTGTTGCCTTGGTGATTTTTACTCATATGAAGGATTTGACATTGGAGATTGATATTTTTGTAGGAAGTTTATTCTAGGTATCGTCATATCATTCTCGTGATAGTCAAGCTTTTCTGCCGTTGTCTTGGAATTATGTTTCTTACGACGATGCCTTCGTAGGCACAAACAAAATATTATCAAGGCAAAGTATGTCAGAGCCAATAAGCCAGCCAGGATCGTAACAGTTGATATGTACTCAGGACTTGATTTGCACTGGCTGGTCATCACATTACCACTTTGACCGCCTTCAGTCCCTAAAGAAAAATTTTGAATGTTTATTTACTGTAAAATAGGGTATTTGTTTCCGAGACTGAAAGCTAAAGTAAAATTTATTTTTGTGTTAACCTAATTTAAGGTTGAACATATGGCACTTCATGTAGTTCATGAATTGCTAATATCTATTTTGTATTAATTAAAAGCTGAAGTTTATGGTTTTTATTAAAAAATGTCATCTGTGGATGATATTTGATTGAAGAATTCCCAAGCAATTTTTTCTAATTACATATAAATTACCTATTCCATTATTCACAGTGTCGATGACTTTAATAGTTTTCTCCATTGTGAATTCATTCTCCTTTTCCGAAGTGGTACGTCGTCTTCTCGTATGTGGATTACAGTCCTGTATAAGGGAAATAAATATAAAGGTGTGTGCTTAGGAAGTTCATATTACAGTGAGAAACAAATCCCCAAATTTGAAATTAAATTTCTTCCCAATGGTATATCTTTCTATTAAGATACTATTTCACTAAAATGAAATACAGATTACCATTTTTGAGTCACATTTTATGTACATTTAGGAGGGCTTCTATGGTATGATATACTGGCACTGAGTCCATTACTTTTTGTATACTAAGTATAGTAAGTAACAATTTAAAAATTAAACTTACTGGAGAAGGCTCTTCACAAACTGTTCTATTGGTACAAGCTAGTGCACGCGCTGTCACTTTAACACCATCAGATCCCGAGAACTTGTGTGCATAAATCTTAACTTGAATAATATTTTTGTTTGCTATATCATCTGGATCGTAGTTAGATATATCTATGGGGTTAGGCTGGAGCACGTCATTGCTGTCAGGATCGGGACACCTACTTGTCATACAGATGATAATGATGAGATGTAATTTACATGTGTAGTCGTGTATTACTATTTATATTTTCTATATTTATATATTAGTCTATTGATGAATTAAAGATGAAAAATTCTTCTTTGATTTTATTGATTGTAAGAATGATTTTGTTGATTTTGAGTCAAACAAGTTATAGTTTACAGTCAATCATGTTTTAGAGTCAAACAAGTTATATAGTTTACAGTCAACCGTGTAATAGAGTCAAACAGGTTATAGTTTACAGTCAAATGTGTTATAGAGTCAAACAAGTTATACTAAACAGTCAAACGTGTTATAGAATCAAACAAGTTATAGTTAACAGTCAAATGAGTTATAGAATCAAACAAGTTATAGTTCACGGTCAATTGTGTTATTGAGTCAAACACGTTATAGTTAACAGTCAAATGTGTTATAGAGTCGAACAAGTTATAGTTTACAGTTAATGACTTAAGAGTTATGTCAAACAAGTTATAGGTTACAGTCAAATGTGCTATAGTCAAACAAGTTATATGTTACAGTCAAACATGTTATAGAGTCAAACAAGTTAAAGATTACAGTCATTGACTCAACGTGTTATAAAGTCAGATAAGTTATACTTTACAGTGAAACATGTTATAGAGCCAAACAAGTTATAATTTACAGTCAACCATGTTATAGAGTCAAACAGGTTATAGTTTACAGTCAAATGTGTTATAGAGTCGAACAAGTTATAGTTTACAGTCAGACATGTTATAGTCAAACCAGAAAAACAGCAACTCCACAGAGTAGCAAATCTCACCAAACAAAACATATTTTGATATTAAGTGGCCCTCTTGAAAACTTAATCCTGAACCAAACATATGAACCAATTCCATCCACTGATTTGAGATAGAAAAGATTTTTTTCCAAAAATAAATATAATACTGTATATAAAATAAAATCCATCCCCTGGTATTTGATTTCAGCTTTCATCTTTAAAATTTCCTCTCAACAGAGTTCCTTTGTCCCTAGGCATCAGCATATGAAATTTGAACCACATCCATCTGCTGATATTTGAGTTATCAAGTTATCAAAGATTATGTTTTTTAAAACATTTAACTGCTTTTTCATATAAGATTTTAACCAAATCCATTCACTGGTATTTGAGTGATCAAAGATTACATTTTTGTTAGAAAAATAGTGGCCATTTGGAAATTCAGATGCCATCTTGAAAATTCTTTCCCCAACAGAGCTACTGTGTCGCTAGGCATCAGCATATAAAATCTGAACCAAATCGGTTCACTGATATTTTAGTTATCAATGATTACATATTTACGAGAAATGGCAGCCATTTTGAATTAAGAGACCATATTGAAAATTCCCTCTCAAGCACCCACAAGGCTTTGTAAGCCTATACAATTTGAATCAAATTCGTCAACTGGTTTTTGAATCATTGTCTGGACAAACGAATGGATGTATGAACTCACGGACTGATGGACGGCTTCTCTATGTCCCTACAAAATTCCTTCGGTGAGATAACAAGTTATAGTTTACAGTCAAATGTGTTATAGTCAAACAAGTAATACTTTACAATGAAATTTGTTATAGAGACAAACAATTTATAGTTTAAAGTCACATGTGTTATAGAGTCAAACAAGTTATGGTTTACGATTAAACATGTTATAGAATCAAAGAAGTTATAGTTTACAGTCAAACATGTTATAGAGTCATACAAGTCATTCAGTTGTGCTAGTTACACAAAGAGACTGTTTTGGTACCAAAATGCAGGAACCTCGGAGGTACGATTTTTCTTTTTCCAATTCTTTATTTCACGCGTAGTAGGTATTTTTATCACAAATATCTATCAGTATCATAATGTCTAAGTAAATTTACATGTTTGCAAAAAAATAGTTCAGAAGACAACAGAATTGTTGATTTAATACCTTGCTTTTGATGCATAAATAAAACTTCAAAAACCAGTTAAAACAGTTAAGCTCCTAAGCTCTGCTAAGAAGAAATGTTCAAGACTAACGTTATTTATCAAAATATGTTTTGTTCGATGGGATTTGCTTCTCCATGGAGATGCTCTTTTTTTCTAGTTATGCATTACCTTCCTGCTATTAGTTCTTTGATTAGTTGTTCGTCTGTAGAACTTCTAGTAGACATTTGTGTCACCTTAAATGCCTTAAAATCTGGAAAGTGATTTAAATATTACAGTAAAAATAATTTGAAAATTTTTGAAGAAATTGCTAAGTTCACTCATCCATCAAGCGAGCCCTCATGTACAGATTGGGAATAAGTAACATGAACATTGCCACTAAGGTGTATTTACTGTAAACAAATTTGCAATTTTAAGAGCTGTATATTCCTTACCATCTGTATTGTGAAGGGTAAATTTGACTGTTAATTCAGTTCCTAGCTGATATGTATTTGAGCCATCTTCAACTTCTACCCCTTCGATTACCATGTCAATTGCAGTTTCACGATCCGACACTTCACTTCCTTTATTCAAGTCTCTAGACATTAAAATATAAGAAGCATTTATTTTCAAATCTCTAGACTTTATGATATGTCAATCGATTTTATTAATGTTGTTCTCTTAAATTTTGTGTACCTCTGTTTTGTAAGGGGCAACATTCCAAAACAGGTAAATTAAGATTTACCAACTTTTTGAGATCATTGGTTTTGGGAATTTGTGGTACTAATAAAATAAGTAAAAAATGTTTACCTGAGTGGGTCAACCGCAGTTATGTGCTCTGTTACGAAGTTGCCATTTGCCAACAAGATACATTTTGCCTGATGTATAATGTTATGTGATGTGAGGTAATCCTCATTAGTTTGTACTACAATGTCCACAATTTGATGTACATCCTGGTTCTTGGAAAACAAAAATAAATTTTTACATCAAATATTTTGTATCTTTCAACATGTGCTTAGAATAAATTAAAAATCACTACCCGAGGCATTGCTCACCGAATTGGGTGTATAAACTTTTAGATGTTGAAAAATACAGTATTTTTGATTGGCTATGCAAAAGTGAAAAATATATATTTTAGATGCATAGAATAAAGTGAGTTTTCAATTTCTATGCTTCTGATTGCCCCTGTCCCATTTTTATGAACATTTCTTACTTACATTTTCTACCTTTCTGGCACAGTCAGCAAATTGAAAATCAGGAGTTGAGTATATATCACCAGTCTGAGTTATAGCACAGTTTGCATCATCTTTCTTCCCATATATGTATATCAGCCCATTAAAAGAGGCAGTATTAATGTAGGGTTGCACATTGACTTTCATAGAATCATTGTCACACACCTCAACTACAACTAAAAATAATAAAAGAAAATTCCTTCACGATCTGCAAACTAACATACATATACATGTAGTCTTGGATTGCGAGCACTTGAAAAATAAACATATTTTGATTTAATGTTATCGTACATGTCCAAAACATCTTTTTAGGATACAAAACATAATGAATCATAATTTATATTAACTCCTTCCCAATATACACTATTTTGGTCCCATTTTTCCCATAGATAAGTATTGTTAAAGAACACTTGCTAATGCAAACACTTTTGGTTGGTCCTAGTGGTGTTCGGATTAGACAGGTTAGAGTGTAGTATGAGGTTATATAATGGTTCTTTCTGTATCGTGTTTATACTCGAGTGAGTATATGATATATTAACAAGTGAGCGTAGCGAACGAGTGAATACATTATATTCTCACGAGAGTATAAAATGCACGATCTACATAATGAACCATTATATAATCTTATTATGCCACTCTAAGTTCAATTACAGTTGATTCGAACACAATCATAACAATTAAAAACCATAAAAATATCCCATTGCCAACTCAGTAATGCCGATGTTGATCTCGATCCATTTATGACGTCACTTGATTCTAGCAAATCATGTGGGAACCATTTATGACGTCACTTGATTCTAGGAAATCATGTGTAACAAAACATACACCTCGTTCTTCGGTCAATATTCATTTGTTCCCAGAATGCACTTCTACAGTGGTATACGCTGGAGTGTATACGGAGGAGTTGTATACGATGACGATATACCACTCTCCACTGTATATCGTTGTTATAGACCCATGTTATACAACTGTAATCGGACTTAGAGTGGTATAATAACTCTTACCTCTTGGATCAGTGCATGTGCTCCCAGTGTATCCATACTTGCAGTAACATGCGGATATAGAGGGCGAACACATAAAGGTCCCTGTTGTGTTGCATGTTTCACAACCTGATGTTGTAAGATCAGCTGTAGCATCTTCAAAATAATTATGAATATCAAACATTTACATTAGTTTAGTTTTATTCCAAAAAATATACAGAATACAGTTAATAGTACAATGTACTTCTGACGCCTATGGATTTAAACAAATAAGTGTGACTTTATTCATTGGTCTATCTCAAATGACCACGATTTTATGGTTATTTTACAAAACATCCTCAAAATGCTGGTCTCATCTCTGGAGGCTAATTTGAACACACCAGGTGACTAGATGCTCACAGATATCATGTGTAATGGCTCTAATCATCCTTCTTATCTCTTGTTTCAACTCTCTGATCCTTCTCCATGGAAGTATCCATGATTTACCAAGGGGGGCTCAATTTTCTCCTGCCTGGGGGTTCGTTTTTTAATGAAGAAGGGGGGGGTCGAGGCAAATGGGATGGGGGTTCGCAAAAATGGCCATAAAGTCGTGAACATAACAAGTGGACCAATTAAACTTAGTAGAATGAAAGAACATTGAAGAATGTTTAATTGTACCAAATATGAGTTCAAATTTATGTTCGAACCCATCGAACCCCCCCCCCCCCATGGCTAGTGGCTACGGGCCTGACTGCTAACTCTCATTGGATCATTCGTTAATGCCTGTTGTTATATTATATGTTTTATGATTTTTGTATAATAGATTTCCTATCAGTAACATTGTAATTGAGAAAAGGCTTTAAGAGAGTAAGAGTTGCAATTTTTAGAGGGGTACCTCCAGTTGTATCTACTGCACAATCAAATCCAGCTTGGTTTGCTCCACATTGGCATGCACCTGTGGCACTTACACATTCAGCACCATTTTTGCAACCATCATTTAAGCAGTTGAAGTAACTTTCTAAAAATAAGTTAATGTCATATTAAGATATATGAAACAATGTAAACTTATACTATTACATTACACTTTGGGGGAAACGCAGTTTAGAATCACACATTCTGAATGAATTTTAATTTAGCACACACTAATCTGGACTGTATGTTTAAAGATGGAGTGATATACCTAGTCTCGCTTCAAGACGGTGCCTCCCCCCCCCTCTTTCTACTTCATCAACACAACATAACTTGTAGTTGGGGGAGCTCACAAGGCCTTGTGGCTAGATTATGATTTACCTGGAATGAAGTTAACTCACCGCACGCTGTGTTGTCACTGTTGGCTGAGTAACCCTCCAAACAGACGCAACTCCCTATTGGTCCACAGTAAGAGTCAGGCACGTCACACGTCCCAATATCTTGTACGCCATGATTGTTGCAGGAAGTCCCTAATCCTCCTGAAGAATAAATTTTAAGACTCCTTCTTTGTTACACCAATAGGTAACACCAACAAACTTGTTCATGTAACAATACAGATGTTATTTTTCATATGAAATTTTGATACTTCATACTCTCGAATAAATCTACTGTATCCTTTTTATAGAAACTTCATGTACAGGGTGACCCCCAAAAAACATTGGTTGATAGAGGGTCCATCATTATGATGCACCATGTAATAAAAGTCTATTGTTACCTTCAGCCACTAGAAAAGTGGATCCTAAAACCAGGAATAGGGTTAGAAGATCTCCTGACATCTTTTATTCATCTGTAAAAAGGAATAAAATACTCACAAATTTTGCTAAAATGGTATTCTATGGTTCTTGACAAATATTAATCACAAATATAAAGTTGTATTGAAACATATATTGTAAGATGCTTAAAATGTTTTTTTTCAAAGTAAAAGAATGACCAAAACTCATTTCCATGTTTGATGTCCCCCCTAAAAAGTTGCACCGCATCAAAGTTCAGCTTTTTTGTTATTCCTGTTTCATTGGGCACACATTTTTGGGACACTGTATTTTAATCACATGGCCCAATCAGATGTCTAGAAATATCACCATAAATTATTAATATAGAAAGAACATATAGTATCACGAATATATATACAGGGTGTGCCAAAAATGCAACTTTTTCAAAAGTCTAGGAAAGTATAATAACATTTAGGTATGAACATGGAAATTTAATTACACTCCCCTCCATAAGTTTGGCAACCTTTTTCCCCCATTGAACTACGTGTTAAAGCCTCTTTACCTTTGAATTTTTATTTACTTAACCTGCGATGAAAATACTTAGTCTAACTTTTTTGAACACTAAGTGTTTAGTTTATTTGATGAATATTTTTGCAAATAATTTTTCGCCTCTTGAGAGGTTTTTTGAAAAACAATTTTGACTTTAAAGCCTATAACTTTGTTGAACCTGAAGAAACATATCAATTTTTTGTTAAATAAAGTTAGCAAATTCAATTGCCTGCCTAACTCGTATTTTTTGCAAGGACTCGGATGGATGGATATTCTGTCATATGACTTGCGGCAAACCTACCATTTCCCATTGGTTAACATGGGAATGACGATTTTCAAAAATTTATCATCAATTTTCGATCTATTGTAATTGAGGAAAAAAATTGAGAAAATTTGGAGGTATTGGAAATAAAGTCAAGTTACGTTTCCATCAATATTATAAGTTATTTCATCGCCGGTTAAGTAAATAAAAATTCAAACGTAAAGAGGCTTTAACACATAGTTCAATGGGGAAAAAAGGTTGCCAAACTTATGGAGGGGAGTGTACAGAAACTTGAAGGTGCAACAACTAGTACAGTACATTCAACGATCATCGACCAGTGTCAAAATATATTTAAGTTTGGATATTTTATCAAGACTAACATATATTATTATTATCTGCAAAGAAACCCCCTGGATGAACATTATTTCAGCTGATATTCCTCTTGAAACATGGTGGATCTTAAAAATCTTTAAGTGGGACTCCCTTTATAGAAGCTTTGAACTGAATTTTCACATTTCTTAATGCTGAAATTGATAGTTTATCCATATATTTCAAGAAAATAGGTATGTCAAAGAAGATGTTAAGCCAAATATTGACCTGATAGCTCAGAAACTTTTTTTTGAATTTTCTCTCTACAGTCCTTGTTGCCCCTTTAAGGAGAGGCATATTTTACCAATCAAATACTATAAGCTTATACTGAATTAAAAGTATTTCATCAGCCCTTTGAATATCAATGGTTCGTGTGTCCGAGATTTACCATTTTCTTAGAAAATGTGACTTTCTATGTTTTTTATGCGATCAACAATAACACATCCATATATTCACTAAATCCGTACAATCTGTGATAACTGTGTCTAGTACAAGTCTATATCAGTATCTAGTCACTATTACTATTGTATACTGTAGCTATTAATTATTTATTAAAAAAATATTCTATACGTCGCCCTTTGTAAATCTCGGACGAAAAAATTTAAAGTTTGTACTATTAGCTTTAGTTTTTGATTGGTAAAATATTGTTTCATATTGTACTGTAGTGTATTGTATTGTATTATGAATAAAATTATTATACAAGTGTAGCTTGAGACATATAAATCATGAATTATAATTTGAAATTCATTTGAACATATTCGTACTTAAAAAGGCAATTTTGTTAATTATTTTATTACAGTGCACCTTGAAAAGATATTTTTCCGCCTGAATATTTGTTTCAAGTATTCAAGAGTACTTACGTGAACATTTATTTTAAAATTCTATTCCCTTGGTTTAGATAACAGGATTACTTCTCTGCTATTTCTACTCTTTCCTTTTTAATCTGTCAATTGCTTCTATTGATGTTTTTAATTCATATTTGTGTGCGTTTTTAACTTTAAAGTTTATAATTGGATTGTGTTAAAGTTTATAAATCTAGCTTTTAATTTCAACCTCTAAGGGCTGTGTAATACTGCAAAAATACTCAACATAGTGTCTTCTTTATTTCATATGAATCAATTTTTGATATAAAACATGCATATTTTTGTTGCTTTTGTCAAATGATACTTTTTCAATGTGTTGCTAGACGATAGCTAAATGCTAAATGATCCTTTTGACTCAATAATTCATATTGTGGACAATAAGCGTCTTAAAAACACAAAATATGAATTGAACCTCATAAATGTCATTCAAAAAATATTTTTTCATATGACATGTATAATGAGCTCTGTATATAAAGATATTTAACCTGATTTAAAAGTGTAATTGAAGGCTAAAAGAAAGCAATAGATGTTAATCTATCCTTTAGGGGATAGTAATTAGATTTTGTGTGGCACTACCTCTCAGACTTATAATTTAAGACAAAATAGTACCCTGAATATTGAAAGAAAAAAAGTTTTGGAATGGATTGAAAAGAATAAATTACTAGCGTTACATGTGGTTGGTTGGAAAAAGGTATGCTAGATTTTGAAAAAGTTTTCATGTTCACTAAGTTTGAAAAGATCAATTGGTCCGGCCGCCCAGGGTGGATCGTATATGTTCAATTATTTCTTTTCAGGTTTTAATAGATTAAAAGTTGTATTTTCTCGAATGAATTGCAAAATACATGTCATTACACGATTATTAAGAACTTATCACAATGTTGGTGCCAGCGTTTAGGCCAGACTGCCAATGCCCTGGTATTTGATTCAAAAATAAATCTTAGTTTCTACACCTTTGTCATGGTTGCGTGTAGAGTTTTAAATTCTATAAGGGTCTACTTAATTTACACAAGAAATTACTATTTTCTATTTCGTTTAAAAATGAAGTAAAATATTATTTGAGTGATGTTATTATACAGGTAAAAAGAATTATTAAAATATGAATGACGCAAAGGAAGTTGTTTTGAAACTCAGTGAACATTGAAAATGTAATCGTTGAATAGCAATGTTGAAATAAGGATGTTAAACCCACATTTAAATCATGAATAAAAATTATTTTAAATAATAAAAGATGATTCTTTTCATCTAGAATTATGAATCTACAATATAGATAAAGTGAATCCATTTAACTTTACTAATTCAATGCTAAACAATTACAATATCTTACCAAGTATTTAAAATGTTTTTTTTAAATCGCTGGTGTTTTAGAACATTTAAAAGAAATGCCCCATTTTGTGCTATAATTAAAATTAATATAAAACTGTGATCATTTTCGCAAGCCGCTAATGTATGATTCTTAACATGGTGAGCATTGGGTAAGGCTATATCTACCCTTTGCATTCGTTTGACTTCACTTCTTATAGGAGAGCTTCGTAGTTTAACTAGACTCTGCGCGCAGGGTAGGCTATATCATAAGAATGACTTGATTCTGATCACCTCTTGTATGTCATCTAATGTGGGCCACAATTACGTATATTAGTCGATTTATTTACATAAAAAAGGAATAAAATTGACCATTTTATGATAGATGGTGACCTTATCCTACCGAAACGAAGATTACGTTTCACAGTAAGTTCAGAGGGCGATAGTGTATAGCACACGTACTTTCTAGAGACAACAAATACACATCTGTGGATAAAAAATGAAAAAGGGTCCCACCCTCATTTGTTCACATTCGCAAAAGCGTGAAAAATGAGAAACGTTGTCATAGCTTTTTGTAACTCCAATTATCAAAGCCAATGTCTCTTGATTGCGACAGGTACTAGTATTTTAGTCCTACACGATCTGAATTGGTCGGTGTCGTTCGTTGTATCTCTAAATGAACGATTTAAATAGTTTAAAAGTGATGAAATCGTTCATTTGGAGATGAAAGGAACGACACTAGTCTACACTGACAGTTCATGTTCGTGTAGAACTAAAAATCAAATAGTCCACTAGCAAGAGAATATTTAAAAAAATTAAAATCAAAGCATTTATCATGAATTCAACGATCGAAGAATACCCACAACCGATTATACATATGATTGGTTATTAGTTATTTTTTGTTCATTATTTAAAAAATGATAAATATTAGAACTGAGATTATCACAATAGTAAACTTTCTCCTAAAAAATAAACCTAGATTTGTTGAATTTTCTAGAAGAAATCACCGCATCCCCCTCATTTTGGTCCTTCCGGTCACCTGGCATGATTACGTGTCGTTCGGTTGTCGAATGATAAACGAGCTCGATCAGTGCGATAAGAGAGTTCATTAGACCAATTGATAAAACACACTAAAGATGAGGAAAAGGAAAACATAACTGACCATCATCATTAGAATCAGAGCTAGTTATATTTCTCTCTGTGACTGTACCGCATTAGTCTAACACGGTCTCAACAACGCTCAACAAAAATTACTACAACAACAAACAACTACTAACCAACATTTTCAGAAAGGCCTTGTTTAGAACCCCCAAGTCATTAGTTTTTGATGTATGTCCCCGTGTTAAGTCAGTACACCCTCCCTGAAATCCTAATTTTCTTAGAACTCAAGTAGATCGAGTCTCAACAAGTACTGTAGATTCACGTTTGGCGATAGTTTTGCTAGAAACCATTTTCAATATAATAGCAATAGAATAGGGGTTCTTAACAGGACTGTTCGACCCCGGGTGTTCGACATTGGACCTGTCTCTTACAACTTTCTGTTGGTTCTAACATGTGCATAATGAGTGTTTGAAGATTCCAGTTATAATAACCCAGATGCGAGTAGAAATAATCTTGATTTTCTTGATTTACGTCATTAAAAATTCAAAATTCAGTCAAACTAATATCATATTTGAAATCTACATGTAAAATTACATCTAGAAATGTGGTTTTAAAAAGTGTTTATCAACTTTTAAAAATTAATTTTCTTTGAAAATGTGACTTCTAGCTCGGGGAGATTCCCCATAGACCCCATGCTATAAAATCACAAAAAATGAAATATCTTTTCTTTTAGTGGACAGATAATATTTTGCTTTACTGGACATATTTTCTTTAGTATAAGTATCAGACGCATAAGGGTTATATGAAAATTGAGCGGCTTAAATTGATAATATTCAAGTTTAAGGGAACTTTCTCATATACCTGCCATGTTAATTGACCCGAATCAGCCACCTGGTGGTGAAACTGGTACCTACCTACTCGCATTTGGGTAATTGCATGAACATTTCAAGTATATGTACAGAATTTGTAATTTCTAAACATAAATTGAATATGATTATGGCAAATGTAAAAATTGTCTACTGTACCTGTTCCCTTAAAAACGTTTGCTGATATTTTATATAGTTTTTTCCTGAAACGAATCGAAGTCCTTTATAAATCAAAATAAATATTTCATTTTTTATTCTGTTTACTGCTAACGTCACTTCTGTTTATTGAACTTTGACTTCACTGGTATTTTTGAAATAAAGATGTCACAATATGATTGGTTCCCCTTTTCATTGTTAACAACTTTCAGTTGTCAGTCATTTCAGTTGAATGCAACTATTGCAAACAAACCACATGCCTATGGTAAATAGCGTTTATTTGAATCTGTTTTATCACAGTTAAATGCCGCGATAGTCTATGCAAAAACATTAATCATAATTTTATCCAAAATACAACAAACGAAGTTAGTATTCATTTACGTACATTTATTTTGAAGAAACCAACGATATAAAACACTCGCGGATCCAGAACCTAACAAGGGGGGGGGGCAAATTCTGAGTTTGGCAAAAAATGTCCGAACAATTTTGGACAAAATTGGGCCCAAATTTGGAAATGAGGCCCATCTTTTGATAATTTGGCCTAATAGGCCTTAAAAGGCTAAATTATACCCAAAAAGGCCCATATTTTGAGGCCCTAAAAACTTTTAGGCCGAAAAATATTTGGGGCCTTAAAGATATTTTCTGCCCACCCCCACCCCCCCCCCCGCCCCTTGGATTCGCCAGTGTAAAATGGGCTTCGGTTCCTCACTTTTGGACTGGTTCACAATATCTGCAATCATATAAGACACTGACGATCTAATAACCCTATAAGTTATGACCGTTGGTTAGAGTAACACGAGTGTGATAATTTGGTATAACTGGGTATGAGGAAAGTTAATTGTCGTCAACTAATTTTTTGAATTATCTATTTCAAAAATTCCGTAGTCATAATTTGACATACGGTATTTTTCACATAAAAGATACTCTCCAAAATGATATTAACTTCTAGAGGGCGAAAGAGATTGTATAACCAATTGATAGTGATCGTTCTAAAAATTCAATTCTTTGCATTTTTGTGATTTATGATATCAATGGATTTTAGACTTAACATTCATGAACTAATATATGATGTTAATATAATATAAGGGGACATCCCTTGCTCCCCTACTGGCACCCCACCCAACTTCACCCTCTCATCCTCTTTGACACCCCCAAAAGAATTTGAAAAAAAATCACATTTTTCTTATTGACTCATAACGCACAGGCGTACCAGATGGTTCCAAATTCGCTCCAAATACAAGCAAATTTTTCCTGGGGGAGAACCCCCAGACCCCCCTGAATGCTCGGTTTTTTATTCACTCAACTCTTATTCTTGTGGTGGTGGCGTACTACTAACTTAGAAACTTACACTTTGAAAGTGCACAGGAAGCACCAAATAGCATCTCAAAACTGTAAAATTTTCTAGGGGGAGTGGACCACTCATATCCCCCACAAAACAATTGGAACGTTTGGATATTGCATTTGTTAATTCCAAACCAATATAGGGAGTAACTGACCCCCCCCCCCTCTGTCTTACGCGATTTGATTTACGCGGTAAAAAAAATTGACAATTTTATATTCTCTTTAGGAAGCTAAAAACCGCACCCCCCTTGGAGAAAAGTGTCTTACGGGCCTGTATATAGACAATAATCATGTACACATTGTGCAATCTGTTGAGAGTCTAAGGTGTTACATTGCTTGATGTCATAAGATGTTTCTTAATTAATGTATTACCAAGCTGATGGGTGATTCACTCGTTCTGGAGTTGTTTCACCGTTCTGCTGTTTATCTTCACTTGATACTGAACTGAAAGAATTCTACATTTGCAACTAAGGATAACCGGAGAAGGACCGTTGCCTTGACAACTAAAGACAACAAAATAAGAATCATTGCCTTGACACCGACATTACAGTATATTGGAATACCTGCGATTTTTTAAAGAATCGTATAGTTGATCTGTTTTTCAAAGTTCAAAACAAATTAACGTTATCGTAAAGTTCATCATCATATAACAATGGATTCTAATTTTACAACAGTGGGGCCAAATTTGACAACTTTAATGCCTCCTTTAACGACCATGTTTGCCGCATCAATGGTGTCCACTTTGAAAACAATGACGACTCCAATGGAGACTAATCTTACAACAGCGGAGTCGAATTCGACAGCATTGATGGAGTCAAAGCAAGTAGAATGTGAAACGACTTTGCCCATGCTTGAATCGAATACCAGCCGACCATTTGTGCCCCGCCAGCCTGTATACATGGGCCGTGTTGAATTAATTGTACACTTAGTCGTTGTTGCCTTGCTGATGGTGCTGATAACTGGTGGGAACATTATTGTTATCGTTAGCGTGTGGGCATACAAGTGTCTGCAAAAAGTCCGTTACATGTTGCTGGTGAATTTAGCTGTAGCGGATGTCTTGATGGGTGTCATCGTTTGCCCTGCCACGTTGATCATGTATTTAGCCTCAATGACAGGGGTTAAGCATCTCATCAGATTTGATGTGCTTTGCGGCTTCGTTGCGTTCACTCTGAATTTATCTGGTGCCGTGTCTCTGTTTAGCATGTGTGGAATCGCACTTAATAGTTTTATTGCTGTTTCGAAACCTCTTCGTTACAAAGTCTTGGTGACACAGTGGAAAACGGCAATTTTTATAGCCTTCACTTGGGTCTACGCGCTCATCCTTTGCGCCTTGCTGATGTATTTTGGGTCAAAAGATGTCTGCAATCCCCCCAAGCTGATGACAAGTACAATTGCGATGATTATCAAAGTCCACTTTTTAGCGTTGCTCATCATCATCGCGTTTGCCCAAACATTTGTTACAATTGTAGCCGCAAGACACGAAAAGAAAATCAACGCCGAACTGAAACTGTTCAACAACGTTAACGACCTAGCCGTTGCATTCAAGAAGGAAAGAAAAGCCACAAAATCGATGAGTATAATGTGCGCGCTGTTTTTACTGTGCTGGATCCCACGTGTCACAATGTCATGGGTAAAGCTAGATGGACCGCCTCCTACTTGGTACGTTCCAGTCATCGAGGGGTTCATTAAACTGATGTACGCAAACAGCGCGTTGAACCCATTGGTGTATGCCTTCAGGATGAAGACTTTCGGTAAAGCTATGGTGAAAGTTATCAAATGTAATTATAAAGCACATATTGATGACGATTAATCAGCAGTATAAATAAATATTTAAAAGTAGAATCAGATCAACAAATCAAATTGCAAAAAATGATGCTGTTTCAACTTATTAAAAAATGATCCAAAAATAAATTCTGAAGTAAAGATTAAGATTTGTTCTGATAGAAAACCAACATAAGTTGTTCTGATACTACCTTTAAAAGTCTACAACACAGGGGAGAAGGGGAATTTAAATAAGGGAGTTGCAATATTGCTGAATAAAGCTGAATTAATAGATGTCAGCACTTGTTTGCTATACTCACTTACCAAGGACCCCGTTGTGCAAGAAATAATCACGTTGGACAGCTTAAGCTGTGAAGTCCATTAATCTGGCCAAAATGATAGAGGACCATAATTCTACACATTCACGTACAAGTTTTAAAAAACGTGTCACTTAACTTCCGTACAAACTAAAAATATTGTCTTAATTTTTGAGACGTTTTTAGGAGAAAAGAATGTGCCTGATATTTTAATTTGAATAATACACTGATCAGAAAATTCCTAAAGATAACACTCAGCTTTTAATAATGAAAACTCTTAGTTTTATAACAATTAGTTCAGGACTTATAGGACAACCCTCGTAGAGTAATTGACCAGACGTGAAGTGTTCACATAATTGTGCAAACATTGGAGTACTTCTATGAACGTGACATATTAATCAGATTTCTGTTATAAGTTGAGATTCATGTTGATTGTATTTGTAATGTAATTGAAAAAAGCACGATGCGACAAAGTTAGATATCGTAGTAAAAATAACTGTTACGTGATGATATAAGTTAACAATTGCAAGTCACCATTTTGTGTAACCGATATAGAGGTTATCTACTGGGAGGGATTCAATATTGGCTTTATTCAGGAGGACAATATGATATATCCCGAGGCTCCGGAGGGCCAGAGGGAAATATCATATTGTCACGAGGAATAATCCCATATATATAATCCCGATCAGGAAATAAGCTATTTATCTCATGATATTAATAACTCTCTTCAGAAAATCAAAGTTTAAAGTCAATGTGGAAAAATAATTGTTCCGAAAATGATATTAAATTATCCTCTTTCACTATTTGAGGTCTGAATTTCATGTTTGGAATTGATCCCAAAAACGGACAAGGAATTGTACTATTATTTTTTCAAAAGATTTTTTTTACATTTCTACGAAAAATAAGTAAATCCCCATATGAGACAAATTTTGCGATCACAGCCCATAAAATAAGTGCGTAGTTGTAAATTCCAGTCTCAAAATGAATTAAAAGTGATACCACACTTGGTGGTTAGATCTCGTGTATGATGTTAAAGCAGATATGAAATGGTATTTTTAACCTAAAGGAATCAATATAATTTTTTGATAGATGTATTCGGACATGTTTTCTCATCAGTAGTGTGAAAACTATTTCACTCTAACGATCGTAATAGCTGCTTAATAAGCAATATTCGCAGATAAGCAGTTATCTAACATTTATTTTATAATGGCTATCGCAAGAACTCTACGGTGGGCTTACAATGGAGAAAAACGCATTTTTGTAGCTTCAAGTTGAGAAAAGCTATTTCAGTTGTCCTTTAATGACATTGATGATGTGCCTTGATTTTTGTATTTATGTGCAATTCAAAAATAAACATCGTCAAATAATGCTAAGTATGAATTGTTGTCAATTACATTATGTTACCCATGAACATCCCCCCGTCACGCGGGTTTAAACAGCAGACGAGCTTGAACTGCTTGGAACCGTTTTCTGCATAAGGCAAATAGTGTTTTTGGACGAATTATCATAAAACCACGATCATGCCGAATATTAGTTCTCACTACTTCAACGTATGCGAATGGATTGTACGTACATGACGATGTAGTTGCTAGTAACATCATCTTCGTGACAATTGCTCTGAGTATTAAAACATACCACTGCGAGTACAGCGGCTGGTTAATATCTACTTTCAGCTTCCACCATGGGGTGACGTTTTCATCTTAATTAAACGGTCAATGTGGAAAAATAATAATGAGATAATAAAGCTAGGAAACCCCTTATGCTAGTTCGTTCTCTATTTTGACTGAGATAATATATCGGTACAGCGGCTACTAAACAAAGACAGATTGACCAGTAGAGATTAGAACGTGAAACATATCTATTTTTATTCATAAATATGGATAATGTTTGATTTAAATACAATTCCGCGCTATTACCATCCTCCAGTGTTGACAATTCTTGTTGTGTCAGTCGGGGTCAAAATCTTACAATATATAATTAGTATTAATAACGAGGAATCCTTCTAATAAAAGCAAACCCAGGTTTTGATGGCGCAGATTATGCCAACGTGTGCTTCTGTCTTAACCGGGAGCCTAACTCGAATGCGTTATCGTAAAAGTTGTTCTTCAGGTTTTCCTCAAAGTTAACACTTTGGGTAGTTTTGGAAAATAGACATTACAAGAAATTGAATTATCATAATGATAATTCTGCTAATAATTGCTAGATCCGATTCTGCCTTTAATTACATTAGTCAGTCGTTATTTCATGCACATACGCTCAAAACAAAATAGTTCACAAGAACTTGACAGCGTGACGTTTATGAAAGTTCGCAATACATATCGACTATCAGGACGTCAACGGTAGCTCCTTTTACGATCCTTTCAGACTGGTTAGGACCGTTTGAGAACTAGTTTGATGTGACTGGAGGTTACGGACAGCATTCGTATGGCAGCAAAGAACAAATTATTAAAATAGCGACCTAGTAACTCCGTTTGTTTGTTAAAATGTTGGAAAGCATTGCTAATGTGTGCTTACAATCATTTATCTCTAAAAGAGAGTCACGAACTAATTAGTTCTTACTATGGTTTATCATAAAAATAGAAAATTAAACAGATGACGGCTGAAATGTAATGTGACCTTCGATTTTAATTAGAGTCACATATCTCTTCATATCAGCTTTTCATCATTGTTGTCATGGTGACGGAAGTTAATTGTTTTAAGAATTATCAGGGCTATGACCATCTATTATGCAATATTAAAGAAGCCCTTGTCTCAAACTTTGCGTAACATCGAGCGCTGAGTTTAGGAAACAACGCCCGAGTGGAATGAATAAGCAACATTGCATCGAGTCTTGGCCAAAAAACGTGTCTTAGTGAACACCTCTCTCTACTGAACACCAGTGTTTAGTGAACACCACTCCGATACACATTTTACATTGACTACGGTATAAAATCCCCTCTCTAGTGAACACATACCTGCAGTAAACCCTTGTGGCTCAAAGGTGTTTACCTGAAGACAAAAAGCTAGTATTTACCCCTGAAGTGGCAGTTACAGCTCTCCACCCAGACATGGTACTCAATTCAAATACCAGCAAGTCCATCATAATGGTAGAGTTGACTGTACCGTGCGAGGACAGACTGGATATCTCTCATGAACTCAAGAGCAACAAATACTAGGACCTACTAGATGAAGCCAAACTGAAAGGATGGCATGCCACACATTTGCTGTTGAAGTAGGCTATATGGGATTCCCTACCACTTCCCTTCGGTCAGTTCTCCGATCACTAGGCCTGCCCCCTCTGATCTCAAGCGTGCCACTAAGTCTATTGGTGGTACGGCAGAGTCCTGCTCCAGATGGCTGTGGCTGAAGCAGAAGGACCAATGGTGCCCGTCTGCGCGTGAAGCTCTGTAAATAACCTTATTGACCCAGACGTGCTAGGTGACAAGGTAATAATGGATCGAAGCACTGTCTGACGCACGTGCGACTTGCTGATGACGCAAGAGTACCAACCACCAAGCCCACACCCATCAGTCCAAAGTCAATGTCCTTCCCAATATCTCTAGACACACCACTTTTGACTCAAGGAGTGTAGCGATGTTTACACAAATGAATTATACAGACTTTACTGTATAGATCTAAAGTTATATAGGACCCAAGACCTCTGTGTTGACATATTATATTGTTACTAAATGTGATACCTTTATCGGCGTTATTTTTGTTCTGTTGCCTAGAGTCTTAATACGAGAATGTGATAATAGCTCTCCTAGACGCGACGGGATACATTGATGGGCTAAAATCAAGTCACATCCAAATCACACATGAAAATAACATCTTTTAAGTACAATAAAAATCTAAGCAAAGGTTGTAAAGAAGTTTTATCATTTTTGTTGTTGATCAGATATGATGCTTAAGTGTGGATGATGTTACATAGACAGTAAGGGTACAAGTTATAATTTTGTTTCTGTAGAATATGTGTATGTGTACTATTTTAGGATATGAATTTAGGCCCCCTAACGAGCTTGGTAAAATATTCTATCAAAATCATGCGGTTTTGAGCACTTTTCAATTAATTTTGGGCCAAAATTATCCAATTCGAATTCCCTGGAATTTTTTCAAAGCTGTCAACGGGCCTGAATGTCTGGGTCAAGTATTTTCCTTGAACAAAAGATTTTCTTGTTTAAAACATGCGGTTTCAAAAGCCCATGTTTGAATGAAATGAATAAGGAAAATTCATATTTTAGATTTAAATATACAATATATTTCAATTTTGTAGGTAATACTAAATTCTAGCAATATTTACATTAATTGTGGTATTTTACATTGACAATAAGAATGGTTGTCTTTTAACAGGAGTCACTGTAAATATCATTGATACATTGTATATAACATAGCATTTTATTCTCAAATATTTTATAAACAAGATACATGACAAAACAAATATAAATATGGTTTATGGCAATATATATGTGACACTGCTTTTATAGAAAAAGAGCTTTAATCAACTTCTAGAACAACACTTTTTTTATTTTTGAATGAATTTTCTTCAATTTGTTTCTTTGAAAAGTACATTTCTTATCAAGAATTCATTTTGTATCTCATTCACAAGCAATATTAATGTCACATTTCCCCAACAAACTATTTCAATATATCATGTCTCTATCAGGGGATATGTTCTAACTGCAAGTAATTTCCTGTGTCGTGACGAGACTCAAGTGCTCATGAAAAGCCTGGAGTATTCATGACAAGCCTGGAGTATTCATGACAAGCCTCGAGTATTCATGACAAGTCTCAAGTGTTCATGACAAGCCAGAAGAACCTGGTTTTGTTGGTGATTCGACAATTTCCAATTTAATGGCTTCTTCTTTTGGCAACTTTTGTTCCTTTTCAGAGGAAAGTTCAGAATTTGATACTAGTGGTTCTTCACTTTGCTTCAGTAGAAGGGATTTCTTAATCTCAAGTCCAATAGCCTTTGATAAAGGAGGAGGAACTGCATTGCCCACCTAAAGAAAATGGAAAAGAATACTTCAGTCAACATTGTTTAAAAGAATGAACAAAAGATATGAAGATCAGACAGGCCCGTAGCCAGGGGGGCTCGAACCCCCCCACGGCCAAAAAATCTTTCTTTTGGACCAAAATTGTCACAAGTGAACCCCCCTGGAATTTTTCAAAAAGTGAACCCCCCTTGGCAAATCATGGCTACGGGCCTGTCAGATATCATTAAACTTGCTTGAAATGTAATGCAAGTAAAAATACACTTGTTTGGAGGAATAAAGTTTATAACACAATATGACAAGACACTATAGAAACAAAAAGTTAGGTATCAAGGAGCTGCTTTAACATGAACACACCATTAACAATTGATTTGAGCTAAAAAGCAAAGTACAAATGTATTTCAATCATTGTCTTACTGTAAAAGTCATGCTTCCTATAATTCAAACTTTACCTCTATATTCCAGTACATGATATAAATTATTATTAGTTCCAATCATGGAGTTCAATCTCTACCCACCTGTCTATGTTTCTCAAGAGTGTTTCCATAAAATCTGTAAGTATCAGGGAAGCCCTGGGATCTTGCACATTCCCGGACACTCACCACACGATGTTGCTCTGGATGCAAAACACGACCCTGGAACACATTGAGTAATCCTATATTGAACTTTTGGGATGCTCCCTTATGTGGACAAAATGGTTCACAATAGACTGGATGCAAGTAGATATAATCTTGATTTACATCATTAAAAATTCAGTCAAACTGATGTCATATTTGGAATCTACATGTAGAATTATATCAAAAAATGTGGTTTTGAAAAGAGTTTATCAACTTTGAAAATCTAATTTTCTTTGAAAATGTGACTTCTAGGTCGGGGAGATTCCCCATAGAGCCCATGTTGTAAAATCACAAAAAGTTAAATATCTTTTCTTGTGTTGGGCAGATCATATTTTCTTTTACTGGACATATTTTAATTTGTATAACTATCAGATACAAAAGGGTAATATGAAAAGTGAACCACTAAAACTGATGAATATTCAAGTTTAAGGGAATTTTTGTAATACCCTGCCATGTTATTTCCCCCGAATCAGCCACCTGGTGGCGAAGCTGGTAACTACCTACTCGCATCTGAGTAATTATGACAAGAGCTGAAAATTGTTTTAATGATATAAACATGTGATAATTATCATATTGTCTAAAAATACATAGATATATGTAGGTTGATAATAGACTAGATGCGAGTAGAAATAATCTTGATTTACATCATTAAGTATTAGAAATTCTGTCAAATGTCATATTTGAAATCTACATGTAAAAGTACATTGAGAAATATTGTTTAGAAAATTGTTTATGTACCCGTATTTGCACCATGAAAAACTGAAGCCATTTTGAATTCAGTAGCCATCTCAGGAATTTCTACTTTGATCAGAAGGATATTTTTTATTCAGTTCAATTGAGGTGATATTTTAAGATTATGAACCAATGCCAGTATGGACCATTTCTTGGATTGGAATATGTCATTAATTTTGTAATAACATTGTAAGTAGAAATGCCTCGAGATGCCTGAACAGCCAGCTTAAAACCAGTAAGGACAAATAAAAACAAAAAGTAATAAATACTAAGCAAGCAAAATTAGATTTTATATAAAGGTGTATTTAAAGAATTATGAAGGACTAAAGTGATGGATGAAGTGTTAATTCTCAAATGATGATTGGTTGAATCTTTCTCACCTGTTTCCCCATTGGCTCAGGATTGGTGACAGTTGTACTGAAGAAACCGTCCCAATCAATTCTGCCATAAAGTCCTGCCCAGTGATTATGGCGATTTCCTGTATGGGGGAGGCACCATGGGACAATCGTATTGAACTGACGGAATTCAGCTTCACAGGCTCTGCCCTCAGCACAGGAACACACTCCTCTTAAGGCACCGCTTGGGGACCTACCATTCTTCTTATCTTTGTGTGTGTAGCGCCTACAAGTACAAAAAAAACCCAGAGGCATGAAATGTAGAAACATACCGTTCATGTCTCGCTTAGTAAAAATGAACCTAGACTTCGAGAGCAGACGGGCAAATGTTAGGGAGCATCTCAAAAGTTAAATGTAGGATTATTAACTGTATTTGCACAGTTAATTTATGACCCCCTCCCCTTCATAACTAAATTTGAACAAGGCACAGACGTGAACAATATCGTACCTAAAACACAGCAGTGTGACAGTGAAGAATTTAGGACGGAAAATCCAAAATGGCCACCTTAAAATTTACCCAGAATGCCCAAAAACTAATCAGTTCTTAACTTTGATACGTAGAAACATCCCTGAAAATTTCAGATGAATCCATCAAATGGTTTGGCTGGAAACCTGTAGACAAGTCTTGAAAGTGAAGATTTTAGGACGGAAAATCCAAAATGGCCACCTTAAAATTAACCCAGAATGCCCAAAAACTAATCAGTTGTTAACTTTGATATGTAGAAACATCCCTGTAAATTTCAATTGAATCCGTCAAATGGTTTGGCTGGAAACCTGTAGACAAGTCTTGAAAGTGAAGATTTTAGGACGGAAAATCCAAAATGGCCACCTTAAATTTTACCAACAATGCCAAAAAACGAATCAGTTCTTAACTTTGATACGTAGAAACATCCCTGAAAATTTCAGATGAATCCGTCAAATGGTTTGGCTGGAAACCTGTAGACAAGTCTTGAAAGTGAAGATTTTAGGACGGAAAATCCAAAATGGCCACCTTAAAATTTACCCAGAATGCCAAAAAACTAATCAGTTGTTAACTTTGATATGTAGAAACATCCCTATAAATTTCAAATGAATCCGTCAAATGGTTTGGCTGGAAACCTGTAGACAAGTCTTGAAAGTGAAGATTTTAGGATGGAAAATCCAAAATGGCCACCTTAAATTTTACCCAGAATGCCAAAAAACTAATCAGTTCTTAACTTTGATACGTAGAAACATCCCTGAAAATTTCAGATGAATCCGTCAAATGGTTTGGCTGGAAACCTGTAGACAAGTCTTGAAAGTGAAGATTTTAGGACGGAAAATCCAAAATGGCCACCTTAAAATTTACCCAGAATGCCCAAAAACTAATCAGTTCTTAACTTTGATACGTAGAAATATTCCTGAAAATTTCAGATAAATCCGTCAAATGGTTTGGCTGGAAACCTGTAGACAAGTCTTGAAAGTGAAGATTTTAGGACGGAAAATCCAAAATGGCTACCTTAAAATTTACCCAGAATGCCCAAAAACTAATCCGTTCTTAACTTTGATACGTAGAAACATTCCTGAAAATTTCAGATGAATCCGTCAAATGGTTTGGCTGGAAACCTGTAGACAAGCTGAAAAGTGAGACGCCGCCCGCCCGCCCGTCAAGCTGACGACAATATCGTACCTTTATTAGGTATGATAAAAATGTTGATATTTTTTGTTTCAAAAGTCACACTATATATCTAACGTAACATGTAATTAATGGCTCATTCGATCTAAACCAGACCCCATTGACAAAACTTTCATATTTGCCACTTGGATTGGCTTACACAGGCTTCCGAAAGTCATTTTTTAGTTTAATTTTTTCTTTGATATGTTCATGTTTTTTTTGATTTATCGTACCAGAAGTAAACTGGACAAAAAGAGCATGCACTCATAAAATTCCCGGGAACAATGTCGAAACGGCAAGTTTTAAGGCTAATGACCCCCTCCCTCCCTAACTGTGCAAATACAGTTCATTTTTCGATATCGATCTTTTGAAATGCTCCCTTACAAAGCAGACAATTGTTGGCTGTCAATTTTTTTGCCATAAGATTCATTGTCTGTTTTAATAATAGTTGTGGTACATTTTTTTTATTCATGTACATTTTCATTTCTTCTTTTTTTCTTTTTAATTCTAATTGTAACTTGGTCATTTCTGCATCTTAAATCATTAAATATTAATATATCTCGTATTATTTTTAGATTTGCAAGAAAAGGCCTGAAATGTTCATTGAAGAGAATGTTTGGATACTTTACACTTTTCTGTCAGTATAATTCAACATTTATTGTACAATGAATGCATTATGAAGACAGATATTGACTCAAGTTGGGCACCAAATAATTATTTCAATTACTGGTATATCGCAAAATATCTAAATCAATTACCCTAAAGATCGATCCCTCCATCCAAAAAATTGTATTTTGACATTTAATGTATTTGTTTCAAAGTAAGTTCATTGTAACTTCCGTTTTAAAAATCAAAACATGCGAAACAGACTTTCTTCTCCCCAAAATGTAACTAAATTATGTTTGGAGCATCAGGTATTTGAGGATGCCAAGGTGATGTAATGTTTCAGAGATGTTAATCTGATTCGTCAAAATTATTTAATTAATTAAACCAATGTATGCTTTTCGCCCCCAAATGTAATTAACTAATAATAATTATGTCTGGAACAGTGGGTGTTGGAGGATGCAAAGGAAAAAAATTACTCAAATTAATTCATTAATCAAATCTTGATTTGTGGGTGGTTGAGAATGCAAGGTGTTGAAATATTATATAAATTCACTATTTATATGCAATATAATGACATTGTTATAGCTTACAATTTTTTACTCTTGGTACCATCAGAGAGTCGTATTTCTATGTTTGGAAGATCTCTCCAGTCAGATCCAGGAGCAATGGGAATGTGCTGCATTCTTGCGTGAACTAGTGGGTTCATATCTTTGCATACATGGTCACGCAGAATTGGTTGATATTGAGTGCCTCGAATCTAAAACACATATACAAAAGTTATTCTATTTCGGGTAGAGGGTATGTAAATTTACTCAAACAACACAGGGGTGGTCCATACAAGTAACTCATAATATTGTTAATTTGCTGTTTTAGGATGTAATTTCCTAAGTATGTATTATGTTTAACTTTTAAGCGTGTTATTTCCTGTTTAAAGGCAAAATATACAATATAAAACTTATTTCTCAAACGTGTGACTTCAAAAAGCTAAAAACAGAATATAACATGCTATATCAGGTAGTCATATTACCTCTCTTTGGAAATGAGACTGTGGATCACCTCCGTACGATATCTCCAATTTATTAGCGCCATTCCGAATCTCTGGAAGATCTGACATTGTATCCCGAACCGTTGTCGTCCTGTATGGAGCAGATGTCATGCGATTGATGGCTTGATACTTCTTATCCCCGATCATAACGCTCAGTTGCATGGCTCGGGGTGAGAAAGTATGCAGAGGTTCTGGGTAATAAGGAAGTTTTTCACCAGGGGCAGCCGCCAATATGATAGCCCTAAAATAGCAATGGGATAGATATGAATGGTTGTAAAAATCTGAAAATTTCACCTTGGAGGTAATCACTACCAATCATGCCCATCCTCCATTTCAGAATATCTTCTGTAGCCCTTATCTGTCAACATCAAAGTTTTGTAAATTAAAATGCAAACTGTTAAATCAGAGTATGTGTAAAAGTTGGGGCAAAATTGAAAGTGAAGCTTGTTCTATTGTAATACTTCATGCATATACATTCTGTATGACACTGGATAGAAGCAGCCTTATGTATTCTATTAATTTTTATGTCCCATATATTTCTTGACACTCATTTGCTTATTTATGTTCAAGGATATGAAAAATATAAAATAATGATCTAGAAAGTCCTGAATCCCCAAATGTATGTCATGTGACCAGTAAAAAGTACTTTTCATCTTCCCTGCTAATGGGGATTATACTTAGAGGTTATGTCACTATGACGTGAAATATGCATGAGTTCTCCCAATATAGGCCGACCTTGGGAGGCTCTATATTTGGGCAAGAACGAAGGCATATTTCACGTCATAGTGACATAACTGATGTATTACATGCCTTTGTTCCCATGGTTACTTTGTATCAATGACGTGACGTCATGATATTATCATGGTTATTAAAGAAATCTAATATCAAAACGAGGTAAGCGGGCTATATCGGGGTAATCGGGCAATATCGGTGGATATAGCTCGCTAACTTTCCCATTGACTTCCATACAAATGCTTCGCTAGGTATGTAATACAAGTTCAAAGAGACTCCCATTTATTAAGTCCTACAATATTCCAGTAATAAGACTTTAATTTTCTATGATTGATAACTAAAATTCAGCAGTTGTATTTCCGATAATACTGTAAATTGATACGATGGTTATTCCCCTGAGCTATTGGAGGGGAATTGTGTTTGATGTAATAACATGGAAGTCTACAACTGTACAATACAATCATATAGACACATAAACTGAATTTGGAAAATACTACAAGTGTTAAGTAAAGGAGGACATAAAATAGAATAATGTAATGTATGTAAAGACTTGTTATCTTAAAAATGTGATATAAGACATGTTACGCATTCATTTTTTCAGAGGAGGCATAACAATCCAATTAAACAAAACATCATACCAGGTGTCACTTAGTCATAATATTAAGTGTGGATTGCTTCATAAAATAATGCAATATTCACAAACTGGATACACATATTATTTTATAATAAAAGAGATCCAGGGGAACTAATGGTAATTTGCAAATGATTAGCACCATATCTTACACAATTTTTCATATCCTCTCATCAATTTTGTTGTGACTATACAATTGTACAAACAATTAACATCAGATATAATTACTATCTGAACTTTTCAACTTGCTACTGTGTTCCTGGGTTATCTAAGTTGAATCAATATCAAAAACTAGACAACAGCAACACCAAAGCGTAGCAAATCCAATTGAACAGCCATGGCTGAAATTTTTCAACAAAAAGTATATAGCAAACATGGCAGCCATTTTTCAAAATGGCCACCTTCTACCAAAGGTGTCATTAGACAGTGTGCCATGCTTACAGTATTCACATACAAAATATGAACAAAATTGCTCCACTACTTTTCGAGTTATAGTAAAATACGTTAAAATGGTGACCATTTTTAAAAATGGCCGCCTTCTACCAAAAGTGTCATTAGACAGTGTGCCATGCTTATAGTATTCATATACCAAATATGAACAAAATCGCTCCAATACTTTTCAAGTTAAAGTAAAATATGTTGAAATGGCAGCTATAAAATGGCTGCCTTCTACCAAAAGTGTCATTAGACAGTGTGCCATGCAAAAGAAGTGAGTAGCTCCCATAATTTATTCATATTCTATCGTATTCTGGGATTCCCCATTACGTCATCGCCCGCATCATCTCCAATCAAATTGCAGGATGCGATCACGTGAACAATCATAAGCACATGCTCTCTCAAGGCTGCGCATGCGCAAAGTACAATTTGAAATCGTGGAAATGGCGTTAACATCAGTTCAATATCATTATTTTAAACCTCGGTAATACTATTGAAGTTACTTGATCCAAACTTGTAGAGAATACTCATAAAACTACAGCAAACATTGGGAGATTCAGTTCAATGGCAAATGAGGCCTGTTTATAAATTTTTTTTTTGAATGTGCAGATATGAAAGGTCATCTTTGGGAAATCTCCCCCCCCCCTGTGTGCCATGCATAGTATTCACATACCAAATATGAACAAAATCGCTCCACTACTTTTCGAGTTACAGCAAAAATCGTAAAATAACGAGTAAAGGCCGCCATTTTTCAAGATGGCTGCCATGTGGTTCTTTAATATCTACATTTCTAGCTTTTTTTAATGTCCTATATAAATTTTTTACATTTAAATCATTTTGCTATTTCAGTTTTACATATTTCACCTGAATTACTGTAAAATCGGCACTCAAATTGCCACCATTTTTAAATGAGCGGCTGTTTTGAAAATCGGCTTTCGAGCAGAACTTCTACCCCCATAGGGTATGTATGTGTATGTGTACACAATATGAACAAAATCGGGCCAACGGTATTTGAGTTATTGCCCGGACGGACGGAGGCGTTCCCTATATCCCTCGAACTTTGTTCAATGGGATAATAAAGTACAACAAGGCATTAACATGACAACATGCAACGGCCTGAAAATGGTTTCAAAAGTGTAACAATTGTTACAGATGTCACTGACTGCCAACAAAAATAAAAGATCAGATTTGAACGTCTGAGAACTGAGATGATCATGTCAATTTAAAGCAAGTTAAAAAATGACCTGTTTTGACCTTCATTGTCCACTTATTTGTTGCCTTGGTAACAGATATTTGGAGAAATGTTTTTGAACTCATAACATGTTTAAATATGTTGACGGTGAAAATTCAAAGTCAGTTTGAACAGTACTTGTTCAGTTATTGGAAATTTGTTACAGACATTCTGGTGGTGACATAACAAAAATCATGAGTTGATATTGTATGTGAGTGAAAATAAACAATCTAACTACTGAAGCTTGTAGACATGTCACCACTGAATCCCTTGTTCAGTACTAACCTTCTACGGGTCTGTGCTATCCCATAATTTCCTGCCTGAAGGACTCCAAATGTACACTGGTATCCCATGGAGACCAAACATCTCATGGCCAGTTTCAGCACCATGTTACGTTTGAATGAGACAAAGTTACGGACATTCTCCAAAAGGAAATACTTCGGTCGGTAGAAGTCGCAGAAACTTAGATATGATGCAATTAGAGAGTTCTGTAATTGATATAAAATAAAAAGGATATAATTAATGAGAAACATGCAATTAGAAAATAAAACGTGAAGACCCTTGCCTTATAATCATTACTAAAATAAAACGATGATTTAACATAAAGGATCTTGTCAACCTTAAACATTTAAAAATGCTTTGAGTAATCTGCCTACCTTAAACATTGAATATTCCCTTGAGTTGAACCTGTTCATGCCACTGAAGCCCTGGCATGGTGGACCACCACATAGAAGTTCTACATCTCCTTTCTGAGGTAGCTTCTGGCCACGATCATTAGTCTTCTCCCCCTGAATAATAAATAAAATATGTACACTGTTATGTGGGAAATAAGATTTTTGGTATCTTTTTATTACAATGCAGAACAGGCAAATAATGCCAGTCATGTTATGAAATAGGTAAAGGTTTAAAGAGACAGTAAAATGTAAGCTTAAAGTCCCCGTCTAAAGTTTGAAAATATTTTTTTTCAAAAAAAGTTGTGAGCATTTCATTTCTCAAATATTCAAATTTCCCGCCATTTTTCAAAAAAATTTGAAATTATCAAATATTCCTTAATGCATTTCAAAAAAGATTATCTTTTTAACACCAATGCAAAGATTGAACAAAGGACACAATATTTCAATAATAAAATGCCATATTAAATGGGCCACTTCAATGTTTTAGCATATCAAAAATGTTTTGAAACATTAGTGATGTCACTAAGGTAGCAAACACTTTTTGAAAAAAATGTTTTTTCTCTGTCAATCTTTTCTAAATATGCTAGACTTCAATAATAAACCAATGTTGATTGTCTTACCAGGTTAAAAGGAAGAATATATTATGTTTTAGATATCATTGTACCATTGGTTTCTATGAGAACTAAAATTTTGAAATGCATTTTTCTCGGAACCATTTTCATGCACTGATAAGTTCATTTCTCCCTTATTTATGAACCGATTTTCTTAATTTTTTCGGCAAAAAACATGCGAGGATGAATGCTATGCATTGGTATGAATTGTGGCTAATTAAAAGATATGTGTGACCTCTAAAAGTTAGTTTTAAATAAATTCACAAATCTAAAACCGCTTTTTGAAATTAAAAAAAAAAAGTTTCACATATCACACTTTGATAACATTTGGTAAGACTACAATATAAGCCAAAGTGGTTTAAACTTTATATGGGGACTTTAAACCATGTTCCACAAGAGATTGTCACTGTTAATGTGAATGCATGTAATTATAATTATGAACAATAAAGACCTCATATCTTTTAGACAGTAATAGTGTTCAAAAATACACATCATGATAACCACAGCCATTCAACTTAAAGCTAAGTGCAGAACAAGTTAAGGAATAGAAACCTGAGGCTTGAGATAGGAAATAATAATCTTATAAATAGATTGTCACTCAGTGCCGCAAGACAATATGTTATATTATATTACTAGATAATAAATGTAATCAAACAGGAAGGTGATCATACTTGTAATTTTACCTTTTCAGCCCTTAGCCAGGAATGGATTTTATAACAGTTCACCTTTTCACCCCTTTTCAATTAAGGAATGAAAGGGCAGTACTCATGGGTGTATGACCTGGGGCACAATGCTTTGGTAGACATATTTTCAACCAAGATTTAGCTAATTTCAGGTCAACAGGTCCTATAACATCCAAATATCACCAGAGTGTAGAAATTAAATCCTATTCATACCTGCATAGCCTTTCCCAATAGGGCATTACAGTCATCTGTAAAGACAGTACATCCAGGGTTATTCAGTCTAAAGGCCTGAGCTGCTGGTTCAAACACTTCAATAGCCCAACGTGATTCTGCAACACCTGCCTGGTGGAAGCCCTCAGATAATCCTGTTTAATAAATAAATTTTATTTATTTAAATAAAAAACTGATTTGATATTAATGAACTAGAAAACAGAAAAGTAGCTAATCCCAAAGAAAAAAAAAAAATTTCAAATCATTTTGATCATTCCATGATAGAAATAGACAACAGCAGCGCCAAAGCGTAGCAAATCCCATTGAACATAGCCATGGCTGGCATTTTTACAAAGTATATGGCAAAAATGGCCACTTTGGTAGACAGTGTGCCATGCTTTTAGTATTCACACACCAAATTGAACAAAATCGCTCCACTACTTTTCGAGTAACAGCAAAAATCGTAAATAACGAGTAAAGGCCGCCATTTTTCAAGAGGGCTGCCATGTGCTTCTTTAATATTTACATTTCTAGCTTTATTAATGTCCTATATAATTTCTTTACATTTAAAAGATATTGCTATTACAGTTTTACATATTGCACCTAAATTACTGTAAAATTGCCCCTAAAATGGCTATCATTTTTAAATGAGCGACCATTTTGAAAATCGCCTTTCAAGGAGAGCCTCTACCCCCATAGGGTATATGTATACAAAATATGAACAAAATCAGGCCAATGGTATTTGAGTTATTGCCCGGACGTACGTACGTATGGACATACAGACGGATGGACGGACGGAGGCGTTCCCTATATCCCTCCGAACTTCGTTTGATGGGATAATAATAACCAGGCATACTGTATCCTTTTGAGGAATCTACACCTATGACATAAAATGTAATTCATATCAAGCATGAGATATTCAAGATATAGCCTAAAATATCAACTCTTTCATGAAAAATTGCAGGGATTTTGATCTAAAGAGCCATTTAGAATAAATATCCAACTCTGATGAAAATCACATGCAAAGCATAATAATATCTTAAAATAATACATAAATCCATCAACGACTAGTTTAGTTGACTTGAATTGAAGTTTAATTTTATCAGAGTCCTCAAGCAGAGAACATATTCACATGAGGTAACAGTTTAGATAATGTTTCATCCACATCAGACAACGGATATTTGATTCATGTATTGCTGTTTTAAAGGCACTTTTGGGATTCACCTTAAGGTGACTCAATTACTCAGAGGTGTCAGCTTACCATGTTTAGGTTTGATTATCAAAAATATTACGCCTCCCCTATTAACTATTGCGGTACCTGACATATAATTTGGACAATCAACTTAACGAGAAGTTAATAATAATATAAGCTTAATACCTCCCACTCCTGCAAACACATCAAGAGTTCTAAGACGTTTGATATCCTTCCTCTCATGTTCTCCTTCGTAGACTTCTTCAATTGTATCACTCTCTTCCTTGTTGGACTTCTTGCCTTTGCCCTTGCCTTTACCTTTACCCTAAACATACAGGTTATCAATTTTAATAACATAAGGACAGATGAGTGGATCGACGGATGGACCAACGGACACCTAGTCAATCCCATAGTCTCACCGTGTGAGTCAAAAACAACATTAAACATGTGTTCAAAATTATTGTTTTATTTACTATTGTGTCAATGGATTTTTCCCCTCTAAAACAGTTTATAAATTTTATAAACACAAAAAACAGCATTAAACATCTGTTCAAAATTATCATTTTATTTTACTGTTTAGATTTTTTTCATGATTTTCTAAATTGTCAACTGAGTTCTATTAGCAGTGAGGTTTAAGTCACATACATGTATATATTCTAGAACGGAATGAAAAAATAGAGTTCATCATTTTCCCCTACCTTTCCTCCCTTTTTCTGCCTTGCACTACTGGGTGGCTCTTCAAATTCCTTTGTATCACTGTTGTAGGCCTAAAAAAAAATTAGATAAATATTATTCACTTGTTAAATTCATGAAAAATTTATGTGACAAAATATTATCACAATGGCTGCAATTACAAAGTGTAACAACCAGAACAACAGCAACGCCAAAGCGTAGCGAATCCCATCGAACAGAAATGGCTGGCATTTTACAAAAAAATATATAGCAAAGTAAAATAACACACATAAGAAAGGCCATCATTTTCAAAATGGTTGCCCCTTAGCCAAGTTGTCATCAGAAGGAGTAATATGCTTTTAAGTAGCCACATATAAAATTTTAAAAAAATCGCCCACGCATACATGTAAATGCTGGCCATTTTTTAAAATGGCCGCCTACTACCCAAAATGTCATAAGACAGTATGCAATCCTTACGAGTATTCACATATCAAATATGAACAAAATCGCTCTATTACTTTTTGAATTATAATAAAAAATGTAAAATAACACACATAAAAATTTTTTCAAAATGGCCGCCTACTACCCAAAGTGTCATTAGACAGTGTGCCATACTTATAGTATTCACATATAAAATATGAACAAAATCGCTCTACTACTTTTTGAGTTATAGTAAAAAATGTAAAATAACACACGTAAAAATGAAAAATGGCCGCCTACAACCCAAAGTGTCATTAGACATTCGGCCATGCTTAAAGTATTCACATACCAAATATGAACAACATCGCTCCACTACTTTTTGACTTACAGTAAAAAATGTTAAATAACACACCAAAAATGTCATTAGACATTGTACCATGCTTAAAGTATTCACATACCAAATATGAACAAAATCGCTCCACTATTTTTCAAGTTACAGCAAAAATCGTAAAAGGACGTGCAAAGGCAGCCATTTTTCAAGATGGCTGCCACATATTTCTTCTGTATTTACATTTCTAGCTTAATCAATGTCCTATATAACTTTTTTACATTTAAAACATATTGCTATTACAGTTTTGGATGCAGTACCTAAAAAACTGTAAAATCGGCACTAAAATGGCCGCCATTTTTAAATGAGTGGCCATTTTGAAAATCGGTTTTGGAGCAGAACTTCTATCCCCATTGGGTATATGTGTACAAAATATGAACAAAATCGGGCCAACGGTATTTGAGTTATTGCCCGGACGGACGGACAGACGGACGGAGGCGTTCCCTAATATCCCTCCGAACTTCGTTCGATGGGATAACAATATGTTACAGATACATGTACCAAATTTGGAATGCAAGCCACACAAAATGGTAAACAACAATACAATTCTATAGATACTATAGGCTTTATGTAAATTGAATTCTGATTTTTAAAATTTATTCAGCTCAGATAGCCTAGTCTTCTCTTGCGTCAAGTGTTGAAGTGTATGACATGATTACATGCCATCTTACCTCAGTGAAGTAGAACCTATCCTGACCCCCTCTTGTGTACTCCTCTATTGTCTTATTCAGATCCTCACTACACACAACAATACACTTTCCTGCTACATCATTAAAGCTAACTTTTGCCTCTGAAATAAGACAAGATTTACATGTTCACACCTAAAACAATTCTCTATTTCGTTTAATTAGGGATAAAAAAAATCACATTTCTTACATGTACATGTAATCAATTTCAATTTCAAATGCAATGTATCGTATGTAAAACACTTTCCTCCCTTAAGTTCTGATAATGAATTTGTTGTATTAATAGGCACCAAGACTTACCTTCATCACTCCAGTAAAGCTTGTTTAGGTCTGACTGATAACTGGCTGAGACACCTTTGTGAGTATTCTCAGGTCTGGAAATGCAATCAAACAATGGATTTTAATCATACTTCAGAGTGATGATCTTTATTGTATTGACAGGCCAAACTATACTTGCACAAGCCAAAGAGGTCATAGAGCATTCATGGCTTCATTCTAGTCTTACAATACTTAAATATCTAGTTACATGAGAAAGTTCCTAATTTCTATTATTAAAGTAAAAAAACTCAAATATTTAATTCAGATACCACATTTTGTACAAGATATACCAAACTAAAATAAAATATTCTCATCAAAGCATGGCGAAGCAATTACCTGTAGAACTTGGTGACTGTTAACCTTATATCATGTTCATTGGTCAACTTCCCAGTCTTTTTACAAAAGATGGCTTTAATTCTGGCGATCCTGAATGGCTCGTAACAACTCATGTTTGAACCTTTGACATAATCACCCTTTCGGTACAGCTCTGGATAGGTAACATCATCCAACTGTCAAAAGAAAATTTTGTGAAACTGAAAATATTTTACACTTCTTATCTCATTTATGAAGAATTTTATAGAGATCACATCTTAATCAATATATAATATACTTCATGTAAGTAATATTGAGAAAGCTTTATTACTCTTATCTCTTTTATTTTTTTCTTGTGTGCAGAAATTGATCAAGAAGTACATGTATATATGAAATATGTCACAATGTAATATTTACAATCTACTCTACCCTTGGTTTGCAGATAATGAAAGACATTGAAACCATTTAGGAGTTTCAAGGCTATCATAAAGACAATAACAATATTTGAGATCTAATGTAACGTAACATAACCATACTTTGAGGAGATCTCTAAACTATAGAGAATTCTCGCTTCATAATTGTGATATCTTGCAAAATTCCACATTAGAGGAATTGACTGACTGACGGACAGACTGATGGACGAAGGGCTTCACTATATACCTACCCAACTTTGTTTGTTTGGATAACGATTAGATGCTCATGTTATTACATATTAAAGTCTTTATATTATCGAATAATTAGATGCCCATGTGAGTGAATGATTAGATGATCACAAAATAATTAGAAGTCCATATTATCAACTAATTAGATGCATTTATAATTGCATGATAACTCACATCCTTTTTGCTGGAGGTTTTTGTCTTGGGTGGTGGAGCAGGCTTCACGTTAAAATTGAAGCTCTCCGGAGGTAGATATACACTGTCCCCAACCTTATACATCTGGCCATCTCGCTTCACGTGGGTATAAAATACTTTGTTCGATTCTGAATCTCCTTCAATTTTTTCCCCGAGGGCAGGTGTCTCCAGCTGTATAATATAATAATATGTAACAAAAATATATTGTATTTGAGTTAAAAGAGTTTTAATAGTTGAGTGAAATGTTTTTTTTTATATTTTCTTTTTCTTTAACCCAAGAATGTCCCATATGCAGCAAATATACTTTATTATGCAAATATAGAATATGTGACAAGAATGAGACAAAAATCTTATTTAGGAAATAATGAATACTTAAAAAGTGACATAGTTACTGGGAAAAACACAATGAAAATCAATCCTTGTGGACAGGAATCCACAACTCTTCAGTTTGGCTGAATACTCATAAAACGTATTACAAGAATGAAAGATAATTTAGTTTTGGCTACAATATTGCTGATGTAATGCTTTCTCATGTGACCTCATTGAATAAAACAAGGAAGAATCTGTGAATAAATCATACCTTCCGTGTCATCTCTATGCGTACACAAGCAGTGCAGAATTTATGAACATTCTCTGTGGGCTCTGGAACCTTAGGAACATCTTCAAATCGAGCCATCTCGGGATCATACCTGGAATGATGGTGAATATATTGCTCATAATTCTAAATATTAAATCAATGTGAAAGAGATGTGGCTGAAGTTGACATAATGTGATAAGAACTCACCATTTCTGATAGAAATATGTCTTCCCATCATCCTCTTTGACAACATGATCATTTTCTATGTCCTCATTCCCACCTCGCATAAACCAATCATCCGGAACTACTTTCTCTATAACCTGTAATAATAGAACTTCTTTTCTGCAATAAACAATTATAAGAGGGCAAAACATTTTCAGGAATATTTCTTGAATCTAAAATTGTTTTTAATCATTAGCCAGGGAGACACTGAGACAAACAGAAACCACTAGAAACAAGCAATAGAAAACAAAAAATACTTCGAAAATACTAACACATACCTTGACCTTTGAGACTACACATGAAAGGTCATAGTCTTCACAGTCATCTGCCACAAACACTTCCAATGGGTCTGATGTCTCCCCTGAAATTTGAAGTTTTATCAAAACATATAGAACCAAAACCAAATTTTGAAAAATATCTGAAATATACAGGGCGTTCATAAAGTTCTTGCAAAAGTCCTCTAAAATTTTTGCATCTCAGTCAATCTGGCTGAAATTTTCACTCAGTATACCAACACTATTCATACATTGAGATCCTAAGTTATAATTATTGGGTCCTTGAAGAAAAAAAGTTATGGTTGCTATCGTCATATCAGTCAGGGGTAGGCGGAGCAGGCAAAAAAAGGATCTGTTCTGTTTGAATGTTCAAAATGTTTTTAACTTGTCCTATTTATTTTAATAACAGTATCTCAAGAGTATAGGTGTCCAAAATAGTGTCCATCGTGGTCTATACACCTCTGCTGTCTTACTTAGCATTTCTCAAATAGATGGGGGAACCATTTGGAAAATCTGATTGCGATTGATCTTTGTATGGATGGCTTTCATCAACGTCATCTGATCCTCACTGGATTTCGTTCTTGGGCGGCCTGATCTAGCGTTGTCCTTACCATTTGTTCTACCATCAGTAAATGTCTTAGTCCATTTTGTAAATGGTTCTTTTGGCCATAGCTTACTTCCAAAAAATCCCATGAATATCATCAAGTGTTTGTTTTCTTGATTTTCCCAGTAAAACATACATCCCAATGCTACTGATTATTTGTAATTGGAAATCATCATCTTTTGCTGATTTTGCAGCCATTTCCACGAAAAATAAAATTGACGCTGCCTTTCACAAAGTCCGATATCATCAACCAATGTAGGTCACTATGATACCATGAGTGATGTCATGAATCAAAGAAATTTCAATTTTGATGTCATCATATGACATCACCTAGTGTTAAAATGGCAACATTGGCTTGTTTTGTATTTTCAAGGATACTTTAAAGTATGTTAAAGTTACCCCTAACCCATATTTTTTATCAAAATTTTTCTTTTTTTCAATGCTGCTCCGCCTACCCCCGACTCAGGTTACTCTTGCAATCATAACTTTTTTTCTTCAAGGACCTATTCACTATAAATCAAGATTCAAATGTATGAATAATGTAGGTATACTGTGTGAAAATTTCAGCCAGATTGATTGAGAAACAAAAAAATTAAAGTACTTTTGCAAGAACTTTATGAACGCCCTGTATTTCTAAAGTATGAATAACACCATTCCTGTCATTTGTATAGTTTTGTTAATAAAAATTAATATTTAATTCAAACCTAAAATAGTCTCAGTTCCTCGTGTATAGAACTGTGCGTGGAACTCCTTCGCCCCACGCTCCTCAAACATGTAGGAGATCTTGGCGATATAGAGAGGCGTGGCTGGATCGACAGGTTTCACAGAGACGCAATCCCCTTGTTTTATTAATTCCCCATTAATAGTAACTGCAGAGTAATATTTCCTGGCACCATCAACAGTTGTTGGTTCTCCATCCCAACTGATTTTATTCTGGAAGAATTTATGCAGTTATAATTGTACGAAAATTGATTCATTTAACTAGTATGTTCGTTTATAATTGTATTAAAAAAAGTAATGCTTAAATATTTTGTTATTAAAACTTACATAAGCTTAAGCGTAAAAAATATTTGACTGATTTAGGCATATGTTTGAAGTAATGGTTGTTTGAATTACAGTATTGAGGCAATTTCATTCAGTAAAATTTGATAAACAAAGCTTCTATGTTAAACTGAGAGCAACCATTCTAAAAAGCAAACAACATTTGTCAATGTCATTTCTTTTTTCCAATGTCATTTATATTTAAGCCAAGGTCATTCATAAATGCAACTAAGGTCATTAAGATAAAAGCCAAGGTCATTCATTAGTTCAGCCAGTCATTCATATCCTAACCATTCATATTTCAGTCGAGGACATTCATGTTTCAGTCAAAGACATTCATATTTCAGCCAAAGACATTCATAGTTTAGCTAAGGTTATTCATATTTCAGTCAAAGAGATGCATATTTCAGTCAAAGTCATTTATATTTCAGCCGATTTCATTCATATTTCAGCTAAGGTTATTCATATTTCATTCAAAGACATTCATATTCCATTCAAAGTCATTCATATTTCAGTCAATTTCATTCATATTTCAGCCAAGGTTATTCATATTTCAGTCAAAGACATTCATATTTCATTCAAAGTCATTCATATTTCAGCCAAGGTTATTCATATTTCAGTCAAAGACATTCATATTTCATTCAAAGTCATTCATATTTCAGCCAATTTTATTCATATTTCAGCCAAGGTTACTCATATTTCAGCCAAAGTTATTCATATTTCAGTCAAAGACATTCATATTTCATTCAAAGTCATTCATATTTCAGTCAATTTCATTCATATTTCAGCCAAGGTTATTCATATTTCAGTCAAAGACATTCATATTTCATTCAAATTCATTCATATTTCAGCCAATTTTATTCATATTTCAGCCAAGGTTACTCATATTTCAGCCAAAGTTTCCCAAAATTTTATGTAATTTTGGTTTTTATAAGTTAATTATACTTACCTATTATGTCATTACAATATGCTAAAAGCTACCATAGTCACCTTTTATTGGAACAATTATTTTCTACTTTCACTTTCACTTTCGGTTTCCCGGAAGCCCCGCCCACTCTAAGTCATAGTCGCGCATGCGCACCATTCATTTTTCACTAGGTGAAACGCTTATTTTAAAGCTGATAAGCGGGGTGGCAAGGGAGGGCTTTTGATGTAATGACATAATAGGTAAGTATAATTAACTTATAAAAACCAAAATTACATAAAATTTTGGGATTTTACTACGTAAATTAATATCACTTACCAATTATGTCATTACAATATGCTGAATCCCACCAGAGCAGGTGGAGGGATATTAGCTTAGAAAATAAAATAGTCCAAAAACAGCATTAACTGATTAGAATTCGTACTTGAATCATTATCCTTACATAGGATATTAAGTTAAATAATTTTGCAACGCAAAACTAAAAGTAACAAGTGAAAATAATTTATCCAAGCACACTCCTTTGTTATTCATATCTTAATTATTGATAAAAAATAATTGGAGATGAATAACAAAAACTTTCCACCTTTTATTGGTAGAATTATGAACTATAAGACTTTAAAACTTACTTAAACAGTTTTGTTCGCAGCAATGAAGTGGTTGCCTTCGAAGTCTTTCAAGGACACTTCCTTTAAGTAGAATGAAGCGAACGTGTTAAAGTTAGTCCATCTTCCAGCTTGAATAATCTCGTCTAGAGTGCAATTCTTCGCAAAAGCAATGGAAGTTGATAAGGCTCTGAGTTGGTGAGTTTTAACCTTATAAACCTGCTCAGCATGCTTGGGAAAAGACTGTAATGCCTTTGCTACACAATTCTTCACCCATGAAGTTATTGTGTTAGCATGTATCTCTTCTTTATAGCCTTTCTTGTATGATATAAACAATCTTTGTTGTTTATCTCTCATGGGCTTTGATCTTCTCATATAAACTTTTAATGCTCTAACAGGGCATAAAAGTTTGTCATCTTGAAGATCTGGTGTCAAAAAACCTGTTAAGGCTTTTATCTCAATGTCCTTCAGGACAGTACCTCCAGCCTTTAGTAAGGTCTTGGGTACAAAGTCAGATTTGAATCCCAGAAAAATGGATTGCCAGTCAATACTATGTGACACCTTCTTAAGCACCAAGGCATGTATCTCACTGCGTCTTGCTGCAGAAGCTAACAGAGTGAGAAAAACCGTTTTCCACGTGACATATTTTAAATCAACAATTTCGATAGGTTCAAAAGGAGGTCTCATAAGACCTTGTAGGACCACATTTAAATCCCAGTTTGGAATTTTATTAGAGATATTCCTCGGTCTTTCTTGTTTGAAATTAGATAGCAAACAAGAAATCAAAGGATCTGAACCAATATCTAAATTCGAAGTTTCTTTCAGAGTATTACCTAAGGCTGTTCTGTATCCTGCTATAGTAACTGGTTGAAGTTTTCTATCTTCAAATAACCAATTCAGAAAATCGGCTACTACAGTAACAGAAGTTCTGAATGGATCTCTATTCCGTTCAGAACACCAACCAGCCCAGACTCTCCATTTCGAGTCATATACCTTGATCGAGGAGTTTCTTTGAGGTTTTGCAATTCTTTCTGCAACCTTGTTTGAAAAGCCTTTGTTTTTAAAGGATTGTTTGACAGCCTCCAAGCGTGAAGCTTGAATATTTGGGGATTTTGATGAAATAGCCATTGTCTTGTCTGTTTCAACATTTTTGGAACTACTGGAATGTTTAGAGGTTTCTCTACAAGAGACTCTAACAGTCTGGGATACCATGCTTGTTTCTCCCATAATGGGGCAATGAGAATCATTTCCACATTTGTCGTTTGCAACATCTTGTTCAGAACAAGAGAGATTAATGGTGTCGGGGGAAAGGCATAAGCCCACAGACCTTTCCAATCCATACTTAGAGCATCTACCTCCCATGCTAGCGTATCCGGGACTGGTGACACAAATAGAGGTAATTTCGTGTTGTGTCGTGTCGCAAAAAGGTCTACTAGAGGTTTTCCCCATTTCCTGCAAATTGCATGGAAAATTAGATCTTTCAGACTCCACTCTGTTGACAGAATCTGAGACTTTCTGGACAGAGCATCTGCCAGAATGTTCAATCTCCCTGGAATATGACGTATTGTCATTTCTATATTGTTGACTTGATTCCATAGCAGAATTCTTTTTGTTACCTTGAATAACTGGTAAGAATGTGTGCCGCCTTGATTTTTCAAATAGGCCACAGTGGATGCATTGTCTGAGGATACTTGTATCCTTTTCCCCTGTACTTGAGGTTGAAAATGTTTGAGACTTAACTCTACTGCCATCAACTCCTTCATGTTGATGTGCAGGTTCAGATCTTGTTTGGACCACATCTTTGAAACTTCTAGATTTTCTAAATGTGCTCCCCAAGCTGTCATTGAACTGTCTGTGAACAGTTTTAGATCTACTGAATTCTGCATTTGAATCGGAACACCTTTCACAAGATTGTCCTTGTTTAGCCACCAGACTAAGTCTTGTCTTGTCATTTTGGACCATGGAATCAAAATGTTCATGTCCTTTGAGGCATTCCAATTTCTCTGGAGATCGTATTGCATCTCCCTCATGAACAATCTCCCTAATGGCACAATTTTCTCTGTTGCCGCTAGGAGACCCAAAATTCTTTTCCAGAATTTTGCTGTTTGTAAAGGTTTCGCTAGGAAACGCTGTATCTCTGTTTCGAGTAACTTCACTCTGTATTGAGTGGGTAAAATTAGACCTTTCTTTAGGTCGTAAAGTGAGCCCAGGTAAGTAAGTTGCTGAGTTGGATTTAACTCTGACTTCTCCAGATTTAGGAGAAAGCCTAACTTTTTCGTTAAGTTGCACACAGTCTGCGTGTTCTCTGAACTTACTTGGTGTGATGATGCTATTATCATCCAATCGTCGAGATATTGGAACATCTTTATATTTATTGAATGAAGGAATTTTTTGATCTGAGAAACTATCTCTGTGAAAATTAAAGGAGCTGTTGCTAGACCAAATGGAAGACATTTCCATTGGAAGACTCCCCGACCTTTCACGGCAAATCTCAGATATTTCTGGTGAGACCTGGCGATAGGGACATGCAAATAGGCCTGTCGAAGGTCTATAGAAGTCATGTACATTCCCTTCTCCAGATTTCTTTTGATGATTTCTGGAGTGTCCATCTTGAATGATGGGACATTCAGAAAAAGATTTAGAGTTGACAGGTCTGTCACGGGTCTCCATTTGTCGGATGACTTTTTTGGAACCAGAAATATTCGACTGTAAAAACCTGGGGAAGAAATGTCTTCTACTTGTTCTATAGCATTCTCCTCTAGGAGAGTGTTTATTAGGTCGAAAACTGCCGCTCTTTTTAGAGGATTGTGGAATTCTGACCAAAGGGGAGTCTTTTGTAACTTTGGCTTTTCTTTGAATGGAAGATAATAGCCTTCTTTTAAAAGGTTTATCACTTTTGCCGAAGCATTTATTTGACTCCATTCCTGCCAGAATTCCATCAACCTCCCACCTACTTTGTCGTTTGACGATGTATGGAGGTAATTTTCGACCTGGAATAAGTCACTGTTTATCAGTGGACTTTCCTCTACCGACAGATTTACCTCTGCCTCTTCCTCGAGAAAAACCCTTTGAACCCCGTCCTTTTCCACGAAAAGAACTATCTTTGTTCTGGAACTTATTGGAAGTTTTGGGTTTGTTTTTGTCCTCCTTTTTAGAGGTGTAGTCAAGAATTTGATTCTGCGCTATATCATTTTTAGCTTTCCTCAAATTTTCTTTCACTTTGGCCAAGTTGTCTTGAAACAACTTGCCAGTTTGGGGCTCAAGAGTCATAAGTTCTTTGAGATCTGCAAAGGGGATATCTTTATCTGCCTTCATGGAAAAGTAAGAATGTCTCCTGCATGCTACTATTTGATTGAGCAAAAAAGCATTAAGACGATACCCATCCTCAATGCAGTGACCAGCTGCTTTAATTAATGTCAAAGCCTGTTCTATTTTCTGACATATAGAAGGATCCATTCCTTCCTCTTTTAACAGATCCTCAAACAGTGGTTTAACAGAACCAATGAACCATTCAGTGTGAGAGGAAGTAACTAGATTTTCTCTAGACACACCCTCCCAATCTGTCAATGTCTTCAATGACAGATTCGCAAAATGAGGGTCTAATTTGGCCTTTTGCGAATCATTCTTCTTGAATGTTTTGGCAATGGACGAAAAATCTTCGTCTATTTTACATGGTTCAAACTTATCCTCATCTGGTACGATTTGGTATAAGGCTTTAGGAAGTTTGTATCTTTTCTTACAAAGATTCGGTAAATCTTTGGAAAAGGCATCCTGGGGTAAGTCGTTAAAGATTTTGACTCCTTCAATCAAGTTGTTCTTTACACCTGGGCAAAGTGGCAGTTGTAAAGAATTAGTCAATACTGAAGGTTTATCTTTCACTAGAGACCAAGATTTGACCTTATTCTTAGGTGTTGACATCTCTGCTATCTCAGGGAAAGATTTTTTAACGACTTCAGTGGCTGCCAAAAATTCTAATTTGGCTCTTGCCACCTCATTTGATGGCTTAGTATCAGGATCTTCCTGTTCACCATCATTCTCCAACTCTATAGTAACTGAATCATCGTCTCTATTGAGAGAAATGGTTCTTGTAAGAGAAGGAGGTGATTTAAATTGATGATCATCATTTATTTGAATGTGATCATCCTTTTCTTGTGTGTGATCATCATTTACTTGAGTGTGATCATCATTCACAGACCATGGCCTTGACTGTGTTTTCTTGGAAATATTTTGAGGTATGTATGCAGATCCTGCATACATCGCTCTCAGAACTTGCTGGTCTTGCAAGAAATTCTGAAACATTTCCTGTCTCTGATCAATTCTCGGATTGATAAATTGATCTCTCTCCCATTGATACTTATCGTATCTGGGTGAATCTTTATCATTTCTGTAACGTCTCCTTTTAGGACTTATAGAAGGAGATTGTTTACGATAGTATCTCTTCTTTGGACTTAAAGAAGGAGATCTATGAGACCTATAAGCAGATCTATGATGTGAAGATTTGTGTCTTTTCCTCGGACTTGAGGACAAAGACTTTGATCTAGACCTAGACTTTGATCTATGTTTGTACTTGTATCTAGACCTGGACTTAGATCTAGACCTTTTACGATTGTGAAGTCTATCTTTAGATCTGTATCTCACCCTCGGACTTGAGGAATGAGAACGTGATCTCCTTGATCTAGACCTGGATCTCGATCTGTATCTACCCCTCGGACTTGAGGAAATAGATTTAGTTCTGTGACGTCGCCGTTTAGGAGAAGCCGAATCTCTGTGACGATGTTTTTTACGTCTTTTAAACGAAGTGTCAGAGTCTGACCTACTAGAAATTGAAGTACTTCGACTTTCTCTACGGCCACGCCGGTCTTTTTCTAGAACTTTAGACTTCACAACCGGTGATTTACCTTTGTTCGAGCGCGCTGGGCTAACTCGTGGATCACCCTGGGTATTAACCCCTTCTGTTGTATCTAACTGCGTTGTATTCGTCGACATAGTAGACTTGTAACGCTCGTTTTTGTACCAATTTATCGCACTTTTGAAAATTTTGTGTGACTTTCAAAATGGTAGAAAAATGAATGGTGCGCATGCGCGACTATGACGTAGAGTGGGCGGGGCTTCCGGGAAACCGAAAGTGAAAGTAGAAAATAATTGTTCCAATAAAAGGTGACTATGGTAGCTTTTAGCATATTGTAATGACATAATTGGTAAGTGATATTAATTTACGTAGTAAAAATTCATATTTCAGTCAAAGACATTCATATTTCATTCAAAGTCATTCATATTTCAGTCAATTTCATTCATATTTCAGCCAAGGTTATTCATATTTCAGTCAAAGACATTCATATTTCATTCAAATTCATTCATATTTCAGCCAAGGTTATTTATATATCAGCCAAAGAAAATATCAAAGATCTTCACAAATAAATACTTTTGAAATTACAGCAGGTATAACACGAATATAGCACCCAAAAGATTAAATTTTGTACAAGTGCAAGAGGCAGAGATAGTTCTACATTCTGGTAGCTTTAAGGATGTGCAGCTGGACTATTGAGTTAATTAGTTGTGAAAGTTCAAAACAAACGAAAACAAAATCATTTCAGTTCAAAAATGACAATTTTGGCCCAAAGTCACTTGAATATTGCTCAATATGGTGAAAAATGCATGATTTTGAAAGAATTTTTGGCCAGGGGAAGTTCGCTCAAACACCCCTGTTACCCTGATTATGGACATGCTGTACATTTATAAACATTTACAATTGGGCTGATTCAGGAAGCATCAGTTCATATGTCTTTAGTGAGAAGAACACAATACCGAAGATGCAAGCAAAGCAAAGACAACATTACTGATTGCTGTTAAAGGACAAGATAAAGCCATATATGTTGAAACGAGGTTACTAAAATAGGGCATTAATGTCCTCGTTAGGCCTACATGCTAATCCAAATGGACTGCTGTGCATAGCACATTTTATATTTGATTGATACAAAGCACACTAGTATAGTACGAGGGGGAAAGCACCAAACCACACCAAACAAAAGCAACATACAAATACCTTTCCATCCTATAACAAATAAATAAAATAAATAAGTTAATTCATGTCCTACCTTACATTGTCAGAAGAAAATTTAAGCAAAATGCAAGCACTTATATAAACATCTTACTTTGGCCAGACACTTTTGGCAGTTTGTAAATTTATTGTATCTAAAACAAAATTATTTGTAAATATCCATCTCTTATTTTTCGTATATAATTCAAGGAGGATTGGCTCCCAGGATCGACAATCAATATTTTCCAACAATGAAAACGTCAAAATGTCGTTATTTTCTGAAATTATTAGCAACTATAAATTCAAAATAAACAGTCCAAAAGATTCGGACCATCATCTCGATCATGAGTTTTGGAATTTTTCGTTTAGGAAAAAGACCAAAATTCAAGATTCAAATTTTGAAGTGAACAAAATGGCGGCTGTTTGAAATCAAATTTTGAATCACAACATTTCAATATATGGGACAGAATATCAATGTTGCACTCTGGGAGCCAATCCTCCTTGCCTCTAATTAAAAAATTACCTTTTGTGTTTTTCCCTTATGTTGTTTCTTTGTTGGAGTCAAAGGTTCACTTTTTTCACTCTTGACTGATATAACATCATCTTCAATTTCTTCTTCTGGTTCATCCTCATCCGCCTCTTTAACTGCCATATTTGGGCATCTATAGAAAACAATGCCATATATAAATCCACCACTAACTGCCATATTTGGGCATATATCAAAAGAAAACCACCCAAATAAAATTCCATCATTTTGAATAAAAATAGCCAAATACAAATCAACCATGTTAGTGCTTTATTTGGGCATCTGTAGAAAACATAACCATTTACATATCTACCACTTGAACTGCACAGATATGCTGAGAACAACTGAAATGACATATTGGATTTCCTGCTGTGCAATGTTTGGGCATCTTTAGAAAACATTTTTTAAAGAAGGTTTACAAAAATAGAGTAAAGATGTTCCTACTACTGTACCTTCTGTTTATACAACACTGCTTTGACTTCCCAGATCCACCAAACTTAGTCATGTCTTTGCAAGCTTTACATTTGCCACAATCTCCCTGTTGACAGACCTATAGAAAACAGAAGAGACAAATATACTCAAACCAAGTGGAAAGGATGTGAAAGGATGTACAGAATTTTTGGCCCTTTTTAAATATATGTGAAATATGATTTTTATTACTGACCCTAGTTATGCACTTTTTGTGAATTCTGGCAAATAATTAAAGGATGTATATAACTAGGTGTCAAAAACACTCGGATAGTTAATAATATATGTGAATGAGTTTGTTTTTCAGGTTTTACAATTTTTAATATATTCTCCAATACCTGACTCATTCTCACCCTTAAGATTTAATAATATATGTGAATGAGTTTGTTTTTCACGTTTTACAATTTTTAATTATTCTTCAATACCTGACTCATTCTCAGTTCCCCAAGATCTCCAATTATCTCACAAAAATATTGCATTACAGAAGAAAATTGCACACACGAACATAATAAAGTCCCCACCATGTGAGTTATTGCAAACTGCTATGGGGGCTAACACAGTTAGAGGTGTTTACAGGAATATTTAAAGATAATAAATCATAGTCATCTTATAGTCAAACTGACCAACAGGCAAGTAACATGTCGCCAGTGAGCTAACCTGTCAAAAAATCAAGTGGACCTGGATTAACAAGCCAGCGATTATGCCAAACTCTGAGTATTATTGTCTCATTTTTACAAAATCAACATCCATGACTTAGCGACACATTAGACAGATGGTTGAACAGAAAGATGCTTTCTCTTTATCCCTCAGGAACAATGTTCGATGGGATATTTGAATAATTTTATTTTGAAAAACATTAAATCAACCTATTGTATTGTAAACATTCAAAATATATTTGCAAACAAACATTTTTTACATATATTGATACAGATATATGATATTTGTAAAATAAATTATATTGTGAATGAAAATGGCCAATTTTTACTGAAGAGGCAGTTATAATCAAAGTATAACTTGACAATGAAAGATATGGATTCTAATAGCTTAAAGTCAGCAACTCCGCCTATTTAGAAAGAAATAAGAGAGAGATCAAGAAACAAACATTACCAGAGTTGAAAGAAAGGTTACAGTTACTGTAGAAAATATAAGATGTAAAAATGCAAAAACTGCTTTGATTCAAAAAATCAGTTTACAATGATTGTAATTTATAATTTGCTGAAGTATGTGTATAATGTCAAATAATAATAGAAAATTTACTTCCAAAAACATCAATCTTACCTTGTTTTATCCCCAAATTTCAGAGACAAATTTTCAGAGACAAATATTTATCATGTCATTATTGTTTGAAAAACATAAGTTTGATTGGCCAGTTTCAATCACGTAACTGTCCAGGATGAAGCAATTCAAGAAGGGACTTTTCAACTATAAGTCTTAAATCACAAAAACAAGTTGTAATAAAGTTCCCAAACTCCCACATCACCAATTAAACCAAAGTAGGTGGCATTGCAATAATCAAATAGTAATAATTTGACATACAACATGGGGGGGGGGGCATTCTACTAATTATCAGATTGAAAAGTACATGACGAATTCTCATGTGATAAAAGGACCCCTTCCTCAGGCACTAAGCATCAGAACAAATACTCCAACAAGCAGAGAACAACTTCACATGAAAATGAACACAGGCGATATGACAAAGCTTTTCTTGATTCTTGCACTAGCATATCTTATGGCTGACATGGCGTGCGGAGCAATACTCAGAAAACATGGCAGTAAATCAGATGTGCATGCAGCAACTAAAAAGTCGGAAGATGGAACAGAAAAGCAGCAAGGTGTTATTGTTACTGAGAGAGACTACAAAAATGAGATGCATACACTTCTACAACTTGTTAAGGCTTCGCAAAATGACTTTCCGAAACATATGCATCAGTTGGAAAAACTGGTCGACCAATATGTTGATGCTAACAAAATTGAGACATCAAGCGTTACAGTTCCAATCACTAGCATGAGAAGAAGACGTAGTATCCACAAGCGACACTCCAAACGTCATCATAAATCTAGGCAGGCAAAGCTTCGCAGATATGAAATGTTGGTGTGGCGGTCTATGATGGGTGGTTTCCCTATGTTTCATAATTTCGATGCATCTGCATTTACAAGTGACGCCAATTCTAGGAGTCGAATCCCTCGGTATGGCTAGATGAAGACAAAGTTTATCAAGATAGACTTACCACTCTTCAATTAAGTCCGCAAGATATCAGACTGATTTATATTCACTACATGTATTTATCAAAATATTATACTATATTCAAATACCCTGTTTTGAAACTTATGTTAAACTCAAAACTGTCATCGAAAAAGAGATTTATTTAAATATCCAAAGTAAAAGTAACAGACAAGCAATTTGCGGTTTTAAGCACAATTTACACATAGAACTTGGTCATCATATGAAGCCTTATATTAGCCAAAACATGTGGATGAATGTTTGTCATTTGTGACATTTCGGAAAATAAACAACATTTTGTCATGGTTTGTAGGAAAAAAATACAACAGAAAGAAAACTTTAGTTTGACATTCTTAGACAATTTAATTTTATAGACAGTCCTACTTTATTGTAAAAACTTATGTCTAATAAGTTTTTTATGTAATTTTGATTTTAGCAAACTTCATTTATCTTCATTCAAAAATTTGGATTAAAATTTTGACAAGAGTATACACCAAACTGATATTTTTAATTTTGTCGTGCTGTATTTGTACTATACAAGGTATTTTTGTATTTATATTTTGTCATGCTGTATTTGTATTTTTGCAACTACCTTGTATTTACTATTGTATCTACAACTATTTTTCATGTTATGAGTGTTGGTTTATCAATAATCAATGGCTTCTGTATGAATGAAATATTCTTTGGTGTTATGGTGCTGATATTGTCATAATAGGACTTGACTGGTGGGGGGGGATATCAGACACTGTTTCTTTTCATGTTAGATTATGATTTGGGATATTCTGGTTTTGTTATCCTTATAACTGGTGTACACTTAAATGTTTACTTTTTCATGCTAGGTTCTGTAACAATTTTTGATCCTTTCCCTTTAGCTCTTTTGCGTATTGTATTGTATTGTATTGTATTGTATCTAATATCTTTTTTGTTTAGTTTTAGTTCAGTATTGTTGATTGTAGTGAGTTATATGTCATTGCTGTGACATCTGAGTAAAAGTAAAAAAAGAAAAAAAGATACATGTTCTGCTGTAAGTACAAAATATTTGTAGTTTGACGTTTTCTCGATATCAGATTTATTGAAGACTAAATTAGACTTTGTTTTAATTTTGAGAATGCACAATTTTATTGTTTCCCATACTTATAGAAATTCTCCATTGATTGCATGTTTTAACAATATCGGGAAGCTTTTGTGAATCAGCCTCAATTTCAAAAATCAAGGAAACGTCATCTGCATATAAAATAAAAAAACATTCACAAGCTCATTACCATATTTATTAACACCAACAAAACTTGAGGTTATTGTCTTTGCTACATGTAGGTCATCTTAGAAATATATTGCACTAAGAAGAAGATAAACTAGAAAACAGCAACTCAACGGAGTAGCATATCCCATGGAACAAAACATATCTTATTAAATACCTCTTATTTTGGACATTACATGATAGAAATAAAATTTTAACCAAACCCTATAACTGGTATTTTTGTTATTATAAATTTTGGAATGAGTGACCATAATGAAAATGCCTCCTTCAGCAGAGGTCCTTTGCCCATAAGATATAAGCCTATAAAAGGTCTAAACTGGTATTCAAATTATCATAAATTACATATTTTATGAAAAATGGTGGCCATTTTAAAATTTAGTGGCTGTGTTGAAAATTTCTTAGGCATCAGTATATACAGCATATTGAGTGGACATATCAGTCATTTTGAATTGAGCAGCCTTTGTCCCTAAAGTATCAACATGTAAAATTAAAAATCCATCCATGTATATTTGAGTTATCAAACATTATATTTTTAATGAAAATGGCAGCCATTTTGTAATGAGTGGCCATATTGAATATGCTTCCTTGAGAAACATATGTTGTCCACCTATAAAATTTAGACTAAATTCCATAATTTGGTCGTGTTTCTGTCAGTCTAAACAGTACTATTCAAGTTATTGTAAGTTGTAAGAATTTGTAACCCAACGCCAAAATGTTATAATTAAACTTATTTTTTTGCCATGGTAACAGATATTGGCAGAAATGTGTTGGAACATGTTTATTTATGTTCACATTTATGAAATCAGTCTAAACAGGGCTTGTTACAGACGTCAAACAATGTCCACAAAAAGTTGGAGACTATAACAATGTGTCACCACTATAAACTGGTGGCATAAAAAGTGTGACATTACTAACTTATGAGATAAGACTGGAAAATACAATTTTTACAAGATCAAATATGCATCATTCTCAATGTTCCAGATGATGTAGAATTCTCCAAATAAAATATTTTGCTGTATAATTTTTAGATCACTTATATCGGACTGTTTGAAATGAAAACTGATGCAGCAAATCAAGGATATTCATGCAAACTATGAGAATGGCCTGTGTGCTTGATCAGATTAAAATATCTTTAATTTCTCATATAACCAAAATAACGTTAATTTGTAAATAAAAAAAAAAATTCACTATGCATATGGGATGATAATATAGTACTAAATACATATTGTTTAACATCCTTTATTGTGTTATGAAACTCCATACCTCACATACACCGCAGCGACGTCTCCGGGGTCCCTGTGTTTTATCAGAATCAACAATCTGTTCCTTAAATATACTCTCAAAGATTCTGCTGACAAGTGTTGTCGTGACTGCCTTGCTTTGACTCATTGTAGGCTTCTTTTCCCGTCCTTTTGTCACTTGTTTTCTTAACTGGCGTCTGAAATGTTTTCATTTTAGATTTTATCTTTATTGAATCAATACAATATGTTACATTCTACATTTTACAATTCATACATTTCTAATATAACATTCTAGCTAAAAAAAGTGTGGCTTTTTGAATGTTTGAATTAATTGCCAATTTTTTCCATATTCAAATCAGGATAAATATTTTTCCACTAATCTATATATTCAAATAGGTTCAACTTCCTCATGGGAGACTCAAGGTTGGACTAATGGGAGACTCAAGGTTGGACTAATGGGAGACTTAAGGTAGACAAAGTGGGAAACTTAAGATATTATAATATAAAATATAAGTTAAGTGTATTTATATTGAGCAACACATGTATTTTTTATACTCTTGAAATTAATAGCAAAAAATTATGCTAATAGAAATTTGATATAAGTATAAATTAGCTCAATTAGCAAGATTCTAAATCCCCCCTCAGAGTTTGTTTGTTGGGGAGATAAAAACTATAAAACCCCAAAACAGGAAGGGTAAGGAGGTGAAGGAAAAGAATGAATATGTGGTACTCAATGGCGAATCCAGAAGCTAAGGGGGAGGGGCTAAATTTAAAATCAGAAAAAATGCCGCGCTTGCGATAAAAAATCCTGGGCCCCTAAATTTAAAAGGTGGGCAAAAATTGAAGGCCCATTTTTTGATAATTTAGCCAAAAAAGACCAAGTAATGGCCAAAAAGGCCATTAATAGAGGCCTTAGACATTTTTTTGCCCAAAATATTTTTCCCGGGCTCATCCAGGCGGGGAGGGGGGTCCTGGATCCGCCAGTGGTACTTATAGATTAGTTTTACCTCTTTCCTAGTGTGACCCCAGCCAGTTTGATTAGGCCTCTCATACAAGGTGTAGTGATCAACAAACTCTCATCTTGGTCAGCATTGTCGTCATAACTCTCAACCTAAAACATAAAACAAAAATAACCTCAATATTGCATGTGATCCATCCTTTCTTTTACATGAAGAAATATTCTAATTGGGTCATTTTGTACATAAGACTGTGAACTCATGAAATGATCTTAAAGGAACAATAAAGATAAATGTTAAATGTTAAATGAAGTTTTCAATGAAATTAACAATTATAACATGACTATTGAAGACCGTCGTCAAATCAACTGGACAAAATATTTTCATTACAATCGTAAATGAAGACATGGAATGATAGAAGACTGTATAGCATGGTTTTGTACTTAAGTTGGATGTACTTTCCGCCCGAAGACATGAGTACAAATGAAATCTATAAATAAACTGTAATAAATGTCGGAAAAAATTACCTGATCTACGATGAACTGGGAGTGACGTAAAAGTGAGTCTTCGGTTAAACTTTGGCAGCCCTCTGGTGGAACAGATGTCTAGAACAACAAATAACATAATATTCGTTTTTAAGGGAGCTCTTTTGTTGAGTACGGAATAAGCAAACAACTGACAAGACCTGGGATGAAAGGAAAGTGTACTCTTTAATTTTAAACAATTAGCATTCATTAGTGTAAATGAATCAGGTAGAAGCATATATCCTAAAAACAATACTAGAAAACAACTACATGTATTTGACTCTTAAACAACAAATGGTTGATTGCAATACACTATTTAGATTTTATACAAGGCATTGACATGCAAAATGTCCCGAGCTACTATTTGATACAGACGCTAAACACCAACCACCTTACGCCAACCTTAGAGCACTGTCCACAAAAAGTTGGAGAACATAACAGTATATCCACTTATGGTGATGACATAAAAATGGGACAAAATCATTGATTGCAACAACTTTAATAGCTCTTATTTAAAAAACAAAAATACAGAAAAACGTGGAGACAGATAGAAACTAAACCATGGATTGAAAAGTCTAGTAACACACCATGAGTTGTTCATTGTCGAGTTATAAAGAACAATATATATGCGATTCCACTGGTTGAAAGTATTTAGCCATGCTTATACATATAATTCAGACTACCACCATTCAACAAACACAACAACACCATAACTAAATGGAAAGATGATCACATCTCAATGCCAACAATGTACCCTTTAACCCTTAGGGGACCAAATACGACTTTCAATGACTTTTGAATCTCCCATCTCTAACTTTGTGTTCCTTAGGGGTTAAAGCAGTATTCAGCATAAAATGGGGCATGCTCACTTGGAAAATGTTTCAAAAGCCAAAGGGAGACCTTTGATGCAATAATTATGATTTGAAATGGCATATTAAGTTTTTTTGGTAATTCAGAATTATTTCTAACTCTCAATTCAATTGCACACCCCCTGGCCCCAGCTATAAACCGATTCAATAGGATGTACATATGTAACTAGACAACAGCAATGCCAAAGCGTAGCAAATCTCATCGAACAGCCATGGCTGGCATATTTTTACAAACAAAGTATAAAGCAAAATAGCAGCCTCCTTCTACCAAAAGTGTCATTAGACAGTGAGTGGGTCATGCTTATACTATTCACATACCAAATATGAACAAAATCGCTCTACTACTTTTCGAGTTATAGTAAAATACATTAAAATGGTGGCCATTTTGCAAAATGGCCGCCTTCTACTAAAAGTGTCATTAGACAGTGTGCCATGCTTATAGTATTCACATACCAAATATGAACAAAATCGCTCCACTATTCGAGTTACAGCAAAAATCGTAAAATAACGAGTAAGGCCGCCATTTTTCAAGATGGCTGCCATGTGCTTCTTTAATATCTACATTTCTAGCTTTATTAATGTCCTATATCATTTTTTTTACATTTAAAACATATTGCTTTTACAGTTTTACATATTGCACCTAAATGGACGGACAGATGGAGGCGTTCCCTATTTCCCTCCGAACTTCGTTTGATGGGATAATTACCTTCTTGAATGCCTTAGTGGAAGATAGCAGGAACAAATATACCATACATGTTGTTGTTGTATATCATTAAATACAAGAAACCTTAAAATATCATTAAATCTTTCATAAAGGCCTGAACAATTTAATTATCTTTTATGGTTGTTATTTTGCCTTATTGCAATTTTAGAACATATAAAAAAGCTTAGTTGCTTGGCTGGGTCCTTTTCTAAAAAATCAGCAATTTAATTTGTGCCTCATGAAGGACTCTATGTAAGTGGTAGTACCCTGCACTCAGAATGCTATACTATGATTCACTCAGCAAAACAGCACTGAAGAGTAGAGTTACATAGGAGATAAAACCATGGGAAAAATTTGAATCTTCTTCCTGTACCATATCTGAATCTGTTTAATCTGCGCTATATCTGTATATTTTCCCTCAGTGCTATACCTGCATATTTTCACTTTGTACCATATCTGTACATTTCACTGTGTAACGGTACTATTTCTATAACTTTTTAGTCTATACCATATATACGAGATATCCCACCTGTACTTTGTTGAGTAAGTCCTCATAGGTTGCAATCGGATCATCATTCAGGAACTCAATGACCATCTTGCTGAGGAAGATCTTCTCTGACATAACCTAAAATTCAACAATTGATTTATTCAAGCTTCAGTCAATGTTAGTATGTACATGTACATACACGCATATTTATTCTGTACACTTTACAAAGTATATGTAACATTTGTAATATTTTAGCATGTCATTGTTTTATAACAAGGCATAGCTTAGCATAATTGCATCATCAATTGAAAATGGCCAATGAAATTCAAGATGGCTGCCTTAAAGTTGAAAAACTTTTTTCGAAAACAGAATAAAATTTACTTTTTGCGTCGTTTCCTGAATCAGCCCGATGTACAATGTTCAGAATGTACATCTTGCAATTAAAGAATATTTCTGTATGAAACGCTTAAAATTTAAGACCCCATTTTCACCTTCTGTTGTCCCAAATATAGAGTCAACAAGAGTAATATGGATTGTTGTCCCAAAATCAATTACAAATGTATTTACCTGCATGAAAGGAGCATACACTTCACTGGCTTTCATTAAAATATAGTCGGCAAATGCTGTTGAGAAACCAATCAGAGCATTCTCTCCACCATCAAACCCAGCTGTCCACCACTCATTGATTGGCCCCATCTGCTTAGTGAGGACGCCACCTATAAGATGTGATGAATAAGGTGTTTAATTATATTATCTTTTTTTGATTGTGATAATGAATCCATATAGAGGTTTTGTTTTTCCTTATGACTGCTTGTGCTTTAATGTGTTTATATTCTAGTTGTGTTTTGTAACTCACTGTCTTTCCCAAATTTGGAGAGCAAAATCGCCACCATGTCATTATCCAGCCCATAACCTGGTTTAAATTAATTGGTCTTCTAATGATTGCCTTTGTATTTCCAATGCGAGGAAAGATTGTCCATTTTTTGCCAGTCTTGATAGGATTTTCAAATTGGACTTTACAGGACTTTTTCCAGTCTCTTTCTATTAAAATATGATCACATGAAACTTCCATAGAAACAGAGGGCTACATGCCTAACATCATATGACCACAGAGGACTCCATTGAACTAAACAGGACTCCATAGGTATCAGGAGGATACATTGGGGTACCGTGTCTCCACATGTCTCTAGGGGACTTGAAAAGTCCAGTGAAAGACCTGTCAGTGTAAACGGGTTTTAAGTGTTTTTTCTTGGAATTTGGATTTATACCTACCATCTGGTCCTGAGTTCTCATCATATATTGGTTTTACAACACCACTGAAGAACAGTTCTTTGTTTTTCTCTATAAGCCCAGTGTCAAACGGACACAGATGTGTATTCTTGTCATAAATACTGGAAAAGAAAATATTCTTAAATTTATTAAGAATCATTCTTGTCATAATAATAAATATGGAACATTATTGTCACAGATGTGTATTCTTGTCATAAATACTGGAAAACAAAATATTCTTAAATTTATTAAGAATCATTCTTGTAATAATAATAAATATGGAACATAATTGTCCATAAAATTATGAAAGTAAATGGGGTGATTATGATGTATGTATGACTTTTTTTCATCTCTGTTAAATCCATTGAATAATTATTCGTCTAAATTACAAACAAGTCACAATATTTTTGTTTGCATTTATCTGTATAGAATTGTAACGCATTCATGGTTTTACCGCAAAAAATTATTCAAAATGATGGCTTTAAAGTCCATAATGCAATTTTCCTTTGTTTTTGTTGATATTTAATAATGTAAATATTTACAACCAAGTCACAATAACTTTTGGCCGTTCATATAGAAATGGATGGCGATTTTGAGTACTCATTGCTGAGAGAGTTTTGTCTAACACAAACATGATGTTTGATGGAATCTACTACATCTTGGCACTGCCATGACCTAGTTTCTATTCTTATCTTGCAATCAAACAATTTAGAACAGATAGAATACAAATTGAATGAATTTTGATTTTAATATTATTACAGACATATTGCAATTAAAATTCACCTGAAATCAGTGAGTTTGTGCTGTGGTCTTTCATCATATGTATCCATGTTATCTTCCTCCCCAGTGAATATGGATAACTTAGGATCGGTTAGCATTATAAACTCCTCCACCTGTCAATAAAAAATAAAACATGCCAAGAAATTTACAAATTGAAGTTTCTTTTGAGAAATATGGAAATTCAAAGATTGAGAGAAATGGGTAACTGATATTTTCAAAGGAAATCTGCGAAATTATAATCTTGATTTCTATTATTTTGTGCGAATATATCTGCAGTGTCAGCTGTTGCATCATTAATTCATATAGTGAAATAGAATTATACTGGAAATTGACAACACTATGTAATGAAGTTCAAAATAATATAACACAGACAAGATACAAGAGATATACACAAGAGGCTGACACAAAATGTAGACTTGGTACCTTAGGTACCAAGTCAGAAGATAGACATAAAGTAAATGAACAGTCAAAAGGTAAACACAATCAGGAGGTAGATATAGGTAAACATAATCATGAGGTAGATATAAGGTAAACACAATCAGGAGGTAGATATAGGTAAACATAGTCACGAGGTAGATATAAGGTAAACACAATCAGGGGGTAGATATAGGTAAACATAGTCAGGAGGTAGATATAAGGTAAACACAGTCAGGAGGAGGTTGACATGAGGTAAACACAGTCAGGATGTAGATATAAGGTAAACATACTCAGGAGGTAGATATAAGGTAAACACTGTCAGGAGGTAGATATAAGGTAAACACAATCAGGAGGTAGATATAATAAACACTGTCAGCAGGTGTATAGGTAAACACAGAGGTAGATATAGGTACACACAGTCAGGGGTTGGACATAAGGTTAACACAATCATGAGGTACATATAAGGTAATCACAATCAAGAGGTAGACATAAGGTTAACACAATCAGGAGGCATATATAAGGTGAACATAGTCATGAGGTATACATTAGGAAAATGCAACAGGTAAACATGAGGTTTAAACAGGAGGTTGACATAAGATGTAAAACAAAGAAAGGAGGCCAACAAAGAGACGTAGAAGAACTCACAGCATCTGCAGGATCGCCTGGAAACAGTTTGAGATCAGGGTCGTCCAACATCTGTCTGCACTGGTTGCATCTCATTGGTGGGTCAGCATTCTTTACGATTTTTGGCTTCACAACATCCTGTTCAGCCTTCTCTGGGCGTTCCCTTAACTCTCTGCAAGTGCAATATAATTAGTGAAGTTTATGAAATAGTTGTTTTTCAGACATGGATTATATTAGTATATGACATGTGGATGGACCCCCAGCTCTCTGTAACTGCAAGGTTATTTGAATGCTTACCAAATAAGTTGTTTTTATGATTTTTGTAATAACTAATGAATCTATTAATTAACAAGTTCTGTAACATTTGTTAGCATCATCAAATCAAATACTAATAATGAAATAGGTACTGTAGTTGTTGACCTCTTGTATGTTAAGCATGGTATACACCAATGGGGCAAAATCCCACTTGCCCCATCGAGTCCCATCAAGCCCCATGGAGTCCCATCAAATCCCACTGTGCCCCATAGGTGTATGTTGGGCTTCACACAACACGTCATATGATCGAAAATCCCACGATGCCCCATGTAAAGAATGAACATGTTCATTCTCGATGGGACCCCATGGGACTCCGTGGGATTTTGCCCCATCGAGTCCCACGTGGGACTTCATGGGACTCGATAGGGCAAAATCCCACGGAGTCCCACAGACTTCATGGGGCAAAATCCTAAAAGGTCCCACGAGGTCCCACGCAATGATAAGTCTATGGAGGTCCCAACTTGCCCCATTGGTGTATACTGGGCTTTAATTGAACAATGTACATTATGTTTTATTTATTCAAATGAAATTATACAAAAGAATCCCTCCCTCTTCCAAATTCAAAAAAAATATTAGTCAACCTTTGAGTTTCATTCTCACTCTCATCTGACGTTTTGATTCGCTTCTCTTCTTGTTTTTCTGAATCTTCATCTTGAGACTTTTCAGATTCAGATTTATCTTCAACTTTCCTCTTAGCTGGTCTGTAACAAACAATACTTTACTGTAACAAGTTACCGTGTTTTCCTGAACGAGGATTTCTGGGTATAAAATTCAAATTTTTATCAATTCTGATCAAAAAATGAATTGTCATCATTTGCTAATCCCATCGAAAAGCCATGGCTGGCATTTTTACATACGAAGTATATAGCAAAACTCGTAAAATAACACACAAATGGTATTAGACAGTGTGACATGCTTATAGTACTCACATACCAAATATGAACAAAATCGCTCCACTACTTTTCGAGTTATAGTAAAAAATGTTAAAATGGCAGCCAATTATTCAAAATGGCCACCTTCTACCGAAAGTGTCATTAGAGAGTGTACCATGCTTATAGTACTCACATACCAAATATGAACAAAATCGCTCCACTACTTTTCGAGTTATAGTAAAAAATGTTAAAATGGCAGCCAATTATTCAAAATGGCCACCTTCTACCGAAAGTGTCATTAGAGAGTGTGCCATGCTTATAGTATTCACATTCTAAATATGAACAAAATCACTACACTACTTTTTAAGTTACAGCAAAAATTGTAAAATAGTGTGTAAGATGACTCAAGGTGGCTGCCATGTGATTCTTTGATATCTACATATCTAGCTTTATAAATGTCCTACATAATGTTTTTACATTTAAAACATATTTCTGTTACAGTTTTACATATTGTACCTAAATTACTGTAAAATTGGCACTAAAATGGCCGCCACTTTTAAATGAGCTGCCATTATGAAAATCGGCTTTCGAGCAGAACTTCTACCCCCATAGGATATATGTGTACAAAATATGAACAAAATCAGCCCAACGGTTTTTGAGTTATTGCTTGGATGGACAGACATACAAAGGCGTTCCCTATATCCCTCCAAACTTCATTTGATGGGATAATAATTTCAATTTGTGTATCCAGAAGCTGGAAATAATAAAGCGTGTCACTATGTCGAAATAACAAAGTGCTTTTCAAAAAAGTAATTTTAGGGTTCACTCCAGTGGTTCAAACCATTTATTTGGTTCTAAATCATCTCTAAATGTATCCCTATACTTACGCTTTACTAAACATGGACATGATGCTTGGCTGGTTGCTAGGTGACTTGATCGACTTGCGCCCACCTTTGCCTTTCTTGGCAGGAGTTTCTAGAAGATTAAGTAAATTATAATGCGATTATCTTATAGTATTACATATATTGTTAAATATATAGTATGAAAATATTGTTAAAAATTTCTTGAGCAGCATACTTGTAAAATCTACCTTCTTTCTCTTCCTCTGTTTTCTTTACTCTTTTGTTCTTTTTGGACTTGGGACTTTCCCCTTCATCAGTTTCCATCTCTTCTTTAACATCTTCCTGTTGCTCTCTTTCTTCCCCATCATTGTTATCCTCACCATTAGCCTTGACCTCTTCTTTGACCTCAACATCCTAAATAAGTTAATGTTATTATTTTTTGTTCTGAACAACCACTGAGGTATTTTAAGGGATGATGGGATACAATTAGAAGATCGAGTTGCTGGATTGAATTGTTGAACTTAGTTTGGCTGGCAGTATAGCCATGATCAAAACCAATAGACAAAACTAATAGATCATTAATTTCAAAGAATAACTGTGACTGTGAGCACTATCTTAATTCAAGCCACTCTAATATGGAATTAGACATCATTAGACCATGAAGTTATCCCTATCTGAATTGAAACTGGAAGATACGAATACCTGGCAAATGGGTTCTGTAAAAATGTTTAAAGTTGACATAATATATTGTAAATTGCTTATGATTACCTTAATGGTTCCATTTTCATTTGGTTCACCAACTAGACCACCATTTTTTTCAACACCATTAGCTTCATCACCATTCTTGTCTTCTTCCTCTTTAATCACCTTCTCAGCTGGTACATATGCCAAAACCTTTTGAATAAGCTTGCCAAGCTTTGCATAATACCCTTTCTGAAAAAGTTGATTTAAGTAAGATAAATGTTAATGTCTGTTTGCACAGGATATCATTTAATGGTCCCAAGGTCCAAAAATCATCTAAAGTCAACCCACCATAGAAAGATTAGAAATGGACAAAACAGCAAATAAAAACTGTATATTGAATAATAAGAATCCCAAATATGCCAAAATATACTTAACTTTGTATTCTTGATCTAATTCATTGATGTTAAGCAATATCTTTCTTGAGTGGTTCATAAGTTTCTGGCGTGTGATTGGGTATTTATGTTTCCGCACATAATAAAGAACAATGACTTTTCCGAGTGTATCTTCTCACGTTGATACTGTACCAGTAAAATAAAGTATGAAACATACCATGAGGTATTACCCACAAAAATGAGCGGTGGTATACAGAGTTCAATACTAACATTTTTTAATTTTTCTTCAATAAAAATCATATGCTACAAATTAAACAGACAAACCTCTGTAATATCTCCTTCTACAAAACTGTCCTTTATAGCTTTCATATCAGCTTGATCTTCATTGGATAGAACATCGGTTATGAGGCCACATTTGCGCTTCCAATAACCTTTCTCTGTGACATCACCATCTTGGTATTCCTCTTCAAGTTCAGACAACCTAGAAAGATTGGGAAGTATTAAAATCTTTATCAAGTATTTTGTGATATGACATCATCAGTATGTGCCAACTGCAAAAGAATGATTTAACCTAGAAAAAAGATTCTTTGGAATTTTTTCAAATATTTAGCAATTGTTATTTTAGCTAGAATGAATGCTCTATTGGTTGAATATTTAAACATGAGTAAATTGAATATATATTTGCAATTGTGATGCTATAGGGTTGAGTAGCCTTTGTGGCTAAGTCCATTGGCTTTTAAGAGAAAGCCCATGAAAAGTCTATTACATAGTACACAGTGCTGTACTTGCCAAAACCTAAAACCCTACTGTCTTTGGATATCTTGTAAAATTTTAAAATGTGTACAGTCATTGAGATAGACTTCTGACGAACAATGGGTTGGAAAATGTTACGGAGGGCAGAGATTGATCATATCAGATCTGTTTCATTATTATATATATCTTTTATTGACTCTTTAGATGTCATGACCTGACATATTAGTCATTACAAAATGAAATCTTAAAAAAGGTTGAAATCTTCAGTACCTTTTTGGCACAAACGCATGTTAGCATCACATGTTTAAAGGGGTAATAAGGCTTGTAGAGAGAAAATAGGAAAATTTTAACTTTTTCTGAGCTATCAAGGCAACAGTTGGCTTAACATCTTCTTCGACATACCTATTTTTCTTAAAATGTATGGATAAACTATCAATTTCAGCATTAAAAAGTGTAAAATCAGTTCAAAGCTTCAAAAAGGGGAAGTCCACTTTTATGTTTTTAAGATCCACCATGTTTCAAGAGGAATATAAGCTGAAATAATGATTTTCTAGGGGGTTTCTTTGTAGAAAATAAAAATAGATGTTAGTCTTGATGAAATATCCAAACTTAAATATATTTTGACACTGGTCCATGATCGTTCAATGGCCCCTCTGCACTACTTGTTGCACCTTTTAAGAAATTTTTATCATTCTGGAATCTCGTTAAGGATAGAATCATCGATATAATACCTCACTTTTGTCATGTAAATGGAACTTCAAAAACTGTTTAAGAGATGTACTTTTCACCTGGCTCCATTTGTATAATAATAGTGAGGTATATCTTTTATATCTATGATTCTGTCATCTTCTGAACTATTTGTTCACAGTTGTTTAGATTTTCTTGAATGATACTGACATTATCGCATCCTACGACCCCTTTAGATTGTGGTCGTACGCTCGATTCATTGGTAAGCCTGTCTTTCTACAATGTCGGAGAATGAACTACGTATTGCACTATTAAATGACCTACCTCGATACATTCCAGAGTATTTTAGAATTCTTTTTATGTTGTTAGATCGCCAATTGTATGGGTTTATCGGCAGAACGAGGATATTTTCGTTTTTGATAGCAATTATTTGCGTGTAATATTTAACTTATTTCAACCGTCAAATTCCTCCATTCAGTTCCCGGCATGCACCAGTCATAAGGGAAATCCCTGGGGAATTCCCCTTCCGACATTTTGAAAATTGCTGACATATTTCCGATGTAAAAACTAAAATCTCTTCGTTCTGCCGATAAACCCATACAATTGGCAATCTAACAACATAATGAAGGACCCACGGTCCTGTGCTCACACAGTTTGGAACCTTCAGAGGAATTTATATCCTGACTTTCAAACAAAAATATTGATTTGGATTTGTAGTCTCGAACTTTGAGAAACTTAGATAGCATAGTTGTGTGACCTAGTTTGATGACCATTGACCTTGAAAATTTTACTTATTCAGAGCTCAGTAAGGTCTTTTGTGATTAAGCTGACCAAAATTTACATCCAAAAATCAATTTGAAAAATCAACTTTTTGACCTTTCGAAGGTCACTGAAGGTCAAGTAAAGGTCAAATCCTAAAACTAATGTCAGATTTGAACTCCTGGCAACTTGTAGATGATTTTCAAAAAAGAATTTGGTCAAATTGAAGCAAGCTGAAAAATAACTTATTTTTACTGTTTTTTGACGACTCAAATATCTCAAAAACGGTAAAAATTTGATGCTGACATATATTGAGAAATATGTAGGGAATGCTTAAATCTATTAATGATGTAATTTATTGCAGGAAATGATCAAGTACAAGGCAAACTTTAAGAATCTTGTCAATCACAAAACCTGCCATTGACTTTATACATGAGAAAGTTTCCTAAAAATGACTAAGTCCTACTTTTTTTCAAATTTTATAAAGTAAACACCAAAAACCATAATTCCAAGAGCTTTGAAATCTTCAGAGGACATAAGTTGCATATACACCAACTACTAAAAGTTATTTGAATTTTGAAAGTTCTACTTCAACAAAGTGTCTAGTATTTACAGAAAATTTGACTTTTTGACGTTAAAATCCGCAATTTCTCGGAAACCGGGCGAACTTGGGAAATGGCGATGATAGGTCAAATAGACATTATGGATATGCATAAAATGAATGTGGATATGACTCAATAGGAATAGCAGTTTTAATTTGTGCGGCCAATGTTGACGGACGGACCAACGGACGGACGGACGGACGGACGCCAATGAATCGGGCGTACGACCAAAATCTAAAGGGGTCGTAGGATGCGATAAATACCGACACACGTTCGTGATGAAAATGTCTCGGAAATTCTGTCTTCAACTTGTAAAACAACAACAACGAAATACAGAAAAAACAAAAATCATACATTTACCTTCGTAGTTCCATGGGCTTAAAACGGATTCGTATCAGTAACTAGTTTAAAGTGCAGAACCAGTAGTTAAGTTAAGAAGCCTTAGGTGGCATGAGAAGAAATGTCAAAATAATTGAGGATCAACGAGAAAATTAGGCCCCTATTGATATTAAAAACCCTAGCTTACACACTGACTCAGGCAAAAGTGGATTTTGGAAAAAAAGAATAACAACTTTACCCACCGTGTTTTGATATCTGCAAGCTCTGTAGTCACTTGATCGACTTTTCCAGGCATTTTTACCATCTTATGAGTATTTATGCTTTATGGATTTAAGAATCGCATGCGAAGAATTTATTAAAAGGCCAAATGTATAAATATTTCTTTTAGCCTGGCCAAAATAGCACGAAAAGGCAATTTTCCCGCGAAATAGTGGGATGGTCCAATAGGGGTGATACATTGAATATTTGCTGAAAGAGGAAGTGTTTCTGAAATAATTACGTTAAAATACACATACATCACACACAAAGTGTATATCTGTCCTTATTGGAAAATGAGGTAAAATGAAATGAGACGTGTCTGGAAGGATTTTCGATTAAAAGTGAAACCTCACACCCTTTTAATTTAAACTCGTCTAAAAGTTACCCGGATATGTCATCAAACATGGCGGAAACTTCAAATCCTGAAAGAACTTTCTGATTTCAATTTTAGGTCATATTTGTAAAGAATCACTGTACCTAATGTAAGTACACTTGTTACCCTGACGGAATACTCGATTATAGTTTTTTTTATCCCTCATATGATTCAATAAATACTGGTTTGTTGACTGGTTAGAATAGATCTATTTTTATTTTATTTTTGGCACATCAAATCATTGAATCAATAAGACTTAGACTAGCCTAAGGTCTGTTTCACCTAAGAAAGGCAAGCAGTTCAATGAGATAAAAAGAGTTACCTTGTGAATGGAACCCTCCCGTGCCTTCCACAGGCTGTCCAACTGTCCCAAAATCTGCATATTTGTCACGCATTTGCTGAAGAAATTGAAGTCACACGTTTTTTTGGGTAACAGAATATGTCATGCAAATACTAATTTTTCCTGATAATTGTCAAGCAAAAATATTTCTGTAGAAGAACTTCTAAAAATGAACATGGATACATAAAAAAGATGAACATCGAAAAAAGTGAAAACATTCCGTTCTGACTTTTCACGTGAATTCTGTATAAAGTGGGGGACAAAACTAAACCTCAACCATCAAAAGTTGTCACAATGAGCTAAATTCTAAGTTTTGTGTCTCAAACTCTCCCAAGTGGTAGAAAAATAATTCCCGTTCACTTTAAGTAGCACAATAAATGAATCCAAAGCTTCGTACCTGCAAATGATGGATAAATCCCTACCAAATCGAACAAATGTTTTTATGAATCGCCATGTTTGTGATCCAAGGAGGATTGACTCCCACAATGCAACATCAGTTGACCTTATTTACTTGTGACAGGTTTCAAAATGGCGGAGCAGCATTTTGAAAGCTGGCACATGTCATGTTGCATTCTGGGAGCCAATCCTCCCCTTGCAGCGTAATCAGGCTCCAAAATCACCTCAACATTTGAAGAGTCGGCATTACGTGTGAATATCCACTTCAACTTTTTAAGTTCTTATTTGTCATTATGGACACAAATTCCACTATATCTGGACTTACTAGGACGGAGAAAATATAGCACGGAATACACTGAGGTGAGAATTTATTACATGTGCAACAGCATGTAATTTTCGTAGCTATAGCAATTCTTTATGTCCCCCACTGTACATACATCTGTATGTCACCTATTTTGTTTGAAATTTGTGTATATGTCGCGCATTTGCTTCAAAATATTTTGTTACATACATTACTATTTTTTTCATGGCCTGACTGCGTCGGTAAAACTTGAAATATAAGAGTTTGGAAGATTGGAAGTCTACCTTCTAGAGATTAGAACACACATTTCAATGAAACCTTATCACCTTTGTTGCGTCAACCATTGAGCATTTAGTAATTTTTTAAAGTTGCCCCTGTCACCAAATTTATATGATTGTATCGTTAGGGTCACAAAATTTATTTTGTTGACATGTCGGTTGAGCAGCAAGGGTAAAATGAACGAATAGAAATTCCAATTTCACATATGTTCGGTAATATAATGTATCAGAACTTCCTGAAATGACAAGCCAGCAAGAACATATTGGGAATTTTTACAGTTTGTTTACGTATGTTGGATTACGATGATCATGGTTAATCGGATTCAAAATTAAGCTGACGGGGTTCAATTCACTCAATGTATACTATCATTTGGAAGGCACGGGAGGGTCCTATTCACGAGGTAACTCTTATTTTTTTCTCATTGAACTGCTTGCCTTACTTAAGGTGAGACAGACCTTAGTAGAACCATCATTGTCAATGACTGAGTCACTAAGGCTCAAGCATAAGGCTAGTTCAACAAGTTAAACTCAATCAGGTTTTATTTTTAATCTAAATTTTGATTTGTGCCAGATTGAATTAAAATTCCATAGATCTACGTATTCATGAACCTTAAATCTTGGATTGACAGAAACAAATATTCCTCAGTAATATGTGACAAATACTTGATGATAATATAGAAACACCTGCTACATGTAACGTCAAACAATTCCACGTCACATTTTTGCATTCTCACGCCCGGTGATCGTGAAAATGGGACGGAGGGGGGGAGCAGGCAATTTCCGCTAGAAAATTCAACAAATCTGGTAAAATTATTTTTTCAAGACCGAGTTTACGATTGAATTGCAAATTGAATAAGCGCACGGTATGATAAAATATGTTAGGTATTCTAGGATTATTTTTCAACCGATACTCTTTTAAGATATAAGATCTATTAAAAAAGGCGCAACGCAACCAACGTGCAAAAGTCAAAGTTTTTGCTATAAATCAAGCAACAATGGACTACACGACCTGTAATAAATACTTGTAAGTGATGTTATCATAACTAAGTTAATGTCATTGCTGAATTTATAAAATAAGTTTCCATACGTAAAATAAAAAATAATCGAAAATAATTAAAATGGGACGGAGGGGGGGGAGGGGACGGAGGGGGGGGAGTAATAATTCTATGAAGTGAAACAACTTCACACAAATTCTTGTATTTGAAAAATGAACTCATTAACTTAGTAAGAAACTGGATGATATACCCCTGGAGACTGAAAAATGGGGACATTTGGAGTAAAAGGACTTAAAGTCGCGAAACATCTCTAATCATGTCTTATATACATATTGCTCCCCCCCTCCGTCCCCTCCCCCCTCCGTCCCAAATTCATTATTTTCGATTATTTTTTATTTCACATATGGAAACTTATTTCATAAATTCAGCAATGTTATTAATTTAGTTATGATAACATCACTTACAAGTATTTATTACAGGTCGTCCAGACCATTGTTGCTTGATTTATAGCAAAAACGTTGATTTGTGCCTGTTGATGGCCTTGCGCCTTTTTTAATAGATCTCATACCTTAGATGCGTATCGTTTCAGAAAAAATCCCAGAAAACCTAACATATTCTACCATACCGTGCGCCTATCCATTTAGCAATTCAATAGTAAACTTTTTCTTGAAAAAATAAATCTTCCAGATTTGTTGAATTTCCTAGCAGAAATTGCCTGCTCCCCCCTCCGTCCCATATTCACAATCACCAGGCGTGTCTATTTTCATTTATAATAATGAAATAAAATGAGACTATCCTTACCAATTTTTGATATGAACTTTTGTCTTTGCATTGCTAAAATTAAATTTAGTGCTTGTATGTATGTAAAATATTATTCATTGCAAACCTATTGGGAGTTTGCCATTTTGATGTTACCTAAACCTTAACCGACTCTTTCCAAAGCAGTCTACAATATTTTCAAGATTCTACATCATCGAAGACTCAGGAAGATTTAGGATAGTGTGTATTGTTGAATTAAAGGACACAGTGACTGTCTAGCACTAAACTAGCCTATAGTCACAGGGGTGTCGACTTTTGGCAAGCAACCGAAGATACCTCAAGAAAAGCTGGAGATTGCCGAAGATTGCCGAAGCTTTTCTTTGCAAACGAAGTTGGCCGAGGGTACCACGAATGTGAAGAGGACGTCTAATATGGGTTTTGAATGAACACAAACTACTGGATATAAACTTTCAATTATATCCTATGTATTTTGTTATTTATTTAAGCAAAGTTCCAGATGTCTCAAAGTTCACTATTAGAAGATGTATTCTACTGGGATGAGACAGAATGTAGACATCGGTGCAGAGAGGCTATACCTAAATTAGCTGTATCCTTCTTAACATAATTTATGAACGTGGACTTACAGTATAGTTCATGATATGAATCATTGTTCATTGGTAAGAGATCAAAATCAGAGCATTTTAGGTATTTGACTAAATTGTGAGGTCATAATGTGTCATAAATCCAATTCTAATTTAATACCCAGATGTAAATATAGCGGAAATTAGGGCACCTTGAAAATTGGGCTTTTACAGTAATACAATTCTAATTTAGTAATTGGACTTCAACTTTGTACAATCAGAATTCAAATCAGTGTATTCCTTGAGATTGAGCACAAACAATTTTTTTCCTTAACTTTGCTAAGGCATGTTATGAAGATGGAGACTGTCTCCAGGAAAAGCTAAGTAAGTATGCTGTCAGACTCACACAAAAGTTCTTTATGATATTTCTTTGAATGGTCTATTGAAAAAATATTGTAAAGACTCTATCTATTGCATCAATCCCCCTTGAAAGGCCCAAAATGACTAGATTTAAATAACACTATTTTCGTTAATTTGTCTGTTTCTTGAAAAACACCAGATTTCGATTAAAGAACTAGCTTCTCAAACTTCTGTCATACGTCCCAACCTGTATCTCCTACAAGATACAATCATGTTTTACTCATTTATTACACATTCAGGTCAATATTCTCATTTTTCAGAGTATCTCCAGATTCTGTGCCAGTCATTTGTCCCAGTAGCTTACATTGATCAACTTGAAGATTTGATATTTGCAAAGATATCAGCAAGAGTAAGCATATGATCTTCTTGTTTTTGGATAATGTGATCATCCACTAATTATTCAGCTATTTAGTCTGAATCAGAATTACCGTATTCTCTGTAATTACCGCCCACTCTCTAATAAGCGCCCACCCCGCTTCACAAAGTTCAAGAAACATCGAGGAATCAACAAGAATTGAAGAATATATCAGGAAAAAAATATTTCTCAAAATCCAGGAGCGGGCGATAATAGAGTACTTACCCTAAAACTGCTGTAAACACGACGCGTTTTGTAATTCTATGCATCCTCTCGATACATATCTATCGATGGGTGCTTCCCACACCATACCATGCTAATATTGTCTCCAAATAGTCCATAATGAATGAAGGAATTGTTCTTTATCGGCATTCAGAAATTTCAAAAGCTACTGCGCAGATGTTCTGCGCATGTCAAGGTCGTGAACTTTCTGGTTTCTTTTTAATGTTTCTCGACTTTTACACGACTTTTGCACGAAAAATTAGAAATAATGTATAACTTTAGATCGATATCCAGCAGTCTCTAGTGGAAATATTGAAGGTAATCGGCGATAATGACAAAGTGGGCGTGCCGGAAATAAATTAGACATAGACGGGTCTTCAACCACTGTCAATATTGTCTAAGCGATCTTTACCGTATTCTCTCCAATAACAGCACTTGTCATATTATTATAAAAATATGTTGAAGAAAATGCATTCTTGTCAAGAAAAATTGCCATACATGAAATTCCTCGGGATTTCAGATTTCTTTCATACATGGGCGCTTATTAGAATGGTCTAAATAATGTATTTTCAATTTTCTAAACGCCCTGGGCGCTAATTACAGAGAATACGGTAATCAGAATTAATTCAGTGATATATCAAATATTTTGAGAGCCTCAAAAGAAAATTGTTTAATTAATACAAATTCCTCCCATTATTACATGATATATAATAATATAAATGTCCACTTTGGATAAAATAAAGATTCATTCTTATTTCAGACAATAGAATATTTCAACAGTACCTTGGAAAGAATAGGAGCACTTTTGATAGATTGCAACACAGACTTGCATATAGTCATACAGGCCAGGCTAAATGTAAGTTCAACATATATTTATGATAAAAGACATCCTTCTTCCCCCTGCTATAACCAATTTGGAAGCGCCCGATTAAACTGAATCACGTGATCTAATTATGCGCAATGACTTATACATGAATTCTGTCGCAGTGTTGCGACAGCCAATCAGATTGCGAGTTCTTAATCGGGGAAATACTAACTGCTTATAGCAGGGGGTAAAAAGAAAGAATATATTCTGGATTTTGAAGCCCTGTGATCGGAGAATGCTGTATAACATATGTGGCACTCTTTTAGAACAGGTAGATATGAAAGAACCTTTGGCACAATGAAGAATGGATATTTTGCCTTTTAAAGTGCCCGATAAAGTATAAAATGCGCATGCGTCCAGGTGTTGATAAACTATAAATAGCGAAAATCCAGGGTTTGTCACCACAAGGGAAGCCAGGACGTGTTGAGAGAACAGCTAGTGTTGATATTGAATTTATATGTAGCCAGATAAGTTTCCTTATTGAAATTACATATGGTTATTAGCAATACTTTGTAGGTGCTAAATAATAAAATATTTAGAGTATATATGAGAGAAATTGGTCATTTCGAACCTGTTGAAAAGTTTGTGGCTTTCGGCTACACCGGGGAATTTACTTCCATGAGTACACACATAAATGTGGGGTTCCCCAAGAGGGTCGCGACAAGGTGACCTGGCATCAAATGTGCGACTAAATGCTACTATCGAGAAGATAAAATAACGAATACGACAATAAGTTATTGCATGTGACAATTCCGAGCCTTCATCTAACTGAAGTATTTTGAAGTGAAAATAGGATTTTTGTTTTGATACATGGATTCAGATGAACGTAACTTTATTCTGACAACTAATCAAAACTGAACAAAATTGATTGTACGTAACAGACAATTTATTGTTTTACAATGTTTTGATTGACTAAACGAATGAAACCAACAAATTATGACATGTAAAATGACAATTTTGAAATGTAAAATTTAAAAGTGACAAACACAACCTCCCTATCCACTCTTTGGGAGCCCTAGTAAATTAGTAATATGTACATGCAGCAGTGGTAGTGTGCAGCTTATTATCACACTACGCTTTGCATTCTAAAGCCTGTTGTTTGTAATAACACTGTTCACTCAGCGTATGTTTTGTGTGTGGGCAGTCAACGATAATCATTGTTTTATCCCGGTTATATGACCTCGGCAATTATAACAAAACCGTACTAAACGAAAAAAACGCAAATAAGAGAAAGCTTTCACACACATATAAAAAATGAACTAGTCTAATCCGCCAGTATAAACTCTGTGCTATACGTAGCCGGGTCAGGCGCACACTTTAAAAAGATATTTATAAATGAAATTAACCCCACTAAGAAATATTATGTAAATGTATTTTATGCCACTCTGAAAAATGAGGATCAAGCATATTTAGTTTTTGATTATGAATGAAAGGTTGATTCTCCATTTTGTAAAAAGTGATCATTGTTACAAGATTGAATGTATTCTTTTTGCAGCACTGTGGAGATATTCTTGACTGTATTGTGACAGGCATGGAGGGTCTTATGCAGCGGAATGATGTTACGGAATTGAGAGATATTCATTCCCTTCAGTATCTCACTCTCCAGTTGACCAAAACCTCATACAGTCATTGCCAGGTATGTCAATGGTGTAAATGCATTCTAGGCTTAATATATTGGACAAGTAGATCGGTATCAATGTCATTCCATGATTCCCGGTGGGTTGAACTAAAAAATGTCTTTATTATTTTAAATATATATTAATCATTATAATAAAAAACTTATTATTAATTTAAATATATTATTATTTAATATATATACTTAATACTTAATAGTGCTAATGCTATTGTTATTGCCTCAGTCCAGACAATACATATATGTACTATTAATTATCCCAGACAATATATTTTATTAAAAAGTTTTTTTTACGTTTGTTTTAAATAATTACTTGTTTTCTGCTCTTTTGCTATATGCACATGTATACAGTACATAAGATTGCAGCATTATATTTTGAACAGTAGTAAACCCACTGAATGAGGTTTGTGTAAGGATATGGAAAAACATCTGAAATACTTGTTGGCAGATTTGTTGGCAACATTTTAAAGAATAAATATCTACATTAATAACGGGCTTTTTATTTAGAGAATTTTGAAAACAGCTACTCAATTCAAGATTGCTAGCTGAACTTGAAAATCTCATCCTCATACTGCTTTTATTTTTTACAAAATATCCACCATATTCATCAGTACCACACATTGATGTGATATTTATTAAATTGGTATTAACATTCTTTCCTTGGCTTACATATTTGATTTTAATCTTGATGTAAAAAAATTGGCCAAATATTAACCTTTTATTATATTATAATGTTTCCATATTTTAGGACTCCGCCAGTATTTATGGGGAGCTGATGGCTTCAGTGTCAGAGCAACTTTCTTCTCTCTTCAAGAAAGCTCACACTTTACAAACAGTAAGTCATTGTCATTGTTCTTGCCAATATACAATACATACGTTAAAATTGAGTTTTATTATGTCCTCACCACATAGTATAAGTAGTGTCTATGCATTTTCAGGCAACTTGTTTTACGGATCAATTTCAAATTTTCAGGGATGATTCTTTGTATGGGAAGCTGGAACTGATTAGGCTTTTGGTGTTCTCAGTGAATGTTAAGGTGGTCGCCGGGTTGGCCTAGTGGTAGGGGTGAGACGACAACCTGATGAGTCGAGGACTCGCGGGTTTGGGGCTTCGAGTCGAGTCGAATCGAGTCGAAGTTGATGAATCGAATCATTTTCGAGTTGAGAAAAAAATTCAAAAAAATCAAAAAAATCAGAAAAATACTGTCAATATGCATGTTTTTACTCGATATTGCGTTGAATATATAAGTTTCAATGACTTGGATATGCTTGTATTAAATTATTATATTGTATGTACACATAAATGAAAGAATATATGTAATAAAATCAGAATAAACTTACGACGAATTGTGTTTGTTTATATTTCCGGCTTTCCACCATTGACGCATTAAAAATACGAACGGTAAAAAGCGATGTTGTTCGCACTTCGCGCGACTCGAAACGGATTCGAAACTCGAATCGTCATTTTCTGACTCGAATCGGATTCGACTCGAATCGGATTTTTTCGACTCGTCTCACCCCTACCTAGTGGTTAAGGCATTGGTCTGAAAAGCAGGAAGTCTGGCTTCAGGCTGAAAAGTAGAGGTCTTGGGTTCAAACCCAGGTCACAGCACTTCTTGTGATTTGTCTTTGACCTATGACTGCTGACCTATACCGGTGATTACTAGAGTGCTGCTAACTCGATAAAAGGCTGGCGCTGGCTAGAATTATCTATGGTTCTAGCCAGGATAAAGTATTATGTCTGTAATTGCCTCTTCAGCTGATTTGTGTTGGGCATTGAGGATGAAATTACAGGATAACCCATTGGTGGGGACATGTTGTAAACTTTTGCGTTCTTGTAATTTGATGTTGGGATGGATGATGAGAATATACGAGGGTTGATCATAAAGTTCTCATAATATCTCTCTAATTTCTTTATTTTTCAATATATTCTAATGAAATTTTCACAGAATGTGCAGCATAGAATGTCTTATTAATTCAGCAAAAAATATTTAGTTGAACAGAAATATTAAATAAGAAATGGTTGCCATAGTAACGGGAAATCAAGGCACCCGGGGCAAATAAAAATAATTGAGAGAATGAGCTTAATTAACCATGTTTACATATATAATAAACTCTCGTGAATGAACTCTCACCAAACACGTTAAAATATTAACTTGAATATACTGTTAAGTGCTTTAACAATTAAATACATTCATTGTATAAATTGTGTGATGCCATAGGGTATGCTTTCACGCTTCATTAGATGTAATACCAGAGTCTGAGACTCAAAGCTAATGATCAAAAATGACTGAGGAAGAGAATGCAATAGATGCAGAGATCTTCAGAAAAATAAAATTCATACTGATAAAATGTTATTTTAAGTTTGTAAGATCCTTTGGTCAGACTAAACATGATCTAAAACAAATATATTTCTAAGATATCAACAAAATTGTGTGTGGTCTGTCCATGTTAAAAATGAACTAAAGGGGCAAAATCAATTTTCCTCGGAATATTTGACAAAACAGTCATGAGGTCTAGCAGTTACTTCTAATGAAGCATAGCAATCATCCATTATGAGATCATACAATTCACTTGACCATTATAATAGTTCACAACAGTCAAGAGCACATATTATTTCACAATTTAATGTGTTTGATAGCTTATTTGACAACTTATTATGTATTTAAACATGGTTAATGGGGGCTATTCTAGCTAGTTTTTTTTATTTGCCCCGGGTGCCTTGATTTCAAGTTACTATGGCAACCATTTCTTATCTAATGTTTCTGTTATTCTAAATGTATTTTGCTGGATTAATATAACATTCCACGCTGCACATTCTGTAAAAATTTCATGGGAAAATATTGAAAAACAAAGAAATAAGAGAGATATTATGAGAACTTTATGATCAACCCTCGTATATCATATATGAAGAGTGGCCACAATATATATGTTCTGTACAGACCAGGGATTTTCATTTCATTTTTTCATGCAATATAGTGTTACATTATGCAACATTTATTCAGTCAAAGAAATTTAACATTATGCTGAGAATATTTACCTCATTATTGTCACAATCTTAGGCACATGCACAATCAAGGAAATCTAACATTGTTTAAAAATATTCACCTCATTATTGTCACAATCATACACAACGAGAAACACTATATAATAAACTCCAATACGACGAGATAATATATTTGTTATCCAAATTGATTAATAAGTAATAAGATCAGATACTGTTAAATAATATTCTGCCCGGGATTTGTTATTGTCGTATACAAACGTGGTATCCGAACTGCTTACTTATAGTATCCGTTGCGACCATTAACGATATTGTAAATGTCTAATTAGCTAAGTAAATAAACATGTCGTCACAGTCGCTGTTGGCTATGGAGAGTTATTAATAATTATCGATCATAAATGTTATCATACTTTTCTTGATTTAAATATCCAAATATTTACTATGTTTAAAAATGAAAATGTTTGATTTTTAAGTAACTGTTCGACCTTTTTTCTTACTATCAAGAACGCGCATGCAAGTTCGGCAATCCTTGTACATTGTGTGCACAGTATGCGCATTTTAATCGTTGTATATTTTTCTATATACTATAATACTATTCATTTTTTTGTACAATTGAACCGAACATACTTTAAAATCATCAGCTTTAAATAGATTATATGTTACGAAATTAGCCTTAAAATAATAAAATTCGTGCGTTTGTAAATGCTCTCAATAAAGAAATAGACCAAAATACGCAAGTTTACTTTGAAGTTTCTTTTATCGTCTTTTGTCATTAAACTTTAATGTTCTATCGATAAAATATGTGGAAATACCAGAAGAAGCATTGGAGAAGGAGAGTTCAACTAGAAGACAGCAACCCCTTGGAAAAGCATACTTCATAACCGTGTGCAATATATGTATATTATAATATGAAACCTAAGATTCATTTTTGGAAAACATTATAATATTATACTAACAGAATAATTATACTTTAAATATTAGGAGGCTCTCATTTATTCTCGGACCAAAAGCGATTTTATACCCGAACATCTAATTCTCCAGCTGAATTTTTCAGGAATAAAAAGTTCACAATGATCATGCTTTTAGTAAGATACATACTGCTTATCCTCGGCCCGTTCACTAATTAACCGTTTGTCATCAAATGACTACAAGAATCTGTTACGTATCACAGCCAAGTCATTTTTATTTGAAATAAAGAAATTATTTATTTATTCTTCGATTTGAACGTGAAATATATTTTAAAGGACGTAAAATTACAGAAATGCGCCCCTCCCCCTCCCTTCCTGGCATGAACTATTTACATTATTAAACGGAAATAAATGCGTATTACGGGATTGAGACGTTTGATGACAGTGACTATTTCCCGTCACCTGCATTGATTGCATCATCATGGAAAAACGGGATTGAGCCTATATTGAACTAATTAATTAGAAATCGACAGATATTTTTGTCGTATGCTCATTTACCTCCAAGTGGTTAAAATATCAAAGAACTAGGACGTCGGTTTTTAGATAGGATAATCATAAATGTATTGACTGCAGGGCCTTACCCGGGGGGGTCACCATTCTTAGCACTTTTCAAGTGATTGCGGGGCCAGATTTGTCAAATGTAAACCCCCTTGGAAAGTTTTGAAAAGTGACCCCCCCCCCCATTGACAAAATGTGATTACGGTCCTGCACTTTTTACAAAGCTTTTAAAAACAGGTCGTGTAGAATGTAGACCCCCGTTGCTTGATGTTTATAGCAAAAACATTGACATTTGAAAGTTTGTGACGCTGCGCTGTTTTGAATAAATCTTATATCTAAGAAGCCTATCGGTTGAAAAAAATACCTAGAAGACTTAACATATTTCCCAATGTCATGCACCTATTAATTTAGCAATTGAATTATAATTATAAACTTTCTCTTGAAACAATAAATCTTCCAGATTTGTTGAATTTTTGGACAAAATTGGCTACCCCCTCCCCCCTCCGTTCATTACTTCCGATCATCGGGCGTGATGTTGATTTTTGTAATATGTTATGTTATGTTATATTTATTTCCATATTATAATTCTTACAATTGAATAACAATATATCTCTCTAAAATTAAATTTGAAATAAACCGAAGAATAATCAGCAAGTCTGATGGAAAATACACATCCTGTAAAAGAGAGAAGAATTTAATCCGTCTGAATCTGATTGCAAAATATAAATCTGTCTCATGAGGAAATTAATCCCTGCTATTTAACTTGCACATAATCTAAAAGCTAATAGTCAAAAACCGGGGTCAAAAAGCTTATCACAATATAGTAGAACATCTTGGCTTCAGATATTATTTTCTCATGAATTTTAAAAATCGGCCGAGAACTGATTAAGTAACATTCCGCACACGCCGTCTGATTGCATATTTGAAACGACAACATCCGATCTACTACAGTATAAATAATCCAATTGACTTTGATAGCATATCTTTGTTTTCAGACATATTTTGTATTTGCGCCAGCTTCGACCCCCCCGCCCTTCACGTGATGCCTTTCAAATCAATTCCTTTCATAAATGACATAGAACTGCAAACGCCTGTTGCGTTTATTCCAAATGCAACAAGGCTAGCAGTTGAATAATAAAACAAGACAAATCAAAATCATCCAACATACGTATCATGTATAGTTCCCCTTTTATAGGAGGCGTTATTAGGTAATTAGGTCACTATTATTAATGAGGAAAATGTAGAACCAAATAAATGTTCATCTCAGCCTCAGTATTTGAGAGTTCATTTCATTTCACATCTGAGGATACATTTAGTTGTACTAACACCATACACATGCCTTCTGTTCATGCCCCGCTGTTAATGACCCGGTTTTAATGAACGCACTTTTGAATTATTGTAACATGTTATGTTCTAAATGGATGCATCAAGATCTTGTGTTGCAAATCTATAGGTAAATTTCACCAGCCTATGACTTTTAGATACATTCTTTATATGTACATGTATAGTTACTCCGGAAAATCAAGTATCACCAGTATTTTTTAACAAACTGGGACTTTTGATGTGAAAATCAATCATGATAGCAATATATGAGCAACGGTTTATATTAAAACTGGGAAAAGCAGGCGGTCGCCGTCCGGGTCGCCGTATGCTTGACGCACGGCTAGTGTAACAATGTGAAGGGTAACAGCCTGCTTCCCCTATAACCTTGCCAATGTCCATATACGCTTCTGCTTTTTCAAATTTCGGATCACCTTTGGGATGGAGATAATATACATGTAGATTTGTTACTGGGGGGGGGGGGGGGGGGGGGCACACAGAAACAGACATTCTGGAGAAATAAGGGATTATCGGGGACTTATTTTCAAATCCACAGATTAGTGTCAAAAGCAGTTATTTACAAGGCTATGATTTTAAATGGATAATTGACTCTTAAAACATGGGTTAAAGGCTAGTCCAAGTGCAGACCCGTACCAAGCTTAGTGTCATGTTATGTGGGGGGGGGGGGCTGAACCCCGACAAGGGGGTTCACATTTATGATCAAGAAAGCAACGTCCGAGTTATTTGATATTCCTAACCACTTAAAGAGGTGAATGAGCAAAACCTCCGTTGAAGTTCAATATAGACTCAATCCCGTTTTCCCATGATGATGCAATCAATGCAGCTGACGGGAAACAGACACTGTGTCATCAAATGTCCAGTAATACGCATTTATTTCCTCAAACTAAGATTAATATAACAGTTTATTCCATAATACTACTGTTTTCCCAGGGAAATATGAAGGAATAAAAATCGTATTGAATCGTATTACATGAAAAAATCGTATTGTCCCCGGGAAAAAATCGTATTGGAACGTATTAACCTATTTTTGGTTTCCCGGTTATTTTTAACCTTGGCTAATTGATAAAAGCATTATCCAAATGTAACATTTTAAGGAGGAATGTATTATGGAATAAATAGGTTATTTCTGGTCGGGATTGAATATGGGCTTTACTCCCAGTAAATAACCTATATTTCTTAAGAACAAAAACCGTTATCAGTTTTTATCAAGGGGGCTACTTTTCAAGAATCCAAGGGGGTTCACTTTTGAAAACTTTGGTCCTAAAAACCACTTGAAACTGCTCAAAATGGTGAAAAGTTTAAACTGTATGATTTTGGGAGATTTGTTGGTCGTTGAGGGGGTCGTTCGGGTGTACGCATCATTTCCGCGATCTGGGGGGGAGAACCCCCCAGATCCCCTTATACTCGCTCTGAAATTGGTCAGAATGCATCAAATTAAATTACGTTAAATTTTCGAAATTCGCTAGGGGAGAACCCCCCAGTTCTGGTCAGAGTGCACCAAATGATGTTCAATTTTCGAAATTTTCTGGGGGGGAGAACTCAAACCCCCTATTCTCGCTCTGAAATTGGTCAGAATGCATCAAATTAAATGATGTTAAATTTTCGAAATTTGCCAGGGGAGAACCTCCCAGACCCCCATTTCTCGCCCGAAACTGGTCAGAATGCACCAAAGACGTTCTTCCCCCAGACCGGGCCCCAGATCCCCCTTTCTCGCGCTTGTTCGCTGGGGGGGAGGGGGTAATGTCGGGGGTGGTTCGAGCCCCCCTTACAAAAAGCTGGCTACGGGCATGGACGCATCCCCCATGGGAAATTCCCTGTGGGTGCCAATGGGGCGCGCGTCCGAGGAGGGGCGTATATAGTGCACGAACATGCTAAAAATTCAGAAGTATCATATGATAAATTCGATTTTTATCCTCCTCTGTTATCAGTTTTCTAATATTAATTGATTAATTCGATTTTTGCTTTCCCCTCATAAGTTGTCTCCTTCATCTTTTTGTATTAATTATTTGTTTTCCCTAATAGTTATAAATATAAAAGGAGTTCTAATTTTGGTATGTTTTGGGAATTTGGTTTTGATGTTAACATGCAAGGGAATTATCTCCCACTCCCCCTTCTATTTTGTAGACAATATACAAGTTAAATAACAGCGATTTATTCCATGTTTGCATTCACTTTTACAGGGTGTGTATTTTCAATTAGACTTGCTGATTTTTCGATCATTTAATTTATCTGAAGCCATTAGACAAAAAAAATGTTTCAATTTTTAGAATATTTTTTGGCTTATATCATATACACAATTTCTTAATGAGTTAGATCCAATGGCTTCCCAAATCAGATTTCTTTTTATCATTCCTCTCTTGAAACGGTCCGATTTAATTCAGTGTCGGGCCGAGGGCAAATCTTTGAATGATGAATATATGTAATCGTTGATATTTTGAACGTACATGTATCAAGTTTAGATTCCAGGTACAAAATAGCCAGTTAAGGTTTTTTCCAAGAGGTAGATAGGTTTGAGGGAAAAGAGTACTGTATATTCAAAATCCGGATCAAAACAACATTATATTGTTATTTGTTGTCCAGTTCTACGTATTAATGCCGTATTATGCTGTTTGTTAGCAACATGATGTGGATTGATTTCTATATGGCAGGTTATTTTGATTTCAAAGGCCTATGGTAATATTGTTTTCATCAAATTATAGCTATTTATCAGATCTAATATGCGGAATTAAAAATAGTACTTCATAAAACCTAACGCAACTCCATAGACTGCATGCAATCAAGGCCCGAAATCAAGATAAGTCCCTGGAATATCCTGTCTGTGAAGAACCAAAAACCGCAATCAAACAAGTATTATGTGGTCTAGATTAATGATCAAGGAAATCAATTCGTGGGAATCATTATTATTGAGTTGATTTTATTTTTTGTTTACAAGAAAACGTTTCGTGCATATTGTACATTTAATGCTTGCGCTAACCTGATATGTGAGTGTGTGGGGGTTTTGTTGACAGATCGCGATTTGGATCCCCGGGTTCGGATCATAAATTATTTTCACCAAGGCGCTTGCACACTCGTGTATCATTTGTCAGTCTGTAAAATATTCGTCATCTGTTATTAAAGTTCAATGCGTTTCTGAATCCCGCTATTTCATATCATAAAAAACTGCACGTAATGCTGTTAGTCATGTAGGCCTATATTTCGTAATTTATTCTTTGAGGTCTATCCGTTACACTTAATTTCTCAGTTTCTAAAGGTTTCATTCAATTTTGCTATAAAGGAGATTGAAGACTACAATTAAAGTGTATGTTTTACCAATCTTTTAACTTTTTTAAAAGTATTGGATTTTTGGGAGTAATGAGGTTCGGAGTAATAGCGTGTCGCTCCCCCTCCCGCCCCCACTCATTTTTATGTGTTAAACCTCATTTGATTTTTCATCAATTATCGTTAAATCACACTCTTTAATACATAAACAAATTCAAAATTATATATCTTGGAGAAATAAAATATATATTTCATAATGAAAATATTAATTTATGCAGTTGGTCAGTATTGAATATTAAATTTCACAGTCTGAAACCTCAAGGGCGGGAAATTGGATTAAATAAAACGAAATATAAATACTAAGTCACATCATATCAGTGCAAACAATTAACTATATTTATTTTTCTATGCGATATACTCCTGATATTGATATCTTTCCTCTGACAATGTGTTATCTCATGGTCCGTTGACATCATCAAACTTGTGATTAACCAAAAGAGACCAAAAAAGATTGTAATACGCATCGGTAAGTCAACAAATCTAACCGTTAAATAAACAAACATAGTTGTTCGTCTGCTGGTCAGAACTTGGTATCCGATTCGGATACCGACTTTCTGAGAATACTACAATGATATGTAGGATCACCAGCCGTGATACTTTTCATAAAACAGGCATCTAGTTAGAAAATTATTGCAATTTTGATTAATATCGTCATTCACAGTATAACCCGCCTATGTTTATTTAAATATGCATTATTCATAAAATGTATAGACTAATATCATCTTTTCACTCTTGATTTGAATTGGTATCGTGTATCTAAAGTTGTCTTCATCTATATTATTGGATTAACATGAGCCTATGTAACCTAAACATATAAATACTAGTTGCCAGTCTACAAATTGAATATACAAAATGTAGCATATTCATTACACACTATATTAATAGAACAAGGTAATCATGTCATACCAATAGTTAGATGGTTAACTTATATTAACACAAAAGAATAATACACGATAATTGAAAAAATAAACCTCGGTATTCGGGGCTAAAATCCAAGGATACCTGTACCATTACTCCAGTATACGCTGCAATACCATATCGGATACCTGTACCATTACTCAATAATAACCACAACTACGACCATAATAACAAGGTCAATACCGAGTTTATTGGAAGTTATTTTATACGATTTTGTCTTGTGATAGGCACAATCCATGAGCATTATGAACTGGCTTAGCCATACCCTAGATATTTTAAACATGGATCATTGTCATGTTTCCGCATGCATTTTCCTGAATTAGTCCATGTATCCTAATGTAGTGACTTTCACAAGTGGGAAATGTTCTGTTTGATTTCAGACATTCTTGTCCCTGATGGAAAGGATATCAATGAGTTCTCCCTCACAATCAGATGTGGATGACATGTGTTCAAGTAAGTGGGAACAATCTTTACTTTTTATATTTGTCTGATCATTAACAATGAGCTGATTACCAACAATAGGGTTGATCAATTAAAAGTGGGTTTTCTGATCAAAAACAGCTAGATTGTCTGAATACAAACAATGAGGTTGAGTGATCAAAAACAATCATTTAACAATGAGGTTGTTTGATCATTATAAGTGCACAATAATAATAATCATTATAAGTGCACAATAAAGAACACAGGGCTCCTTCAAGGAGGGGTTTGTGGTTCTATCTTCAATGTTAATTATGCAAATTACGACAGTATCTATACGGGATATACCCAAAAGTTATTGCTCACTTTAATTGGTGGTAAACAAAATACAATACAATACAATTGTGAGGTTGTCTCATTACAAACAATGAGTTGTTTGATCACTAGCAATTAGATTATCTGATCACAAACAATGAGGTTGTGTGATCAAAAACAATGAGATGTCTAATCATTAGCACTAAGATTATCTGATCACAAACAATGAGGTTATTGGATCACAAACAATGAGGTTGTGTGATCAAAAACAATGAGATGTCTAATCATTAACACTAAGATTATCTGATCACAAACAATGAGGTTATTGGATCACAAACAATGAGGTTGTGTGATCAAAAACAATGAGATGTCTAATCATTAACAATAAGATTATCAGATCACAAACAATGAGGTCGTTTGATCATTAAAAGTGAGGTTGTCTTATTACAAACAATGAGTTGTTTGATCACTAGCAATCAGATTATCTGATCACAAACAATGAGGTTGTTTAATCGCTAACAATGAGGTTGACAGATCATTATCAATGAGGTTGTCTAATCACTAACAATGAGGTTTGATTTAGTCAATTAATTTCAAATAAAATATCACTTTGACAAAGACATTTAGTGATGAATTAAGGCTATTTCTTCTCACGTCTACTTTATTGAAGGCTATAATTATTACAATTTTGTCTGTATAGCTTAAATATATGACTAATCTACCTCCATTCCTATTTCTGTAGCAATTATCATCTAATTATCTTGTATGAAAGACAATGCAATGAATCATTTCTATGTGTATTTTGTTATTTCCAATACTATTTTAAAATATATCAATTAATATGAAATGAATCAGCCCTATATTTTCAAGTGTTTTTTTGTACTTATAACTGTATATTATTTGCCTTGTTTTTCAAACTGTCTAATTCAAAACCTTTTCACCACTGCTAATTGTAAACAATATCATTAGCTCCTTTTTATCTTAAACTTATGACATTTCAAACCCTGGACATTTTCACCCCTAGCAATTTCACTCCCTGGACTTCAAAGTACATGTAAAATTTCATTTTTGGTTTGGATGATAAGTGAGTTTTGATAGAATTTTACCTGAGTCTTTGATTTCTTAATGTTTGAAATAAAAAGTTTAACAGAATGGTGTGAAAATGATGGCTGTGAGGGGAGGTTTGAAGGCCATTTAATGTTAAATATTGTAGACTACGTTGTTGTCATAAAAATGCTTAGAAAATCGAAATATAACATTTACATGAAGATAACATATGAGCCAGGCCACAGAAAAAAGGTCTTATCACAGATTTTTTCAATATTCTGATTTTCTGTTATCTTAAGAAGAGACCTTTCAAATGAGCCATTGTTCTTTTAAATTTTGTGTGGCCACCTAGTGTCAATAAAGAATGTGTTGCATAATATATACTATTTATACTCAGGATATTCAGCTCTGATAATGATAAATGCCAAAAAGAAATATGTAGGAGTAAAATAATGAGGGTGAAATGTCAATTGGGTGAAATAGAGGTTAGAATGTCCAGGGGATTAATTATCTAGGTGTGATAGTCAAGGGGTGAAATATCTAGGGGATGAAATGTCTAAGGGGTAAAACATTCAGGGGATGATTATTAGTTTAAGGGGTGAGAAGTCCAAGGGGTGAATTGTCTAGAAAGCAGGTTTATATGTAAACTATTGTGCAATAAGAGGTTTGACCTGCCAGTAAATATAGATACAAACTGGGCTAAACTCTTAAGTAATTAATCAACACAGGTACATTGTATATAATGAGTATTTTTTACAGCTTATTTTTATTATATGTGATTTATTTCAAAGTAAAATAGAATTATTACATGATACACATGTTGCGGCTTTGCAATGGAGCATTATAAGCTACAATTGAATAATAACAAGATTTAAAAAAGAAAGTATGACAATGAATTCGCAATAAGCAAAATAACTAGATTTTGGAAATTGAACAAGTTCAATTTCAGACTCCAGATCTAGACATTTTTTAGCCGAGTCATCCAGAATAAGCTGAGTCATCCAAAATAAGCTGAGTCATCCAGAAAAAGATGGATGGATGGATGGATGAAAAAGGAAGGAAGGATAGGCTAGAATAGGAAGGAACGATAGGATAGAATAGGCAGAAGGAATAAAATAGGAAGGAGAGTGTACGAAGGAAAGGTAGATAAGAAGGATACGATAGGATCACAAAGGAAGGATGGATGCATTTTTCAATATTTTCTTCTCTACTCTTGACTTTCTATCAGGATACCATCAGATCGATTTTTCTCGAAATTTCAAAACGCCATAACTTACGAACTGGAAGTCGGATCGAAATTTGGTTTGCAGACTCGGATTCCTGAGAAAATTCTACCCTTAATTCATAACTCATATGTTAAATTTGGAGAATGTTAAATTTGGAGAACTTTTTGTTTTGACCTACTTTTCGGACACCATATCTCAAAAGTGGGTCGAAATACTTTCTGACGGCAAAAGGCTAACACTATTAGCACACTCTTTCCTACCTGTATACAAAATTTTGAAGCAAATCATTTAGATATAGTGTCGAAATCGCAAAAATAATGAAAACCTTTGAATTTGACCTAGATTTTGACCTAGGGATTTTGGTGTCCAAATTTTGAAGTTAGGTAGCCTTCGAAGTCCCCTTCTTTCACAGGCTTTCATTATTTTAAGCTGTACTTAGTCTATATCTCGTATTTTACACTTCAAAAAAATCTTTTTTCCCATTGACATAACATGGGGCACCAAATTTAGAGATTTTTGAGCTTTCAAAATGTCATAACTTCCGAACTGGATGTCGGATCAAAATTTGATTTGCAGATTCGGATTCCTGAGAAAATTCTATACTTAATTCATAACTCAAACGTTAAATTTGGAGAATTTTTTATTTTGACCTACTTTTCGGACACCATATCTCAAAAGTGGGTCAAAATACTTTCTGACGGCAAAAGGCTAACACTATTAGCACACTCTTGGCTACATGTATACAAAATTTCGAAGAATATAATTAATCTGTAGTGTCAGAATCGCAAAAATAAGGAAAAACTATGAATTTGACCTAGGCATTTTGGTGTCCAAATTTTTATGAAAAGAAGGTTTTGAGGTCCCTTTCTTTAATGGGCTTCCATTATGTTTAGCTGTGCTTAGTCTATATCTCGTATTTTACACTTCAAAAAAATATTTTTCCCCATTGAATTAACATGGGGCACCAAAGAACGAGGGAAGTTAGTGCAACAGATTTTTGACAGTTCATTATTTTTGGGCGAGTAGTTTTTGGCTGTGAAAAATAAATGCATATGAAAGACCAATGCATTATCTTCAAGAAAAGTTCAGAGCATGGTTCCAAGATCAATTGGATTATCTCATAATTCGTGTTTAATCCACCCACTAACAACCTTTTTTCGAAATACAATCGTTATTTTCACCATGATCCATCAATTTTTTTATAATTTTTTTTTCAAAATTACATTGTACTTGAACACATGTTTCATCACACGAAATATGTAAATCATTCCATAAAGGGATTTATATTTGTTTTTTAATTTTTTTTGGAAAAAAACAACCATTAAAAATGCATGTTTACAGAAATAATTTTGAATTGATGCAAAAGATGGCAATGCTTTTCAATAACATAAATAATTTGGTGATTTACTCATGTGAGTTGTGTTTTAATCTCTGCATTCACTGACTGAGTTATTGAAAAACCATAGAGATTAATAATACAAACAAGGTAATACTGTAAACACTTTGTACTCCAAGCTCATATACACGCTGTTACAGCATGACGGCTACAGGGGCATCACAAGGATTTGCCGAGGGAAGGGCAACTTTTGGGTATGGATAGGTCATGCGTAAAGCACACTGCACCTAAAGCGCAATCTAGGGGAATTGGGGGGCATGCCCCCAGAATTTTTAAAAAAATCTAAACCCCCTCTGGTTCATTCTGAACATATCTCAGCACAACATTCCCAACAATAAAAACAAAAAAAAATGTGTTTTTAGAAATCTCAACTTGACTTTGACTAAAAAGAACTTTGATTTTTACTAAAATATACATCAAAATATTTACGTACTGTATGGGTTCCTGAGAAACTATGTATGGTATAGAATTAAATATAATATGAGAAATGAGATCTTCTATGCCTGATGTAGACTATATACTAACATAGTGTCATTTCTGTCATTATTACACTTTGACTTTAATTAGCTCTAGAGCTTCCAATTCTAGGCTCGGATTCAAATCTAAAAAAAATCTGCGAAAGGGAGAGGGGGCCGTCGCCTCTGATGCCAATGCGGTTATGCCATCTCTGAAAACGAGGTTGGACTGCTATGTTCACTGATTTATCCAATAAAATGGCTACAATGGAACAGAAAATTAAGGTTTGTGCATTACTTTCTACTACTCTGACTGGGTACCAACTATACGGGACGTATCGAAACCACTACGTCCCGCAAAAACCGTTATTTTGAATTTTAAACCTACCAGCTGTTTGAAAATCAAGGATTGTGAGTCCCATACAGCACTGTTTTTGTTCAAATTTATGCCATTAAAAGCAAAAAATGCCCCTCTGTCTGTCTCTTAGTGTACAAAGTCCCTCGTTCAAGTGGCGTTTTGGTTCCCAGCTGTGAGATTAAGCAAATTTTCATAGCTTTCAACAGTAAGTCTAGTTATCTCGCCAGTCTTTTAACTCA